AAATGCACATAGCGAAATTGTAGCTACTGTGGACCAAGACTTTTCCATTTCAGAAAATAAAAAATTTCTAATTCAGTTTTTACGAATTTATCTAAACGCGCCAAATCTTTAATATCACATATCTTAGGCACTATTGAACTGAATTTGTTGAAATTTTGCACGAACCAGGAATAAAGTAAAACTAGATAGACGGTTTCAAGATCTAGTGCCGGACTAGTTTTTTCAACATTTTCCTATTTTATCAAAACCAACACCTTTTAAGCCAGATAATGTCTATGCACAAAAAAGCCAATGAATGTTGTTGATTAATTAGCAAAATACCTCACTTATTTTCATCAATATTTTAAAATTGTACGGAAGATGTTTTGGCAATTCAAAATTTTACGGCCAAATTCGTTTTATTATTTTCTTTCAGTTTATTGAGTGCATCGTCCATGTAATACTCTGAGTTTAGTACTATTTCATAGGAAAAAGGGCGGTAAATGGTATAAACAAAAAGAGGAATTGATGTTATGCACCTTATTTATTTTTTTCGGTAAAGTCGCAAAGTAAACAGGACAAAGAAAAAATGAACAAACTTTTTTTGATTCGGAAAATTGAATTTATTTTGTTCAGAATAGTCTCCTTCAGAGTTAACACAGCGAATTGCATGGACCAAAAGATATTCCAATCTGTCACTTCATGGTCAAATGTAGTTTACCGAACAGAAAATAGTCACAGGGTGTCATATCAGGAGAATATGGGGAGTGGTTGATGGTTAAAATGCCATTTTTGTCAAAAAATCGGACACACGCCTCGTAACACCAAGATAAAATACAGCATTAACCGTTTGGCCCGGTGGAATGAATTCTTTGTGGATATGTAATTCCCTTTGAATCGTAGAAAGAATGACTTGACGCTTGGTTTCGGGATCGTATTAAAAACACCACATCTCGTCACCAGTCACAATGTTGTACAGGAAGTTTTTGTCTTTTTTGGTCTCTTTAATGATGTCTCTCAAATGTTGAATTCGAAGCAAATTTTGGTCTTCCGTGAGCTTGTGCGGAACAAACTGTGAACACACCTTTCTCATGCCAAAATTCATCGTCAAAATGCGATGGATTGAATCGATGAATAAATGTTTTACCAAGTTTAACACAAAACTTAATATTGGCTCTTTATTCGATGCTCATTTTTCGATCGATGCTAAAAATGTACTGTCACTTTGAGCGCGATAACTCCGCGTGAAGTGGTTCGATTGCCATGAAATTTTGACAGAGCATCAATGAAAGATGTACCTCCAATAATAGATGGCGCCACTTGTATCTGGTATCATTCAGAAGTCCTGTCTACTTTGCGACAGACCTTTTAAGTATTTATTTTAACTTACTTGCAGTGATAGCATATATTGGAAAGTGCCTTCAACAGCTTATCCTTTCCATTCCATGTTCTTCCGGATAATCCAGAGATCAAAATGTTTATGAGGGAGTTTCGGTGCTTGGCATCCAAAGAACTACCCAATTTGTTAGCGATGGTAGAAACAGCATTTGCAGCCTAAAAATAAGTGTTGAGGTATTCATTCCTGTTATTTTCGATCATGATATTTGAATAAAAAAATGTAGACACAACAAATTGAAGCTATCGTCCAAAAAACGAAAATTGTTTTACCTGAGCCTTCATAGTCCAAGACGGTGAATCAAGTGCCGTTTTCAGTATATCACAGATATTATCCAAATTCTGCCTGATGCCAGTTTCAGTGCCGGGACTTTGTTCCGACCAGATCTCTTGCCATACCTCCAACGTTTTCTCGGTTTCTTCAGTTTTCTCCGCGTGCATCGCGAAGAAGACTAAAGGCAGTATCACATCAATGTGTGATTTCAAAATTTCCTGATTGTGAATGCCTATGGATTGGATCGTATACGCGCATGCCGATCTGATGGAATCATCTGTAAAATAATAGTGGTAATTCAGTATTTTTTTTAGTTCATTTTATGACAACTTCCTATGAAAATCAGAAATAATTAAGCTACTCTGCATTTATTTTCGAGGGGCAATAAACCACTGAATACGGTTTCGATAATTTTTTATTAATATCTTAAAAAGTATTTACTGGATTCTGTTGAAATTTGGAAATATTATTTGTTGTAATTATTATACAGGGTGATGGGAAAATAGATGCGGAGCCGGTGGGGAGGGGGAGATAGTACAAGCCAATCTGAGTCGATTTTACTATAGGAACTACTGTCCGAAAATTAGCCGTTTTCGAATTATACTAATTTTTAAGATTTTATATAATTAACGTCCTTTATACGTTAACCAAGTCATACAACTTGAAAATTGGGTGTTTCATTTGATTTTTTTTTTGGTTTTACAATAAAAATATGCTAAAATAAGAAAATTGATACTCAAATGTACATTATCTCATGCAGTAAGCTTCAAAATAGTTCAATTTTTGTTAACAAAAATCTTCGTTCATCTCAAAAACTCAATTTACTAGAAACAATTACCTACAAATTTTTCGTGCACAACAATTTTAAAATATCTACGTTTCATTACCTTTCAAATGAGGTATCAAAGTCACAAACCGGTTTAGAAATGACAAAGATATGAGTCAAAGAAACAGGTAGAGCCGCGAACATCGGACTTTGCCACCGGAATAGTGTGATAAGTAAGGCCCGTATCGTCAGTCGTCCCTACAGTTGTAGGGCGCCCTTTATGGCTTCCTTGATTGTCATAGTTTTCTACTTCTCCGTGTCAGCGCTCTATTTTGAGGTTATGTCACAAACATCTATTTGCATCAAATTGTGCTTGCTTTTAAGTTTTATCAGCCTGAAATTTCCTACAATTTAAAAGGAAAACATATCTTAACAATAGGAGAGCGCTGACGCTGACACGGGACGAGTGTAATCTAGAAATTTTTTAAGGAGAGAAAAGAGTATTACAATCAAGGAGGCCATAAATACAATTGTAGGGACGACTGACGATACGGGCCTAAGACTAGTCACCCCCTCCCTCCCTCGCTTCAATCTGCTCTTGCGATTTGTTGCGTTCGGATGTGTTTGTTTGCTCGCTGTATTGATATTTCTAACGACTTGGCTCTTGTTGGACTTCCGTGTGTGACTCTTTTCCTGACGACCTAGACTGTACCCTGTTTTCTGCGATTCCTTACGACTTGGCTGCTGTATGACTTGATTTTTCGTTGATCTACCTATCGATGAACAATGGCTGATGAACAAAGGGGGCGGCCGTTCAGTTTCGAAGAATATGCCGATCTCCTTTTCTACTATGGAGATGCCAGAGGTAATGCTGAAGAAGCTCGTCGTGGGTGTGGACAAATGTTTCCTAATCATCGCCTACCTGACGCCCGCGTATTTAGGCAAACATTCCGTCGGGTTCAAGAGCGCGCGGTACCGTCGTAAGATATCAAGGTAAGTTTGCATCATTGATAATTATTAACTTATCATAATCAGTCATTTAGTAAGGCCTATGTAGAGCCTTGGAGGTCTGTGGGCTGAACTGATGATACTGTAACATAGTTGTTTTGATACAGTTGATTGAACTTCTTAATTAAGAGTTTATTCATTTAATTTTAACACGATCATCTACAAGGCTCTGAAGATGGAAACATTCACACATTGTGTATCGTTTTTTCTAAATAATATTTTGCCAATTCTAGCTCATAGTCTTACCGCTATGTTTATTAGGTAACGATTTCCTCCAAAAAACTGTTGTTATTTGTTTTTCATTTTATTTCAGGTGATGCAGGTAGACCTCGACATGATGTGGAAGAAGAAATATTAAATATTTTCCAAAGAGACCCTACTCTCTCTACTCGCGCTGTGGATTATCCCATTGGCAAGTGTGGTATGTTTTGCATGAAAACATATTCCACCCTTAGAACTACCCATCTGTGCACGTCATAGAGGAAAGAGATCCCATGAGGCGCATGCAATTTTGTCGTTTTATTTTAAACGCTGATGTTGAAGATAGCAATTATTTAAGAAATCATCATATGATGAGACCAAAAGGATCTCAAAGGCGATTTTGTCTGAATGTCTGGATGGGCATTATAAATAACTGTTTGGTAGAACCACATTTCCTACCCGACAACTTAAATGGAGAAGCCTACGAAAATTTCTCAAGAAATGTTCTATTTGAATTACTTGAAGACGCGCCGCTACACACAAGACACAGAATGATTTTTCAGCATGACGGGTGCCCAGCACATTTTAGACTAAGTGTTAGAAATTGTTTAAATGAGCAGTTTCCGAATCGATGGATCGGTAGAGGCGGACCAATCCCATGGCCAGCACGTAGTCCCGATCTACCACCTATGGACTTTTTTGTGTGGGGTCGCATGAAAACTTTAGTAAACTCTGATCAAAATCCTGTACCCGTAATAGAAGACCTCAGAAACAGGATAATACATGCAGCACAAGAAATTCAAGCCTCTCTTAAGAATTCGTCGGTAGTAAAATCAGCTGTCATAAGAAGAGCACGTGTGTGCATTAGAAATAGAGGGCGCCATATTGAAAATGTATTATAAAAATAAAAAAATGTAGTTTCAATCAAATTATCCTGTATTAAGGTATGATTTTGTAAGTGTAGTATATTTATTGCTTTTTCCTTCCTCCTCTTATAATAGTCATATTTTTTCCAATTCTTAATCGATTTGTCATTTTTATACCTCATTTGAAAGGTAATGAAACGTAGCTGTTTTCTAATTATTTTGTACGAAAAATTTCTATGCGACTTTTTCTGGTAAACTGAAGCTGTTGAGATGAACGAACATTTTTTTAACAAAAATCGAACTATTTTGAAGCTTACTGCATGAGATAACGTCAATAATGTACATTTGCGTATCACTATTGTAAAAACAAAAAAAAAACCAAATGAAACACCCAATTTTCAAGTTTTATGACTTGGTTAACGTATAAAGGACGTTAATTTTATAAAATCTTAAAAATTAGTATAATTGGAAGACGGCTAATTTTCGGACAGTAGTTCCTATAGTAAAATCGACTCAGATTGGCTTGTACTACCTTCCCCTACCGGCTCCGCATCTATTTTCCTGTTAACCTCTATAATTTGCCCTAAATAGATTAAAATTATTAGGCGTCCCGGAGGCACCTTAGCGAATATTATTGGCAAAAAAATGTACGCCACTGCCTTTTTTTTAACTCTAATATTATTTGTTGTTTGATTAAGCATCTAAAAATACAACTTATTTGACTCCTGTATTTTTTTTTCGTATCTCATTTCGTTTTCGAAAAAAAAAATAAAAACTGTTTTATTGCATGTCACTGGGCAAAATTGGTTTAATTTTTGCAAAAAAAATCACAAGTGCCTTGGAAAATAAAAAATCAAAAAAATTTCTAGGGAAGAGTATTATTGCAAATTTTCCGATAGGTACCACAACTTAAAGTACACTACAACAAATGTTGGAAATGTCCACCATCCATTCCCGTAAACCTCCTCAAATTCGAGGTCTATTTCTTATTGCTTCGCTAGCATTTACGATTATATTTCTTACTTCTTCTATTTCTATGGGAATAGCGTAAACCATCGTCTTAAAGTGTCCCCATAAATAAAAATCTATTCCATTCTCCATTTCCTTTATTGATAATAAGATTAATCAGTGCTTTCAATCTTACAGCCTGCACCAGTTATTGAATGAACCAACTCGAATAACTGATCATTCTTCAACGCTTTTAGATCCGGTTTTCTTCAACTGTGCACAAAGATGTTCCAAAGTGGGAACTTTCACTGTTAACTTTAGTGACCATCAGGCTGTATTCTGTCACATTTCGTGTAAAAACAATAAACCACCACCTAGACTAATTACATTTAGAGACTATCGCAATTTTGATCTAACCTCTTTTGACGATGACTTATTTAGCGTTAATTGGGCTGAAGTTATTTATATGGCTAATATCGATGAGAAAGTAACATTTATTTCCGATAACATTGTAGGACTTTTTGACATACATGCACCACTAAAAACAGTGAGTAAAAACTGCTACACGTGCAGAGAAATCAGGCTACCTTCAACATCTATCTCGACAAAGAAACTCTGCAGCTCTTTATAAAGCTCTTAAGTCATTTAGAATTCAAGATTCTAGTAATAATGACATTCCAGATGATTTAGCAGTTCCCAATGAAATAAATAACTATTTTACCAGTATATTCCAGAAAAGTGACGATGATTGCTCGGAAACTATGGAATTTTATAGCCATAACAAATTAAACCAAGATTTTCATTTTCAGTTCCGTCTTGTCGATATATCTACAGTATTGGATGCTATTCGCAGTATCGAGTCCAATTCTAGTGGTATTGATGGCATTACCATTGAGATGATTAAATTGTGTCTACCTGCTGTAGGAATATACATTTTGCACTTAATAAATTGTTGTTTAGAGCGCGGTGTTTTTCCAAGTGCTTGGAAGAAAGCATTAGTGCATCCTCTTCCAAAGATTCCCAATCCTCAGGTTCCTGGTGATCTCCGACCTATTAGCTTGCTGTCAGCTCTATCAAAAATTCTAGAAAAAATAGTTTATATGCAGTTGAATGAGTATTTACTCGAACGCAGCATTTTGCCATTAAATCAATCAGGCTTTAGAAAGGGTCCCAGTACCACTACCGCTTTGGCACGAGTTTGTGACGATGTACTAACAGCGGCGGATAGGCAAAGAAGCAACTGTATTAGTCTTATTGGATTTCAGCAAGGCTTTTGACACAGTGAATCATAAGCTGTTAGTTTCTAAATGTAAATACATTGGGTGTGACGACTTGGTTCTGGAATGGATAGATTGCTATTTAAATGAACGACATCAATATGTCGTCATACAAAATAAACTTTCAGACAAAAGGCCGATTTATTCCGGCGTGCCTCAGGGATCCATATTAGGTCCACTTTTATTCCTTATATACACCTTTGACATTTCTAACACCCTTCAACATTGTTCTAGTCAATCATATGCTGATGATATGCAGGTTTTTCATAATTTCTGTCCGAACAACTACCATTTAGCTAACAACCTTATCAATCAAGATCTGCAATACTCATGCACATATGCTGCAAAACATAATTTACGTCTAAACGCATCGAAATCGACAGCTATACTTTTTTGCTCCAACAAAAAACGTACTTTCATCAAATCAAAGTTAAATTTATCACTAAATAATAGTATCCTAATATTTTCCCATTCTGCAAAAAAATTAGGTTTGTACTTGGATGAAGATTTCAGATTTCAGGAGCATGTTGGCTATGTGTGTAAGTCTAGTTATTTTAGACTCAGGCTTCTATATGCAAGTAAAACTGTTTTAAATAGAAAAATTAAGAAAATGTTATGCGAGTCACTCATACTCAGTAAAATCGCTTACTGCAACATAGTTTATTATCCCTGTCTGGATGAAATCACAAAATACAGACTGCAAAAAATTCAAAACTCATGTAGTCGTTACATAAACAATTTAAGAAGGTACGATCATGTTTCTCACTCAATATCTTCAATGAATTGGTTGAAAATTTCTGATCTTTTCAAATACAACTTTGTTAAATTTGTCGTAAAAATATTAAAAACTTCTGTTCCGGTTTATCTTATGCAAAAGCTTGTTCGTAGGAATTTAATTCACAATTTGAATACGCGCAACATTTAATCTCCTGACAATGCCACAACATAGAACAGCCATTTTTCAACGGTCTTTTACGTATAATGCGGTGAAATTGATCAACTCTTTCGAACAATGTTTCATCAGCAACTTTTCTAAAAAAAAATATAAGAACTACTGATTGAGCTCTTAGGTTATTGTCTTCTCTTTGAATCGTACGTATTATGTTTTTTGTTCTAATCGTACGCATTATGTCATATTTATTAATTCTTCTTTTACTATTATTCTTCTTTTTCCTTTTCTTTTTCAGTTTTTTATTTTATTTTTAAGGTAGTAATAAGCATTGACATGACATTTATGGTTAAGTATAAACTTCACCATTTGTAAGGATACATAATTATCTATGTGTTACAATAAAGTCCATTAAATTGAATTGAATTGAATTGAATTCAAGTCAGGAGAGCGAGGTGGCCAGTGAATTGGTCCACCTCTTCCAACCCAATTTTCACCAAAGGTGCTATTGAGATGAGTTCCGATAGGTACATTAAAATGAGGAGGAGCTCCACCAAATTTAACTAATTATTACCTTCTCTTTCAAAATACCAATGCTGCAGTTTCGCAAATAGTTTTTCCAGGCTAGAATCTTTTGCTACGGACACCAAATGGCCAATAGCTGATGCATAGTGTTTTCTAATTGCCGCATTTCTATCTGTCAAACCATTGACCAATACAGCCAGTAGTTTACCTAGAAATCAAAATCATTTTACGATCTATCATTATTCATGAAATTAACGAAAAATAAAATATTCAGTTTTCAATCACCTGCATATGGTTGAACATCTTGTCGAAGCTGTATCACTAAAAGTGTGATGAAATGAGCACAAGCAATCCTAGTACCAAGGCCGACGGTGCCCTTCATCAGTTCTGTGATTTTAGGCACTAGTTCTTCCAAAATCGATGCATCAGCAAATTGTAAACTCTAGAAATAAAAAAGCATAATAAAAAGCAAAAATCCTAATTAATAGGCTTGGGGCCGCATGACATGATACGAAATTTATTATGCTTTTTGTATCAAATTTGTATACAACTGGCAATCTGGCAAAAACAAGTGAGGTCGTGGTAAAGCTACAAGACATAAAGTGAAAAAAGGCAACGTCGCGACACGTGAGTAGTTCTATCGTCAAATTGTCGGTGGCCGGTGTGACGTACTTCCATGTAAAAATGTTCAGTAAATTCTTGTCATAAACGGATTATCGGAATTCCATTATTATTAATATATAGTAGCGGACAAATATTAACATTATGAACTATTTCATATACCTAAATTAAAATTGTGAAGGAACAGATAATATAAATATTAAAGTCTACCTTTGTCTCCCATATTAATACAGGTTTTATCTTATCAATATTCAATTTATCCCAAAATAAAAACACGCGTTTTTTTTAAATACATACCACTGTTTTTGTAACGACAAAAGTATGAAAATACAGGAAGTAAACGTTATGGTAGTCATTATTGAAATGGGTAATAGGTGGGTCAAGACAAGTCAAAAAGTTCATATGACCCATGGTCCAAACGTCAATAGATTTTTGTCCAAAATAGTTTACAACTTTAAGTGCCTTATATCGGCCACAATCTTACTAATTTTTATAATCTGATCTAAAACGTTTTTAAATTGGGTAATTAACAAATAAATGGCATTAAGTTTTTCTAAGTTAAGCCAAAATTTGTAGTCACTAAGTAAGTTTCATTAAATTAAATATTTAAAACACACATGACAACAGCGCGTCGATCTTTCATCACTCTTATCGAACCGGCAATCGATCGCAAAAGGCAGCAGTGGTTAGTTATTGTTCGCGTACGTTGTCGTGTTTATTTACAATGTTCTCGAATCAAGAGTTCGCCGATATGTTGTTAGTTTACGGTGAAGCTCGTCAGAATTCAAATCTTGCAGCTCAAATTTATCGCGACAGACAGAAGGACATTTGTGCAAGTGTACCAAAGACTTCGAGATACAGGAAGTGTTCAGCCCACTAATATTCGCACTCGTGAAAGACAAGTTACTGTAGAGCAGGAGGAACGAATTTTAAATATCGTGGAAATCAATGCAGATATCAGCACTCGGGAATTAGGCCGCCGCGTAGGACTATCGCATACCATAGTCCATAGAATCCTACGGGAAAATTTGCTTTATCCCTACCATGAATAAAGTAGGCCCAAGAAAATCCTCATACCATTCGTAAAGGTCGTAATGAAGCTTGTGTGGAAACTGGAGGCTGACATTTTGAACACCTTCTTTGGATACAAAAAAAGTGCAGTGTGGGTTTTAAAAAGAAAAACAATGCATGTATAATTGTGTGACAGAAAAAAAAACGATTATGTTTTGGATCGCTACATTAAACGTTTCTCCCATGAAGATCCTCGAATGCCAGCCACACGGATTTTCAAAAGAATCGTAGAAGAGGGTGCCGAGAATCTTTCTGTCAGAACAGTGCAGAGACGCTTGGTGGATTTTGGACTTTTTGGTAAGCGTCCAGTGCAAAAGCCTCTCATTTCAACAACAAAAAAATCTTATTGCTTGGCCTGAATTTGCTAAAACACATCTAACTTGGACAGAACACTGGATTCCACAAAAAGAAATGCACTAATTTATTTAACTTGATAGAACATTTATGTACACTACTATTTATGTCTGACTACTTCTTATGTCGCCTTACTGCACTATACTCCACTCCGCTCTGTCACTCTACCGTATTCAGTACTCTGCCCCCATCTCCCGGCCGCCGAGTTATATATAGATGTAGAATATTGGAGGTCACTTCGCGTCGATCTAGAAGGCGACCCACTGTCACGGTCCTCACAGACTTGTGCGGTCGTGGTTCGCGTAAAAGCAGAGATCGGCCATGAAGCTCTGGCGAGTAGGAGACTCGCCCAACAGATGGCGCCAACAGTACTATTCGTTACAATATAATGAACACATGCTCCCTTTTGCTGAAGAAGAGATGCGTTTACTGGACATTCCAGCAAGACAATGACCCGAAGCATTCCTCAAATTTTTCGAGCTCTGGGAGCATGTTGAAAGATAACTGACAAGAAACACTTTTAAAAATAGGAACGATTTATTTGATTATGTAAAAGATATTTGGCAAAATATCGGAGGAAAAAATGTTCGGTCGTTTAGCACCAACTACAGCCTCCTAGACGATTGCTCGCTGCCTTTACCTCCATACACTACCAGTAGTGTGCGTTCAAGCTGATACAATAGACATAAAAAAGTTTGTTAGCTTATGTAAAATAATTATATCTCACCTTGGATACAGTTTCCGTGGTGAAATGCGACTTTGCAATCGATGCTCTTGCGCTATCCAAATCTTCTTGCAATTGAGAATTTCCACCAAGCATGGTGCTGTAATACGATAATTTGGCAGATTCCATTTCGCCTGTAGCTTGTAAAAGCGCTGGGATTAGCTTTGGCAAGAACGGTTTCAGTTGTTTGCCGGCTGATGTTACAAGTTCCGCTACAGTCTGTAAACTATAAGAAAATTCCCGTATTACATGTCTCAATTCTGACAGCAATATAGCGTTTATTTGTTCAATGGCTAGTAGACCGTATCTACTACAGTACCAGAATCGGCGGCATCTAGCGGCCACAGTAGTGAGCCGGCTAACAATGCGAACTGACATACAGATCCATCAGAGAGCCTGCTGTTTTCACTTTCGCAGTGGTACGATTCTGATGATAGTTGGCACCTTATGCTGTCTCATTTCAAATGATTGTTCTTGTTTTTTACCTTCACGCATAATTTGAATTTGGTGACTTACTTACTTACTCAGCCTCAAAGTAAAATTTTCAAGTATCTCAGTTTTTTTTATTAAATTTTTCTCAATATCTACGAGGGTGGTCCCAGAAATACCCGTCCTGACCTAGAGATGGCGATAGTTATTTGAAAAATATCATTGTATTAGAAAGTATGGGACCTATAAAGCATATGTGTCAAGTTTGAAGACGCCACGTTGTTTAGTATTTGTTTGGCAGCCATCAATATTGAACGTTTTCAGTGAACTTGTGAAAAAGAGAAAATTGGTCCTCGTTATGTGGTACAATACTTTTATTTCAAAGGCCTCAGCCCAACCAATATAAAAGCTGAACTGGATTCTACTCTGGGTGAGTCTGCTCCTTAGTTTACAACAGTAAAATATTGGGTAGCAGTGTCCGCATGAGCTGCCAAGACGAGCATCGCAGTGGTCGACCAAATGAGGTGACGACTCCGAAATGGTGAAGAAAAATCACAAAGCGGTACTGAATGATTGTCGACTGAAAGTGCGCGTGCTAGCAGACATAGTAGGCATTTCAAAAGTTCGGTTCATCGCATATTATCTGAAAATTTGGACACGAGAAAGATGGGTGCCGCGATTGGTCACAATCGAGCAAAAACAGTGTCGTGAAGATGTTTCAATTGAGTGTTTAGCGAAGTTTCACAGCAACAAAGCAGAATTTTTGCGTCGTTTAATACCCATGGATGAAACATGTGTCCATCACTTCACACCCGGGACAAAAGAACAATCAAAACAATGGACTCAAATTTTCATTGACTATCTTGAAAATGGTAAAACTATCAACGGCGAGTATTATGCGAACTTATTGCAACGTGTGCGCGATGAAATCAAGCAAAAACGGCCGCATTTGGTTGAGAAGAAAGTGTTGTTTCATCAAGACAATGCACCAGCTCACAAATCCGTTATTGCAATTAACGAATTAAAGTTTGAATTGCTACCTCATGCACCCTATTCACCAAATTTAGCACCCTCGGATTATTTTCTGTTTCCAAACTTAAAAAAAACGGCTCAGTGGTCAAAGATTTTCCAACGATGAAGAAGTGATGTCGGCAGTTAATGGCTATTTTGACGAGCAAGACAGTTCTTATTATAAAAAGGGTATCGAACTTATTGAACATCGCTGGGAAAAGTGTTATAGAGCTCTAAGGAGATTATGTTGAAAAATAAATATTTTTTTTTTACAAAATTTTTGTGTTTTCTTCGTTCGGTCGGGTACTCCTGGGACCACCCTCGTATAAAGCCCTTAAAAATACCTTAAAATAATAAAGGAAAAATATAGTTATTGCTGAAAGGTGCCTTACCTTATAAGTCTCACCTCAGCTACTGTATTTGTTATACCATTGTTTAATAGAGGTGGCAACACCGTTTCTACCATTCTGACTCCCGCCTTCCCTTGACTTATATCACAGCCTCTGATACATAACTAAAACAACGTTTTTATATATTTCACGTTCAGGTTTATTATAACATTTAGTCTAACAATATTAGCATATTTCCTCGAAATAATTGTAGTCTGGTTTTATTGGTGGAAGTTGTTCAAGAGTTGATGGACTCATAAAATAGGTACACCAATTTTAGTGGGAAAACTTTTTATTTGACAACAAAGAATGGGAAAACGTGTTTTTGGGATTCAAAATGCAGGTCTTGGCACTTGTTGGTAATGCGACGATAATTTCACGCAAATACTTGAAATTCTTCAAATCCGTAGGATTCATACTTCTAAATTTGAGTATATTGGTCAAGTAGTTTTTTGAGAATTCCTAATTGTTTATCCCAGAACACCTGTTTTCTGGCCATCAATATTAGTTTATTGAGCAATATACACGGTTCGTTCAAAGAGCATTTATAGCAAAATACACGTGTTTACCTTGTCGAAATGAATCACAAACCATTCCGAAAGATACATGATATTTTTATGCAAAAAACAAAGGTTACGTTTTTTTCTTCTAAACAAATTCAAACATTTCGTATTTATGAGTAATTGAACAAATTCACTACTATATTCGAAAAACATAGTTGCTATACACATTTTAAAACAAAGCGGATGTATCTATCATCTTTTGTTGCGAATTACTCACAAATACGAAATGTTTAAATTTGTTTAGAAGAAAAAAAAACGTAATCCATACTTTTTGCATAAAAATAACATTTATCTTGCGGAATGGTTTGCGATTCATATCGGCAAAGTAAACGAGTGCATTTTGCTCAATAAACTAGTATTGATGGCCGGAAAACAGGTGTTTTGGGATAAACAATCAGAAATTCTCAAAAACTACTTGACTAATCTACTCCAATTTTGTTGTGGTTATTAAGAAGTACGAATTTGAAGAATTTCAAGCAACCGCGAGAAACCATCGTCGCATTACCTGTAGTTTGCCTCGGTTTTCGGCCATAACTTTTTTGCTATTAGTCGAATCTTTTTACGTACCTAAGAATCTTATATGAAGAGTTTTTCGTTCCTGCCAACACTTTGTTTTGAATACCCTCTTGAACAACATGCAGCAATAAAACCAGACTTTACAATTATTTCGCAAACCCGGGATATTTTCGTCTAGTATGATTAGACTAAATTTCAGCTTCAAAACTTCAAACGAAATTCAGTCAAACATAGTTCTCATAATCATAGTTCATACTACTACAACCCGAATCATTATACTTACGTACTTCGCTGTTAAAAAACGAGGTGCTTCAGATTGTTTATTTCTTTTTGAATTAGGTTTACCTTGCTCAATATCTTAGCCGTCCTACAAGCAGTAATTCTAGTCTGTTCATGATGATCGTCCATCACTCTGAACAGTTTAGTCCACAATTCATCCATAGAGCTAATTGCATCGTGAATGGATCGATTACCAGAGCCTTTCAGGAAGTCTTGAAGTGCCAGACAACAGGACTGCCTCACCCTGTATTGGTGATGGTTCAGGTTTTCCAGCAGATCGGCAAGAATTTTGTCGTAGTATTCGTCCAGCTGGAACAATGGACCAGTAATTATTCGCTACCAGTAGAGCCTCTGTGGGTTTGAAGATCAACTGAGAAGACGTATATTAAAGAGTTGACACTACCCCCAAAATCTTAAATGGAAAGGGGGGTCGAGTGATACCTTATTTTAAAGGTCTTTCAATTCCCTTTATAATGATTAAAGTTTATGTACTTCAGTTCAGTAGTTTTGAAGATTTATTGATTTAAAGCTTAAATAAAACTAATACATCATCATTAGTGGAGATCAATACATTTGGCAGCAAAGTAATTTAAAAATGAAGAATGAACTGACCCGTTAGGCAAGTAAATGTTGAAAATGGCCACCATGACTCTCCATGCAATAATAAAGATTTTGCTCAAAACGTTGCCGCTCATTTTTCAATATTTGAGGAGTAATTTGAAAGCACTCATTCACAATTCTTTGTCGCAGGTCTTCTAATGATGTTGGCTGAGTAGCATAGATTTTACTTTTTAAATGACCCCACATAAAGAAATCCAAAGGTGATAAATCTGGCGATCTTGGGGGCCAATCAATGGCACCTTTTCTGACAATCCATCGATCTAAATATTGTCGATCACGTAATGCGTAATGTGGTGGGGCACCATCCTGTTGGAACATCAACCTATTCGCAATGTACCGCCGATCATTCTGATTTTCAATTATGGCTGTTAATGCAGAATCTATGGCGTCTTCCAGTAATTCCAAATACATTCCGGTCAAATTTCCAGGTAAGAAAAAAGGACCAACTAAATGATCGCCAAAAATACTAGCCCAAACATTTAATTTTTGTGGCTACTGTGTATGAACCTCATGATAAATTCTGGGATTAGAATCGGACCAATATCGGCAGTTATGACGATTTACTACGCCATTTACGAAAAAGGAACATTCGTCGGAAAAACAAGTGTTGAATAGAAAATGTTCATCGTTTATAATTCGTTCACTCATATCTTCACAAAATTGTAATCGCAGATCAAAATCGTCTTCATTAAGTTCTTGTACCAGGTGAATTTTATACGGATGAAAACTATGCGCCTTTAGAATACGTTGGACAGTACGTCGACTAACACCACACACAGTCTCCAATTTGCGGGTACTTAACGTAGGATCTACATAAATTTGCCCTGAAACCCCCACTTCTATTGCTTCGTTCCTAATGGGATTTTCAATGTTGCGTTTTTTATTGGCGACTGACCCAGTTTCCCGAAATTTAGCTACAAGTTCTAGAACATATTTTCGATGCACGTTACTGTTCTCATGTCGCTCATTAAATATTTCTGCTGTTCTATTAGCGCACTGATTATTTCCGAAAAATATTTCGATAATTTCAACTCTGCTGTGGTTAATTTATGTAATAAAGCGTTACAAGTTATTTTAACAACAAAGTTTGGTCAAATCAATCGCAAACTATGTACTAAATTCCTATTTAAAATAAGTACGAGATATTTCCTTATCTTTCTTCAAGAAATAACTTTTTTGCCACAAAAAAAACGCTCCAATAGCTATTTTCAACAACAAAATGATAACAAACCATGGGCGTAGTAAAGAAAAGCATTTACCTATTAAGTAAATTCTTTTAGTCAAATTTCTTCTGAAAGTAGTACAAACTAATCTGATGTACCTATTAAAGTCTACTTTAAGCTTTAAATCAATAAATCTTCAAAACTACTGAACTGAAGCTCATGTATTTTACATCATTATAAAGGGAATTGAAAGACCTTTAAAATAAGGTATCACTCGACACCCCTTTCCATTTAAGATTTTAGGGTTGGTGTCTCCCCCGCCCGGGCGCTGCTGATTTTTTGCCAAACTTGTATCCCCCTCGAAAACAAAATCGACGGGTCTGAGCGTTTTTCCAAAAAACAACTGAGCTGCCAGTAAATGCGTCTGTATCGTTTTCGATGCGCCACCCTGTATATATATATATATATATATTATATCAAATAAAGACATTCAAACTGCAATAGAGCTGTTAAATAATGATATGAAAAACGTAATAAATTGGTTAAATGTAAATAAACTTGAACTAAACACAAACAAAACAAAATATATGCTAATAGGAAAATCTTTAGATCAAAATACGATAAATCTTACAATTAATTATGAAAAAATTGTGTCAATCGAATCATTTAAATATTTGGGCATATACGTAGACAGTAAATACCTCATATAATAGAAAGCATACCCTTCAAAAATATTAAAGTAAAAGAATGACTTTGAAAAACACAGCAAAACAATTTATAGATCATACTTACCACTTTTTGTGGTTCTGAGACTAACACCCTCCAAATGTTCTGCATCGAAGCCTGGATGTTTGGCGTAGGATCGAACTGATACCTATACAATTTAGGTATGATGTCGGGTAGATAGACTTTGAGATCTTCGCCGCACCTCTCCGCTATACTTGAAAATCCAAAGGCTGCTCCTTTCTTTGAGTTCCAAATCGCATTGTGATTGGCTAAATGCATAAACTGGTAGATGAGGTCAGGCTTGTTTAAGTCAGAGGCCAATGAGCACAGCTCTTTGTATGTGGTGAGGTTACCCCTGAAAGCGAATAAACAAAAAACGTTTTATTCCGATTCAGTATTTTCTAGAACCACATGTTTGACTCCCTTAGTAATTTTCTCAAAATACAAGATCAATGAACTAAAGGCCGAATGTTTCTATCTAAGGCTTCCATATCACCTCTAGTTATAGGATATTAATTTGAACCTATATGTGGGACATACTCTAAACATATAAGAAACAAAATGATCTTGCGTTCCTTAAGGACAGTAGGTGAAGTAAAGGAGCCTTGAGGTTAATGACTAGACCTGAGGTCAAACAAGACCACGTTGGAGAAAAACTTCCTTGTAACAACAAGGCCTCAAGTGAAAGGACGGCTATGCCCTTACATCTTCTTCAGAGGTATATCAATTATCAAAATTAGGAATTTTTGCTGAAATGCTTGCGTACCCTGATGGTGCTTTCCCCAATTGCCCTTCTTCGAAAAGTTTGGTGTCATCAGTCACCTGTGCCACTTGTCTCTTTCCAGACGTCAACTGTCTCACCAGAGCCGATAAGAGCTCTTCGGATTTATATGTATCATAGACTACACATATACCTTTAGAAGCTGCATCCTGAATGATATCTGAAAAAAATGACAACAAAAAATATATCATGTCAAGTTCTTTAATGTGCTGTTCCGGATTCAGTTAGACTTTTGAACATTGCTTCGTTCAACATACCTAAAGCGGAAACCTTTTTATAGTATTGAAACTTTTCTAGTGAATGGCTTCAGTGACATATAATATACAGGGTGGCCAATACATAACTGACTGATTTAAACTGCGCGCCATTTTTGATAAACGCATTTCAGTAGGTAGCGCCGAAGTAGTTGTTTAATTCATCATGGAGCGCTACACGATCCCACAACTCGTCCGTATTGTTAAAACGTTTTACTTATACATGTATAATGAGTCGATTGTTGAAACGATTCGGGAGATACGACAAGATCCGGGTCGAAATAATGTGCCCAGTGTCAACACCATTCGTCAGTTGGCGCGGAAATTTGAAAAAACAGGTGAAGTTAAAGACTTGCCAAGGTCGGGCCGTTGTTAGAAATGTTCATACTCCGGAAAATATCGGGAGAGTTCGTGAAAGTGCAGTGGAGCGCCCTGAGACATCTACCAGACATCGTTCTCAAGAACTGGGTATTCGTCGCACGTGGTTATGCACGATTTTAAAAAAGACTTGCATACCAAACTTAGTTAACCCAACAACTACAACCTAGTGACCATGAACGTCGCCGACAATACAGTCATGAAATATTTATTTATTTATCAACGAGCGACTGCCCAATTATAGTACAGCATAGAAAGTCTAATGTAAACCTAACCCTACTTTGAATTAGATATTGAAACGAATTTAATTAAAATTCAAATACATGGGGAAATCAAATATTAAACATTACAGACAGGAATCTAATTGAATTTTGAATGTTTTCTGACTTGTGAAGAAATCTGAATTGCTAACCTTGAAGATCTAGACAGGAAGGAATTACTAGCATACTTAGGACGAAATGATCTCACATGGAATGGTTGATTCAGTCTTGTTTGACGAGAAGGCACATGGAGATTCATATTTTTCAAAAGTTCCGGAGCAAAACTAAGAGAGTGCAAAATATTATAAAATAGTGACAGGTCCCTCTGATTCCATCTTACCTGAAGGGTTGAGATATTGAGAGAGCTTTCAATGACGGAATAGATAATATCTTCAACCATAATGTTTTGTTTGAATGAAATGAATCTTAAGAATTTATGTTGCACTCTCTCAATTGCCTGAATATGAACATTATAGTTGGGTGACCAAACACAAGAACAATACTCCAAATGGGGCATCACCAAAGAACAAAACAACGTTTTAAATGACTGAATATTATGAAAATCCTTAGCACATCGTTTTATAAATCCCAACAGTTGAAGAGATTTAGAAACAATCATATTAATATGGGTAATAAAGGATAATTTTGGGTCAAGAATTACCCCTAAATCCCTAACTTGGGATACACTCTTTAGAGGACAACCTTTCATGGTATAAGTATGATCAATGGGGTCCCTGTTACGGCTGAAGACCATTAAATGACATTTTTCCACATTAAGTTCCATTCTATTCATTTGACACCAGAGACTTAATGAATTCAAATCATTTTGGATATTTAAACAATCATTATTATATTTGATTTTTAAGAATAATTTCAAATCATCCGCAAACATTAGAAAACTAACAGACTTAAAACAGTATATAATATCATTCACGAATATATTGAAAAGAAGAGGACCCAGATGGGAACCTTGATGTACTCTTGAGCAGCTGAAGAACAATATTACGGAAGCGATTGAAAATATTCCTTCCGAAACCTACCCAAAAAGTGATGGAAAATGTAATCAAGAGGGCTAACGTTTGCAAGGCTTCTAGAGTAGGACATTTGTCTGACATTCATAATACATAATTTCTAAGTTTCAATAAGAGATTCAGATGAAAAAAAATGGACGTATTTTATTTCATTTCATAAATATTCAAGATACAAACCAGTCAGTTACATATCGGCCACCCTGTATATCAATATTATTGGTTATACTTTTAATATATATTTTAGTGATTACGTGTGATTTGAAGTTGTCTGTATTTTTGAATGTGTCTTGTTCGTTTTATTTAGTATTAATGCTGAGTGTGCACTGTAAACTTTTCCTTTTTTTTTTGTCATACGTGAGTGCCTCTGCATGCCTAACATCAATAAAGATTATTACTATTATAAAATGATGCTCACCATTATTCTCGCACAACAAATCCATAAAGACGTTCTGCACTCTCTGAAGCCGCTTGGTGATAGGCTCCCTCTCTCCACATCCTTTAATGACCGCCAGCAGCCATATGCACGAAGCTTGCTTGGAATTGGGATGAGTGTGCGTGGCCAGCTTGAGCAGCTCGTCCAGCAACCAGTCCAAGGTGTCGTCCGATTGGACCTCCGAAGTCTCTGGTTTGTAGTCTGAGGGCAAAGTCGTCCAGGCGTTGCGAGCCTCAGACGACCAGATGCTTTGACAGCACATTACGAGAGACTCGCCGATAGTGAAGTGTACCTCTACGTCCTTTGTCTGCAACATTGAGAAAATCGTAAGTTTGTGTTGATACGAAGTCTATCGATCAAGAAAGCAACATACAAGGTCTGTAAATTAAGTGATGATGCTGATTTTTTTTAATATTTTTTTTTTCAAATGTGATTACACCTCCCGGTGATTTTTCAACATCGGGGGGAGAAAAAATTCACAAGGACTCAAATCAGGCAAACAAGGAGGCTGGGGAGCCACAGGAATGTTTTTACTGGCCAAACACTTGTTTATGGACATTGCTGTGTGACGAAAAGCATTATCGTGATGCAGCACCCAGTTGTTCTTGATCTGATAAACGGTGATCTGAGTCAAATTTTACTCTTCCCAGATCATTCTGTCAACCGACGATCTGAACACACAAAATCATGGATTTTGTCGATATTTTCATCGGTACTTCAAGATGAAAGCCTCCCGCTTAGTGGTTCATGTTCAATCAACTCTCTCCTCTCGCAAAATGCCTTAAACCACCGAAAACTCTGGGCTCTTGACAAAAAACTATCTCAGAATCAACACCTACTAGCACATTGTTGCTCGAAAATGATGTCACTCATTTTTAGACCACAATAGAAAAAACTGTTACACAAAAGAAATCGCTAGGATCAACCAAATGACTCAAGCGAGTTCAAACTTATACTGAAGGCGGATCACAAGTTCCCCTGTCTCCCCTCCAAGCCTGGCGCCTCCATTGTTGCCAGATCGAACGCTACGCTGCCAGTCTCATCACTTAATTTACAGACCTCATATTATGGAATCTGTATCAAAAAATGATGTCAAGTAGATTGATTCTATACTTCCTACGTTTTTCGTTGGAGGTTTCAAAGAAAAGAAATTAGTGACGTCGTTTCTAAAGGCGGAATACTCGTAGATTCGTGACTAGGAAGGTTCACACAGGTACGATAAATCTTCGACCTCTACATGTCAAACTATATAAAATAAATCAATCATATTTCTGATTCTTTGGCAAATGTAGGGAAAACATGTGTGACTCATTATATCTAACAGGTGCATAATATTTATTCACCGCATACAGCTGGCAACCTGCAATATTTAATCCCAGACAATGTCTGAAAATGGGCAGGAGTCTACGAAACGTTATAACACTATGTCCCTGAAACTTTGGAACCCTATGTTCCAGCGATTTTTATTTATTTTTTTTTGTAGCCTTAAACTTACCTCTTTAGCAGTATCTAAAAATCCCTGCAGCACTTCTTTCGTATGCGGGAATCTCTCCCCGACGCATAACAATCCTAAAGCTTTCGCAGCTTTTTCTCTTACTTTAGGCGATAATTTTGTGTTGTTCATAACCTCCAACAATTGGTTAACAACGTCGATCTTCGAAACAGAATCAGTCGCTGGTCTTTTAGCGTCAGGACTACCGTTCTTGGGTGTGCCGTCAACCAGTGGTAGACCGTGAACTCTACCCAAGAGGCCAACACTTGTGCATGCACCTCCCAGAAGAAGCGGATTCTGATTTTTCAAGAAAGGAACTGTAACGCAAAAACTTGTATGAATTAATAAAGGTCATGAAAAAGTTGAAAAACAATTATGAGTTTGATATTCACGCAATCAGCATATTGTAACGAAAACGCCGTTTTTACTGTCCAAAGTAACAATAAACATTAATCGCCTCAAGAAGATGTCAAAATTGAAAGGAAATCAAAATATCAAATAAAACAGTTATACCAGTTAGCCACCTTGGAGAATCACCCACTTTTAGCAAAGTTTAGCTAAAATTCATCATAGATTTCAACTAACCCTAGTAATTTCTCATATTGGCCCAGCTTGGGGAGAAACCTGTACATGAACATCTTTGTCATAGTTAATTTTTATAAAAAATCTATCTTGATTAAATTTCGTAGTGCTTGAGGACAATTTCTGCGAAAACGTCCATATCTAAAGTAAGTGCGAAAATAGAGAGAAAACTGAATATTTTCAAAGTGAAAAAAGCGTGTCGCCAGCATCCCTGAAACTGCGCATTCCAGAAAAAAGTTTCAAACGACACTTATTAGGTGTTTACGGGGCAAAATGGCGACCTTGGCAATGACCTCCATCTACCTTTAAGGTCCTTTCAAGGTCAAGTGAATGTTTCGAAATGAATCCCCCTTTTTCATCTCGGAGGAGCAAATTTTGACCTTGAACATCGCCTTTAAGCCATTTAAAAGTCAAATCAAGACATTGAAAGCAATTTACTCCGGCAAAAAATTTCGACAGCGCTGTTGTGAAGTTTTTAAGGATCACCCAAAGGTGACCTTGCCATTGACCTTGACCACCACTCTCAAGGTCAAGTCCGAAAACCTTTAATTTATATACTGTAAGTGAAAAAATTGTGGAAATATAACATAAATGTAGCTTTTTGCAAGGAGATCAGCGGTGGTATCAACGCGCGTAGTTTTATGATCTCAAAAGGTGTATTTGACACCATATGCTTACCAACAGCCTGAAGACTACTCTTATACAAGTCCCACTTCGACACGTCTTTCTTAGCAGCCTTCTTGTTCATAATTTCCAATTCCATGCAGTTCCCTATGCCGAGCAGGTGCCCATGTTGACCTTCCAAATTTTTACTGCTCAACTGGGACATGAGTGCGTTCACTGCAGACTCAAATTCGCTATTCTTTGTAGATCCAGTCAGTACTAAACTATACAGCAGAGCGCTATACTCCCTGATCTCTTCTTTTGTAGACGAAAGTTGATCTTTGATCCATTGTAAGTCGTTGGAAAGAAGAGTGTGGAGAAATGGAACGCATCCGATAAGTTCAACCATGCAGCATAACGGTTGAGGAGCTAAAATACAAAAGGATCTGTTATTTCAGAAATCACCTGAATCACATCTTTTCAAAATACTTATTTTGCTGAAAACACTTCCTTAAAGGTAGATAGTATTTTAGGCATAATCCAAGCAAATCTATGCATACACGTTTATTGCAAAAGCAAGGTTCCTACATCATGTATCTTTTTTATTGAAAAAATATATATTGCAGTCTGGTTGTCAAATACATGGGTTCTCCTCCAACTAGTTGCCGATTATTGAAGAAGAGACGACCAATAAGTAATAAAAATATGATTAACACGATTCTTCTGCTTAAGATGTACACTGAGAACCAAATTTGTCTGATGGCTTGAGTTCAATGTGTATAGACAGAAGTGTGTATACACGTATGTTAGAAAGAGATGGAAGCCGGCTGGATAGCGAGGCAATTGTAAGACAGTAGGCTAGAAAACATATAAACATAAAATTTTTTGTCGATTCTTGCGCAAGTCCTGAACAAAATGACTTTGCAAAATATTGATGTTTACTAACCAGGATTTGCAATCAGCAGTCGTCGAACCAAATTCGCATATTGTATTAAAGAACTTTGTTTGCTGTCATCGCCATTCTTTGCCTTTGATTGCATGTATACGCTTATCTTTGGCGTATATTCACACGGATGTTTCAAGATATCCCTCGTCAAAGGCACGTCTAATTCTCTTAGCAAGGTCAACCTTATGTAGATCAGAATCTGAAATAAAATAAGATCAGTTTTAAAACATAGCGTCAAGTCGATTGGCTGTACTTCCCGCGAAAATCTAGACAACTGGATGTTGAATATAAAGCATGCAACTTTTGCACAAAATTACCATTGGACGTTAGTTCTTACCTCAACAAAAACGCTGACATTGAATGGTAACGTTTGATTACCGACAGTAACAGCTTTAGATGCATCCTTCAAGTTTGTTTCTGCCTCAGTATAGACATATTGGGTGATTTCTTCAAAAGAGGGCATGTCCATTTTTTTAGATTTATCCCTAGCTAAATCGACATCGTTCTTTCTCATTGTTCCATATAAAGCCTTGAATGCTTCCGATGATACGTCATCTTTGCTGAAAACAAACATCTTTATTGTTTATTCCTTGACGTTAAAAACGATTACGGCATACTTATAACGTGTACGGTTCGCCCATAAATGTTTGTTTGTTTTAAGATTTATTTAGCATGATTGCTACAATTACATTCTTCTAGAAAACTAAACAATTACATAACATACAGACATTCACAAAAAAAAATTGTATCTCATTCTCCATAAAATATTCCTTTAATTTTTTTTTTTTAGACTTTACGAGTATATCATTATTTAGTTTATTAAATTCAAGTAGTCCTTTCTGAAACATTGATTTGCTAGTTATAATGGGTGTTTTTTTTGCTAGTATCTTTTTGGCAACACTGTTTTTGACAGATGACGCGTGAATCGTGTCTTGTGTCATTGTCAAACTTGTTCAGTTTGGTCTATAATTTAACCATGAATCGACTTCGAACGAACAACGGTTGCAAATTATTGAATTTTACTATCAAAATTCATGCTCGGTTAAGAGAGTGCATTGAGCGCTGCTTCCAATTTATGGGCAATTTGGTCGGCCTACTGAGGGAGCTACTCGGAAGCTTGTGACTAAATTTCGAACCCAGTTTACATTATTGGACATTAAACCACCAACACGCAGGCGTAGAGTGAGGACTGAAGAAAATATTGCGGCTGTATCCGCCAGTGTTAGTGATGACCGTGAAATGTCCATTCGCCGCCGTTCGCAGCAATTGGGCCTCTGTTACTCCACTACGTGGAAAATTTTGCGACAGGATTTGGATGTAAAACCTTATAAGATACAGCTGGTGCAAGACTTGAAGCCACACGACCTCCCACAACGTTTCCAATTTGATGAATGGGCGCCGGCAAAGTTGGAGGAAGATCCACATTTTTATCGAAAAATTGTGTTCAGCGACGAAGCTCATTTCTGGTTGAATGGGTACGTTAACAAGCAAAATTGCCGCATCTGGAGTGAAAACCAGCCAGAAGCATTGCAAGAGCTACCAATGCATCCCGAAAAAATCCCTGTTTGGTGTGGATTATGGGCCGGTGGCATCATCGGGCCGTACTTCTTCAAATACGACAATGGCCGGAACGTAACTGTGAATGGCGAGCGCTACCGTGCGATGATAACAAACTTTTTTTTGCACAAAATGGAAGAGCTGGACTTGGCTGACATGTGGTTTCAAAAAGACTGTGCCACATGCCACACCGCACACGAAACAAGGGCCCTATTGAGAGGCGAGTTCGGTGAACAGTTTATCTCACGTTTGGGGCCCGTCAATTGGCCGCCTAGATCGTGTGATTTAACGCCGTTGGACTATTTCTTGTGGGGCCATGTTAAGGCTAATGTCTACAGTGATAAACCAGCAACGATTGACGCACTGGAAGGCAATATTGAAGCATTTATTCGTGAGATACCGGCCGATATGTTGGAGAGAGTGTGCCAAAATTGGACCTTGCGCATGGGCTATCTAAAGCGGAGTCGCGGCCAACATTTACATGAAATAATCTTTAAACATTAAATTATATCGACCGTTCTATCGACTCAAATAAAGATTTAATCGTTTTTTCCAATTTTTTGTGTTTTTTTGAAAATCAAATCTAATACCTCTTAAAAAATCACCCGTTATTACTATTGCAATTTTGTAAATGAAAATCTATATTTCCTCTTGTATAATCATTGTGGTAATGATTATTCAGTTCTATGTAATGTTCTAAATGTTCTGGCAAAAAATGACTTTTTATTTTAAATATAAAAATAAGAACCAAATATGATATGAAATTTTTTATATTCAACCACTACAATTCTTGTAACATAGATTTTATTTTGGTGTACTTATTGTTATTCAATATTATTCTCATAGCTTTATTTTGCATCAAAATGTTAAAGGAAAAAAACATTTCTTTTGATCAGATCTACTCACTGTTAAAATAAATGACTCCACTTCGAAGTCACCCGTATATATACCTAAATATTTAATTGATTCAACATTTTCAATTATTTCTCCATTTATCCTAACTGTGATAGTATTTTCATTTAGGTATTTCCCTATTAGCATACATGTTTTGGAAGTTATTCAATTTTAGTTTATTTACATTTAGCCAATTTATGATTTTTGCCAAGTCAGAATGTAGCATTTTTAAAGCAGTGTCTATATTTTCATCTGATATGTGTATTAATGCACTGAGTTACTTTTAGCTTTGCAAATAATCACAATTTGCGATATACAAGGTCTGTCGCAAAGTAAACAGGACAAAGAAAGAAATGAACAAGCATTTTTTGTATCGGAAAATCCAAAATAGTCTCCTTTAAAGTTAACACAGCGATTTGGACTGACCAACACAAACCGTGAACACACCTTTCTCATGCGATAGATTGAATCTTTGGATAATATATTTAATTCCATTTCTATGTATCTCAATGAATATTTTGGATCATTTTTGATAAATTCACGCACTTTTTCGACGGTGTCATACGTAATCACAAATTCTGGCTGGCCAACATGTTCGTCGTCTTTCAGCGACTCACGACCCTCTTTAAACCGTGTAAACCAATCGTGTACTCGGCTAGGAGATAAACAATTATCATCATACACTTGCATCAACATCTGATGGGTATCGGTAAACGTTTTACCAAGTTTAACTATTGGTACTGGTACTGGTACTGTCACGTTGACCGCGATAACTCCGCGTGAAGTGGTTCGATTGTCATGACATTTTGACAGGGCATCAATGAAAGATGTACCTATCCAACGCTAGTCGGCGATAATAGATGGCGCTACTTGTATCGGATATCTTTCAAAGGTCCTGTTTACTTTTCGACAGATCTTGTGTTATAGATTATGGTATTTAATTATATCCAGAGCAATAATTCTAGTGAATAAATAATCAGACTCACCTGTCTCCAGTAGCTGTTAAGAGCACAAACCTCGACGGTACATGTTTGGGAGGGAATATGGTCGCTAGCGTTCTCACTGCCACAAATCTGACCATAGGCTCGTTCGACGTCATTTTACTCTTAATCAGAGCGAACAAAATATTCAACCTTCCATCCTTATCGCATTCGTCGGGGAAAATGTCGTATTTATATGCTGAGATTAGATTCAATATACCTTCTCTGATCTGAACGCGTAACTCTGGGTTTGCATTTTCCATACCTTCAAAACAGTTATTTGCTTGTTATTCCAAAGTTTTCCTGATTATTTTTTTTATTTGTAAGTACATACAGATAGTAATAGTCATTAATTCCCCAGGAAAACTACGCCCTAAAGTTTGTAATTTTCAACAACGTTGACCTCTCAAAGGATTGTATTTGATAATATTCAAATGATACCAGAAAAAGATACAAAAACGTAAGTCCCTGACATAGCAGTAACAAACGAGAGTAGTAAACTCGTGTCAAAAACCGAGTGGTACTTTTTAAACTATAGAGGAGTCAAACAATACTGGGTAGATACCAGGCAAATATACAGAAAACGACGGAATTAGATAGCACTTTTTGTTTTCTAGTTTCAAAAAGAATATAGTGATCGTACCATTGAAAAAAGTTTCTAGCAACCCAACATCATGGTATACTTTTTCGGGAAAGCGTTGTGCAAGCATACCAATAGTAACGAATGCCTGACCTTGATGCATCTCTTCACCTTCTTTGATTAGTTTTTGCAGCCCTGATAACAGGACTACTGACAGCTTGGACAGTGGATCAACATTCGCACTAAAATATGCATTAAAAGGTTAAAAATTGTCTTTGACAAAAATCTACATTGACATAAAATTAGATGTATGCCACTGTTACTAAAATTATGGATCATTATAGAAACTGTAGATGGCAACTCTGGTTCACCTAGCGCAGACTGCTGGATCAGCAGAACCTAGACAGTGTTGCCATTTACACTGATTCATATTTATAGAGGTGATCCGAAACAGCAAAGTATTTGGCAATATTCAAAGGTTTTGGACCATGAAGGTCAGATCAAGGTTAATATGATTTTTTAAATGAAATACTGTATTTTCGACCCCAGAAACGATTAGAACGGAAAATTCTACGTTTAGATATAAGCTTGGGTGAGAATTATTTTGAACTTGAACGTCCATGACCAAGGTCATGTCTAAAAGTGAAATTTTACGCTCTATCTATTACAGCATCAAACGTAAAGGGTAACATGCAAAAAATGTTTAGATGTTGATTTGACCATCAAGGTTATGGTCAAGGTCAGTTCCAAGATCATTGAATCAGTGAATATCCAGGCAAATTGAAGCCCATGTTGGATTTGAATACTTTTAAGCTCCTTTATCTTTGAAAACATCCTTGAAATGTTCTCAAACGACTTTTTATGCAGTGACCTTGACAAGGGCATTCAAGAATGTTCACCCAAGGTCATGGCTAAACATGAAATTAGGCATTCTACCTATTAAGTATCATTAAAGAAAATTGTCTTGATACTGATTTAACCATCAACGTCATCGTAAAGCCTAATTTCGAAGTCATCAGTAAATAGAATGAGAAAAATTGAGACTTCAGCTGAGTTTGCCTCACGAGCCAAATTCTAAATACCTACTATTTCTCAAATATTCTGCTGTTTAGGAACTACTGGATCAGCCAGCATTATAATTTAGTTGAACAGTAAAATACTGAACATCCAAAAATACTCACTATCTTATAATATTATTTGTGAACGTCAAAGCTTGAGTTTTCAACCTGGTGTTTGTTTGGGTTCCATACAAAGAATCAAAGATAATTTGAATGCATTGGGGAAACGCAAATCCCCCACCGGTAATTCTGCATAGATAAGTGAGTAGCTTTAGACGAATCCTTGTGTTTGCCGGCATTTTTTCCTGTTCAGGTTTCTTTGTTTTGCCTTGAGTACCCAAAAATAAATTGTATAGAGGCAAGCATACTTTAAGGGAACCCCAATCCACAGATCTGCAAAAAAGGTTAAGTATACAAAGTGATTCAAAAAATGATGGCAATATTTCTAGAGCAGAATTCCTATTCAAAAATTACAAAAACATAAGCCTCAAAAAGTCCCATTATATTACAGGGTGTTTATAGGATTAGATGTACGATAGATTTTTATTGTTAAATTTTAAATTTCAGCAAATTTTTCAAGTATGCCCAAATCATTTTTTTATATGAGTTTTATCTCAAATATTCGAGACAATTTTTTTCTCAAAAGGTACGGTCAGATAAAAAGAGAGAACCTATGTAATTTTTTTTTTCTAGAAATGCAATACTGTGTCTTATCAATAGAGCTCAAAGTATCTGAGTTCTTACGCTAGGATTAAAATGCCGAAAAGTAATGTGCCCACTCTAACACTTCTTCCACCGCACAGCACCAGAACATTACTGGGCCACTAATGCATATGGATGGACTTTACAGTTGCTGGGGCTGGGAACGTCGTGAATGAACAAAGACATGATTGGACCAAAGACCGAACCCAGAGGAACACTGGTACTTATAGTAGTAGTAGTTGTAGTAGTAGTAGTAGAAAGATTTATTTAGCACATTTGGCTACATAAACAGAATAATTGTAAACAACTTAGAACTAGTAAATTCAAGCCATATAGTGTATGATGTAAATACTGGGCAACCTATAATTGTAGATTTAACAAGTGATTTCTCAATTTTACTTTAAATTTTGTCAAAGTTTTTGGTCTTTTATCTCTGAGTATAATTTATTATATTCAACCAACCCTTGATGGAATACAGATTTGTAGCATATGTTATACTTTTTGGTCATTAAATGGAAGCCATCTTTATTTCTGGTATTATGTAAATGATGGTCGACATTTGATGATGTTAAATTAGTTAGACTTGATGGAAATATATTATTTTTTACTTTATAAATGAATATCATTACAAGATATTTGATAAAAATTCTTACATTGAGCCATTTTAATTTGCTAAGCATTTGCATATGTATTATTCTCATGCACTCATTTTGTAAAATTTGCAGTCATTCAAAAATGGAATTATTTGCTAAATATAGAATAGTCGAACAGTACTAGGAATTTGGAAGAATGATGGTATTATAGATAATTTTTCTGCTATATGAACTCAAACATCCAGAAACTCTCGATAAATATCCCACTTTATTACTAATCTTATTTATAACTTTTTCATAATGAATATCAAAAATTAATCGAGAGTCAACAAAAACCCCCAGGTATTTAAAATTTTTTACGAATTCAATATCTTCACCATCAATATTCAGTTGAACATTTTTACATTGTTTTTTCCGATTAACAAGGCTTTCGTTTTACTTGTATTTAATCTAAGTCTGTTAGATGCTAACCATTTTGAGACAAGTTTCAAGTCTTCATTTATATAAGAGATACCAGTCTGAATATTTTTAGTACTTATATAAATCATAGTGTCATCAACGAAAATCTGAATTTTGCATTTTTTGACTATGGCAGGTAAATCATTTATGTATAAAATAAAAAGAAGTGGTCGCAGGATACTGCCCTGTGGAACACCCAACATATTTTCTAAACCAATCTAAAACACTTCCTGTTATACCATATGCCTTCAATTTACCTAACAAAATATCTCTATCAATCGTTTCAAATGCCCTCCTCAAATCCAAAAATACTGCTATGACAACTTCTTCTGAGTCTATGGCTCTTCTCCAATTTTCAGTTACCAACTGGAAAGTACCCACAATATCAACAATACTTTCCACAAAATATTCATTTAGTTTGTTTGCAATCACCAAAGAATTTGTTTCGGTACCGTTTTCGAATTGAACTTGATTTACACAATCATGCGGTTTCGAATTGATCAGTCTTTTTAAAGTCTTCCACATCTTTATACTGTCGCACTTGTTATTATCGATTTGTTTATCGTAGAATTTCCTTTTTTCTTCTCTAATTACATACACACATTTATTATAGGCCGTGTTGTTGACAGTACATTGTTGATTTTGATTCGAAATCCGCTTCCTTCTAGAAAGGACTTAAGTTTTAGAAGCCACAAAGGGAATCAAAGGATTCCCTGTAGGATAATAAAGAAGTCTTAGGCTGTAAATAAACGAATTCGTGGGAAATTTCGTCATAAATTTCTAAGCCAACCTCAAATGACCCCGAAAAATCATTTCTCGTTTTTAGCTAAGGTGAAAAACCAATAATTTGATTGGATAAACATGGTGAAATGATAGAAAATCTATGTATGCTCATTTTTTTTAAATCTGGGTCAACTTCACGTGACTTTGGTTATTGTTTCGAGGATTTTCTCGTAATTTAAAGGTGGAAAAACGAAATCTTTGGTGGAAAATCGTGGTAAAATAATGAAGAAATGATGTGTAATGATTTGGAAAATCTGGTCTACCTGAGCTTATTTCTAATTTTTTTAACCTAATGTTGGAAAAACATGGCAAAACGGTGGAAAATGGTATGACACGTCGTTTTTTAACAGCTCAGAATTTTATGGGCTAACTTCACAGACCTGGGAATTGGTCATTTACGCTTCATTTCTTTTTCTGTCTTACTGGAGGGAATCCATCATGTTGGTGTTGTCATTCTTCAATAGTAAATGAGTATTTTGGAAAACTAGGAGAGATACCAGGATGGTTAACCTGTTTTATTCAGTCATGCAGTGTGTTTATTTAGGCCGCTTGGTTCATGACAATTTAAAATGTCGCGAGTTTTGTTCTTTCTCCAAAATTTAGGCATCTCTCAGTTTTCTTATACATTCTATCAAGTCTTCCATTTTTCCATCGTTGGCATTGCTTTTGGCATTTGTTCTTTTGGGGGTGGTATCTGGATATCCTGTTCGAGTCACATTCCATTTTAATATTTCTATTTTTCTGAAAATTTCTGGAGCGCAAAAAATTTGATTGACTCAAATTTTGGGACCCATGTTGATATGAATTTTTGACATATTTTCTGACTTGTAAATATTGCCACTGTTTTTTGACTCTTGTATGTAGGATGTAATAATATATAGAACTCTTAGAATGAAGGAACTACATATGAATCATTTTTTTAATGAAAAGTGAATGCCACCTTCAAAAATGGTGGTTGTAATTTGAAACAGTTCCGAAAAATTATAATGACAAGACTGTTAGAAATGTTTATTGTAACACTCCTATAAACATATTACTTACCCCACAACTTTCTTAAGTTCATTTTCGGCCAAATTAACCACAGCAAATCGGGTGTCTGAACCAGCAATAATTAAATGCGGCAAAATATCTTCATTTGCAAAAACTCCATGGCCAATAAACTTTACTATACCTAGCTTGATCTGCAATAAATCAACAAGCATCAATCAGAGTCCAACAAGACTGTCTTGGCTTGATCTTACATACATTCACTTGCGTGTGTGCTGGAGGATGCAAATACGTTTTACTCGTATTTTATAAAAATGCTGATCTACAAATGGGCAAATTTTTTTCTGACTTTATTTTAGGCAATATTGGAAAAGAAATTACAGTTTACAGATGTTGTCTCTAGCCAATTCAAAACGCATACAGTTTTATTCCATGAAAACGCTTATGTTGCAGGTTTCTTAATTTTAAAAAAAAGTTTTTTATTTTATTTTAGTAGGCGTTGCAAACAAATGATTGATGAAAGGTTATGTGAGTACTGATAGACGCATATTACGTATTACTTGTTTTTTTATAAAACCTCAAACAAAAAAGTCCAGGGAAATTAAATCCGGGGAACGCACCGGCCAGGACACTTCACTGAAGGTTACAATCCACCCTCCGGGAAATCACTGAGAAAGATTTTCTCGAACTTCCCTAGAGTTATGTGCAGCAGCACGGTCTTCTTGAAACCAACAGTTATTAAACTGTGCCAAAGGTAAATAATCCAGGCAGTATTTATCACGTTGCAACAATTGAAGGTGTCGTTCTGCTGTTAATGAGTTGTAAATGGACCTAATATTTTGGTCCTTAGAACTCCAAAATATTCTTGATATCTGGATACTTTTTAGCCAGCAGATTTTCTTTTAATGAGTGTTGCGGCGATTTAAGATACCATTTTATTAGCGACCATACTCTCGTTGAACAATATTATTTTTGAAGGGGATTTAAAATCTTCACACGTTCGTGTGTATCAATCACAAAAATGCTGACGCCTTTGGCAAATCCTGAACTCATAGGAGTGATATCTCTTTTTACGCAAAATAAATTGGGCTGTGGATTTGGCTACTCCTATATTTTTCTCAGTCTCAGAATTGTCAGCAACTGCTTGTAAATCACTATTCCGAGTTTCCTCTAAAGATTTTTCGATACGTAAGTCCAAATGTCTGAATTTCCGATTAACTGCCTTTAATCACAGAACAATGACGCCCAATTTCCAATAATGCAGTGGTACCAAGCCGAAAAACGCAGAATCACCATTTTATTTATATTTGCGTCAAGCTGAATCTCTAGGCAACCAGACTTAGGCAACCCTCTTATTTCCACGCCATCATCGATGCGCGATCAAATTGATCAGGGTTGTCAGGTATGGTGATTTTTCACCGAATCTAGTGATTTTTTTACCCGTTTGTATCAATTACATATTTGCAAAAGTCTGTACTCTATTGTCAAAGAGATCCGAAAGACATAAATATTAGTTGTAACTAGATACCTTTTAAATATACTAAGTGACATATAAATCCGAACACCCAGTTTAAATGGTTTTATTTTAATCAAATTTTGTATAAGTACTTAATGAAGCATAATAAGTAAATGATAAAAATTTCAAAATGATTGCACTGCTTTAAAGCCCTTTGACCTTTAATAATGTGTGGATGCACCCTGAGGTGCTACGCATTCTCCAACGCGCCTAGGCATGCTTCTGATCAGGTGGTCAATGTCCTCCTGTGGTATCTCATTCCAGGCAACCACCAACTCCTCTCGAAGTGCTTCTAGAGTCTGAGGAGGACGTTGCAAATTGAGCAATCTCCTACCCATCATATCCCACACGTGCTCAATTGGGGATAAGTCGGGAGATCTTGGTGGCCATGGTAACAATGTGACATCATTATGTTGAAAGAAGTCTATTGTGACTCTTGCAACATGTGGTCGGGCATTATCTTGTTGGAAAGTTGGATCTGCCAGGGTGTCAAGATAGGGTAAAAGATGGTGTTCTAGAACTTCGTGGATATAACGCTGCGCGTTCATGTTACCTCTGATGAAGATTAAAGGTGACCTGGAACCATCAGCTATAGCACCCCAAACCATAACTCCAACAGTCTGATGAACATGTCTTTCAACAAAAAAATGTGGATTCCTCCTTTCACCATGTCGCCTTCTAACCCTGGCACGACCATCGTGCATGCCTAAACAAAATCGAGACTCGTCACTAAAGACAATACTGTTCCATTCCTGATCCCAGAGTGACCGTTGTCTGCACCACTCAAGGCGATTACGTAGGTGTTCTCGAGTTAAAGGCAGGACCCAGTGTGGCCGGTATGAAAACAAGCCAAAACTTCTCATGCGTCGGTAAACACTTCGCATGCCAATAGGTCTTCCGTGTTCTGCAAACCATTCATTCGCAATGGACCTGGTAGTGGAGAAACGGTCCCTTAAGGCCAATAATCCTAGGCGGCGATCTTCACGGTCTGTTGTTCTACGGCGGCGTCCAGTGCCCCTTGCTCTTTGCGTACGGCCTTCTCGAAGCCATGCCTGACAACACCTAACCACAGTGTCTACACTTCTTTGCACTCTAACTGCAATCGCCCGAAAAGAAAGTCCAGCTTCCCGAAGTCCCACTATACGGCCCCTATCAAACTCACTAAGTTGACGAAATCGTACAGGTCTCCGTACTCTAGGCATCGTAACCGATCGTAAAGGATGTCAAGTACCAAACTCCGCCAACGTTGATTCTTTGCTGCGGCTGAAATATTCATTTTTAGAGCGTTAGTGAATTAAAAAAAAGCAGTATAAAAACAGGAATGTCCAACTGATAAGGCTGAACATTTTTTCACTTGTTATTTACAGTAAGATAAATACATTCACCAACTTTTATTAAAATAAAACCATTTAAACTGGGTGTTCGGATTTATATGTCACTTAGTATATCTTACATACGATGTGTTTCATTTGCAATAGGAAGGATTGAAAAATAAATCAAAAACAAATGTTTCAAACATGTAATGTCAAGATTCTCAAAAACTTTCGAACATAGTCTAGAGCGTTAGTTTTTCGGAAAAGTAAATAAATTTCGAGAAGAAAGTGACCTTTCGAAGATGCAAATATGCTCTTAATATAATTAGCAGTAGCTGAAATAACCGGAAGCCAATCATTGCACCGAGTACCCGGTACTCGGAATTCGAATCTTTTTTGAAAAAAGTGGTACTCACTATGGGAGCAAATCATCATCGAAGTGCGAAAAGGGACTGACAGTTACAACAGTTTCTCAGATAATACAGATACACCTACTGGTTAGAGTAGCACCCACCACCGTTTCACACTTGCATTCTGTCACTGGGGAGATGATATTCTTCTAATGGGACTACATGTTGAAATTTTGTCACAATTTTGAGAAAGATGAATGAATTGTAGATATATGGGGTTGTCCAAAACGGACGCAGGAAAGTAAACGCATATTAAAACAAGAAAAATTGATATTCAAATCAAGTTGGGTACTTTATTTTGAAGGTTCATTTATACCATTTATGTATGAAAAATAATATCGCTCAAATGTTCACCACGACTGGATTTAAAGACGTCCACGCGATGGTCGAAATTTTCAATGACATTTTGCAACATGGTCGGTTCTATGGCATTTATCTCGGCAATGATGTTTTTGAGTTCTTGGAGGGTGGCTGGTTTGTTGACGTAGACTTTGCTTTTCAAATATCCCCATAAAAAGAAGTCCAAGGGAGTCAAATCGCGCGAAATCACGCGATCACCGAAGAAGGACTGCAATCAATGGATATTGACGTTGGTTGTGTGGCATGATGCACCGTCTTGTTGGAAATAAACATCGTCCACATCCATTCCTTCAAGTTGCGGCAAAAAATAGTCCTCTATCATCACGTGATATCGCTCAGAATTGACGGTAACGGCGTCCCCGGTCGCATTTTCGAAAAAGTAAGGTCCGATGATGCCTTTTGACCACAATGCACACCACACAGTCACTTTTTGAGGATGCATCGGCTGCTCTTGATACTCACGAGGATTTTCGTTCGCCCAGATGCGGCAGTTTTGCTTGTTTACCGTCCCATTCAAAGTGAAATGCGCTTCGTCGCTGAACATGATTTTTGATGAAAAATTGGCATCAATTTGGCGGTGTCCGAGGAGCCAATCTGAGAACGTTCGGCGCGAAAAATGGTCGGCTCGACGCATCTCTTGCGTCAATTGGATCTTGTAGGCGTGTACATTCAAATCCTTGTGGAGAATGCGGAGCAAACTGGTTCTCGAAATGCCCAATTCTTGGGATCGACGCGTTGTTGATTGTTTCGGAACGTCTCTCACTTCTCACACTCTCCTTCACAACAGCAATATTTTCCGGTGTGCGAACGTTCCTTGGCCGGCCAGAGCCTGGCAGATTTGCCACAGAACCTGTTGCCTCGAATTTACGCACCAGACGACCGATGGTTGTTTCGTTTGAGCGGTTGTTGCGACCGAAATGTTCACGAAGCGAAACGTGTTTTTTATTTTTGCACCATTTTTGTAGTGCTCTTGAATAACTTTAATGCGGTCTTCAATCGAATACGACTCCATAGCGATCAATGGTAAACATTCAGCTAACAAAATGACGTCGGTGACAGAAAACAAAGATGGCGTCTATGTCAAATTGACGTTTACTTTCCTGCGTCCCTATTGGACAACCCTTTATATTAAAATGTCAGAGGCTTTTGAGTACAGCACTGCCAAATAACAATGAGGATCCTTAAATACTTTTTGATAAATATTCTTTACCTCTTCCAATTCATCAGGCTTTAATGGATTACCAGTAGTCACTCTCTTGTATGATGCCTCACTCATACAAGGTGGTATTGATAAACTACTACCAGATGACTGATCAGTTGCTTCAGTTTGTGTTGGTGATAATGCACTGGAAATAATATTAAATGTGATAGGTTTGACTTTGAAAATATATGGACCAGAAGCTACTTACCTATATGGTAGAAGTAACATATCCAACAAAATATCCAACAACTGTTTAGTAATATGTGGTTTTTCGTTCAATCCAAATACTCCAGATACCTTTTCTGGATCAGTAGGAACTTTTATTTTACCTAATAGTGGTACAATAAGCAACAACAGACTGTCAACATGAGACTGAAGTTTATTTTCTAAGGCAGTCAGGACTGTTGGAACCAATTCTGTTTGCTTTTCTATTGGCAGTCTGGGAAAGCCAGATTTCAAATATATAATGGTGAAATTCTACAAAAGAAATTATATTGTATAAATACATATCACTATTTGTGAAATAAAATTATCATAAATTGAAACTTAGAGCAGAAGACTTTAATGTACAAGACTACACACCTATCTATTGCTATGTAAACATACACTGTCATTCAAAAGTTTCCAAACTGGAGATGATACTTGAAAATGAGAAAAAGAAATAGAAACTGGGTCATATCAGAATATATGTAAGTACAATTTAGGTGTAGTCTTTCCCAAATATGAATTGGTCACACCACATGACACATACCTAGCTGCAAGACTCTTACATATTTAAAAAAACAAAAATACAGTAAATACACTAACCTAATGACTTAAAAAATTATTTCTTTTTTTGTGATGTATTAATTTATTAAAAAAGTGAATTAATTTTTAGATTGAAGGGGTCTTTCCAAAAAATATAATATATAGCACAAATTTTTAAAGTATTTCAAAATAGAACTTATCTAAATGGTCAACAGTAATGCAAATTAGAAAAAAACTGATATTTATTGAATAACAATAGGCATATCACATTTTTTAGACTTAACGGAGATATTTTTCTGGTGATATTAACATATTAGTACTCACAGTTACAAATGAAGTTGCTGAAGGGTCTTGGTACTGAGTTAAAAGTGCTTCAACAGGCAACTGGACCTGTGGTCTTGACTTTATCCTTTTGTTGACGTGGATCAGTAATTCCATCACCTTCTTACGTACCGGTTCTTGTGGAGAAGACAATTTAAGTAAAACTGGTGGCAGAAACTTGCAAAGTACATTTTGTAATTGTTCATCGGTTTCAGCAGATCCTAGCCTTAGAAACACCCTTTCCAGGAGCACTAGAATGAAAGATAAAAACACTACTAATTTGTACATTAATGTATATAATAGATACTTGGATGATATGCATTTTTATAAAGAATTTAAATATTGGACACTAAAAAAAGAGCAAAATCTTCTACTTGCACTTACTCAATTCATCCGCTCCTCCAGACATTGTTGTGTTTGATTAATATTTTGTTAGAAAATTCAATTTTAGGAAAAAAATTCAAAATCACTCTCGACTTGTCAAAAATTACAAGTTTGGTTATTGTTTTTGACATTCTTGTAACTTATCATCCATAGGACACGGATTTTGTAAATCGTAGTGTGCTGTGTCATATACACTAACGGACAGTGTTGCCGGACCTACTGATTTTTCGGTATTGCTACCGAAATGGAACCTTATTTACTGAAATACCGATATTTTTCACGACTTCCTAAAATAATTAAGATATTTCCCAATTTTTTTACTGAAAAAGAGCTGGAACCATAATAAAGCTAAAAAAATGAATTGTATGTACTTTTATGTCCTATACCAAACATACATATCCGTACACTTGAACAGTCGGTCACACGAGGAACGTAGATTTACGCACATTCCTTACACCGCTTTTCCTATATTGGTTTTTATGCGTACAATAGGTGTACACAGACTGGTAGATCACCATCATCATCACTGTATCACCGGATAAGCAATAGCGAAACCAAAGATGCCCCGTTTTTAATCAAATATTAAATACGAATTCCAGTTGGCGAAGCTTCAAGTTCAGGGGTAAAACAGAAAAATATTCACAATCTTAAAACCAAGAATGCAGAAAGGAGTTTCCAGGATGATCGCAAAGGAGTTTGAAGAGCTACCAGTAAACGCTATTTCACGAGTATCCATCACATTTTGACGTCTACCGAGATGAAGAGCTGATCTGCAAATTACATCATTGTATTAGTCTGTAACGTTAGCAATAATGAATCGGGTGTAAGTCCAGTAAAACTCACTTGTAGCGTTTTTTGTGTATACAAATGGACTCTTCTAAATAAAATAATTCTTAGCGAGTACAAAATGAATCTTTAGCGTACAAAAAAACAAAACAAACTACGGCTCTATCTTCCTGCCGTTGAGGGATCCGTCAGAATTATGTGTCATTTGTCGATATTGCGAATTTTGAAATATTGCTAGATGATTAGCTGTTATTGTACCGTAATGGACAGTCGCGAAAAAGACAATATGCTCATTGTATAAGTTGTAATAAAGAAGTCAATACTTTTTCAGGAAAAGATGGCCTCAAAAAGCCTAGGTTGTGAGTGCGCGCACTACTTGTTTTTTCATAAACAGCGCTGTGTGACGCGACGGCCCTTGAACCACCATTGATCTTGCGATCTGATTTTTTTCTCCTACCGCTTTCGTCCTTGAATCTACCAAATTTCAACGGCACTACCTACCGATTTCGTCTTTTTCGGTTCGGCAACACTGCTGAAGGATCCGGCTGTATGTTTTGTTGTGGTTTTGTGCTCCTGACCTTTTGAATACTCTGTGTCTGTGCTTTTGACTTGTGTATATGTTTTATGGTCCTGACTGCGGAAGATGGCTGAAAAATGCCGCTAAATATTTTCAATTTCATTCTATTTATTTGACAAAATCTGTAAAAAATGGAAATCGAAATAGGTTTTTGTGATTTTTGTGGAGCAGATCGAGTGTTATGTGAAATCAAAAGACATACATTCCAGAAGCTAATACGGAATCTATTCAACCAGCATGTACGTGCTGAAGTTGTAAGTTATGGAATGTTTTTAATTGAATGCATTTTGTAAACTACATTATTTCAGTTGGAAGATCTGTTCGAATCATTGAAACTCTGTCCTCTTTGTCACGAAAAGTGTATACTTTTAAATGCACAGTATAAAGCTATCAATTCTTATAAAAAAGGCAAAAAGAATGACAACTGTATAATGTGTGGCAATGAGGATGAAATATACAAAATACAAGACTGGTCTCACTTCAGCAGCATATCAGAAGATTTCAGTTTTGAAGCTGAAACAGTTCCAATATGCTCAGCTTGTTTGGTTTACATAGATCATAGGAATACCATAAAGCAACATCTTTTACAAAAAAATGTAAGTGTTCCATTGCTATTCCCCAATTATACAGTTAAAACCATACACCCCTGACATTGTCTTGTGTAAGACAGAGAAGTGTGCAATATGTATGTTACAACACTCAGGTTGCTAGGCAACAAGGTGCTTTATGTGTATTGCACACTTCCCTCTCATGCACATTATGACATCACTGGTATATGGATCTTAAATCAAATTCAAGGGAGTTTGGTTATAAGATCTGTGATGTCATGAATCAGCTGTTATAGGTCATAGTTATCACCTCAAAATTGTGGTATTTACCCAACTCAGTAGTTTTATATTTCTGGTTATTATTTGAAATGTGACAAGTTAGAATTTTGCTGTATATTGGATATTTTTTTTGTACTTCAGCTTCATTTTTGGGAAACTTGATACAGGCTGACTTCAGTTTTAGCATAAAGTAGAGCACCTTATTAGTTATACTCATTATTGTTGTTTGGAACACTTTAATTCTAGTTCCTATGCTTACCAAAATATCCTGTGTAGCTATATACCAGAAGAATATTAAAATATAACTATATAAACTCACTGGATAATGTCCACCTGTATATGGTTTTGCTAATATCTTTCTTCATCGCTTTTTCCTATAATTTCTGCTAAATCAATAAATGTTTTCTTTTACATGCGGAAAAGTTTAGAGAATTGAAAGCCATGGTTCCATCATTAAAAATTAATTTCTGAGAAAAAAAAAACATTTCTCCCATTAATATAATGAATAGTTTCTTTTTTAAACTTTCCTTACACTGTACATTGCACCAATTATTAAGTGATAATAAAAATAATCAGAAATTATATATGTGATTTCCTAAACTAACTACATCATCAACCCTTGTGTCATCTTAAACCATATTATAACCTCAGTACATAGCACAGAAATTTAGTTTTTTCGCTTGGATTTGGTTAAACTGTATATAATTTGACAGACAATGATGACCATATTTTGATATGGAGTCTTCTGGGCAGCTGTTGCTACCAGTGAACATGAGAACTCTAGGGAATATGCATATATGTGGTCTTTTTCACACAAAAAAATTAAATTGGTATATTTTCAGTCCATTCCACAATATAAACCAATGTAAACACACAAGTCATGGAAAAATACAACAAAAAAATAACTAATAGAAAAGGGATAGTCAGACTGCCCATCATTTAACTCAGTGGTGTTGCCAGATTGGTCCACATCTAGAATGGAAGATTGATGTGGTGTGAAAAATGACTGAGCAATGTTTTGTATAAATTTTCAAAAATGTAACAAAACCCTTCCACCAGCGCAACCAACAACCTAAACTGAAGCTCAAAGTGGTTTGTACTTTGGATTGGCATTTGATTTGCCTAGGCTTTGGTTCAGCCCTAAGTTAGGGTTTAGGCTTTGGTTTAGACTTTGTTTTGGGCTTTGGTCTTGCCTATGCTAAAACCCAATGTAACAAATGCTTGAAATTACTGACAGCATGGAAGAAAAAAGGCAACACTGCTATGTCAAAGACTTAAAGGTACTGTCACAGCCGACGTCAACTACGAGCCGTGATAAAAGCAAGGCAACACCATAGCTCTAAAAAATTTAAAAATACTGAGTCGCTAATGCAGTTAACCTAATTAAAAGTATTTAGTTTACGTTTTTTGGTGTCAGCACACTGTGTTCCAACAGGCCCAGCTTGGAAATGTGGAGTTACCTGTTTGTTTTTAATACATTTACTTTCAGTTTTACTGTTATTTTTCAATTTTACATAATCATTCAAATTTATGTTTGAAAAAATAGCGGCCACAGATGCACGTTAAAGAAAATTCACTGTATATAAAGTCAGACTGAATGCTGAGCAAGGTTAACTGACACAAAATAAATTTTTGATTATTGCTTTTCAAGAAGAAAATTTCCAATCTATCTACATTAATAATATATTCAAAAATGGCATACATATGGTAGAATATGATTGGTACATAACTGGTTGGAATTGACAGTCCTCCTCTTTGCAAATGATCAAAATAAACATTTGTTGTTAATGAACCTTTTTCTTTAACTATTAGCAATTTGCATATCTCGCAGTTTAGGTTTTTAGAGATAGCGTGTGAAGCATATCCAGATATATGTCTTAGTACTATCCTCTATGTCACAATTGGCTAAGTAATTTGTCTCAAATACTTCATTGAATATATCCAAAACTTCAGGATTTTGTTTGGTATCCAAGAAATCAAAATTTTCTTGAGTTTCTAAGCAGTTTTGGAACCTTGTTTTAATTTCTGCTAATGAAAATGACGATTTCTTTTCATTGAAAATATGCTTCAGCCATATTTTCTTTTCAGCATTTGAAATTTCATCATATGACACATTGTAATTGCAGCCACATAAAAGTCTATAATTGCCAAATCGTTTTTCTAAATTATCAGTGGTGAATTTTCCAGGCAATACATACTCAATGTCAAATTGATTAAATGAATATTCAATTATATTAAGTAGAATTAGCGTGCTTTGATATAGAGCTGTATACATTTCTGGTGTCAGGTGTTCATTATTATTCTCTAGATTATGCCATTTTTCTAACCATATCAGGAATTTTTTTAAAAATTGTACTCTATAATCATATTTATTGGTAATAGGCTTACAAAATTCGTTTCGCTTCAATTCTCCTTTTATTACACTTGTATTACTGACAATATCCCACCAATTCCTGATTATTTCCAAAAAGTGTGCAGCATCATTAAACTTTAATTCTTTCATAGCAGCTATTGTTGAGTGATGGAATAAATTATCTACAAAATTTACATTTTGCCTTTCAAGTGAATTTGGATGCAATGTTTTATAATTTAATTTATATGCTTTCTTAACTACAGCTTCTTTTTCCAATTGATATACAGCACGAATGTTTTCAAATTTAGCATACTGAATAATATCATTATTGTCAAAATTAGGATATACAAAAGTTTTGTCTAGGTTTTTTAAATTAATCCAATTATTTCTGATACTCTTGGAAATATGCACAACATCATAAGTTAAATATACGTTCTTATCAGGATTATGTGGATTTGGAATAGAATAATTTTCTGATGCATCCTTTGCTAATTTCCTGAACATTGCTCTATTAATTCGGTGATTATCAGTAACAACACAAATAACTTCAAATCCACATTTTTTAACTTAATTTATCGCATGTTCAACCAAAGGTGTCATTTCATCACCTGTTTGATTTGAAACTGGTAGTAATTTGATAATTTCTGTTATGTTTCCAAATGCTGAAGATAGCATTAAGGCTAAAACAGTTTTAGCCATGTCATTTTTATTTGAGGCATACCCAACAATGTTTTGTGAGCGATAGTCCAGCCTAGATGTTATATAAATTTCATCGATCATCAAAATTACAATTTTTTCTCTTGGAGCTAATTTAATTGCTATATTCGAAAAGTAGTGTTCATTATTCCTATCATTTGGAGATATATCCATTCTTGAGGAGATATGTTGTAAGTATTGCTTACCTGGCAAAATAAAAAATCTTTTAATTAAATTATATGTTGATGATGAGTGGTTATAAAACGTAAAAGCCATTATTATTGAAAGTGATGCATATCTGTTTTTCCTGTTTTGAATTTGTCTCAGCTGATCAGCAATAATCTCTAGATTTTTTGTATATGGAAACATAACTGAGTCATTATTAATTATGGAAATCGCTGTGTCAAGTTGTTCCAATGCATTCATGATGCAAACTTCAACAGAGTTTTTGTGTTGGGTCTCAGAAAAATAGAAAAAATACCTATTTAGCAGGTTTTCTAATTGGGACCATCTGGTAATTTTGAGATCATATGGCAAAACCCACTTCAAGTCACTAAAAGAAAGCTTACATCCTTTATGAACAACCTGAACTTCCATCTGACCATCAACTATAATCTGTGTATTCAAAGTTAAGATATCATTTTCAAAATCCAATTTATAAAAATATAGCTTTCCATCAGATAATTTATTATTCCATTTATGTGAGGCTTTAATTTTTGAAAATGAAAAATGTTATTCTTGAAAGTCTTTGATCTTATCCATATCATCGAAATTCTGGATAGCTTTTTCATGTTTCTCAATTAATTTTTGTTTTCTTTGCATTGGGTCAGTTCTTTTGGGTGCTTCAGTTTTTTAAAGATATGATGGCAAGTTTGGGAAAATGGAGGAAACATCATCTTCTTTCAATTTTGGATATTTCAAAGGTGTATTATTTTGGACTGTTCCATCCGCCAAAACTATATTTTCTGTCCTGATGATGTCCGATTCTCTAAAATGACGACTGCACACAGCTGAATATTTCGAAGGTGTCCATTTTTTTCTGGGAATTGTCATAAGCCATTTGTTTTTCAGACTTTCGGTACTTGGGAAGCGAAAAGTTGAAACATAGCTTTCTGTTTTCAAAGCAGAATTATAGTTTGCATTGCATAAAGGAACACAGCAACAACGAGGCATATTGTCTGCGTCAAATACTTGATAAATGAAAAAAGAAAAATACAACCTGAATTTGCACGTTTTCAATAGTTGAAATCCTTAGCGTCCTGAGGCGCGAACAGCCACAGTCACACTTCTTAGTTTATTTTTAAAGCACAGAAGCACTACAACTGGAGTCTATTTCTCATATATTATAGTCACCGATCACTTTGAACACATACACACACTTTGAAGCTTAGAAAACAAGCTTATCTCTTAATTACAGCCTCTGGGATTCCCAAATCACAAATTGAAAAGGTTATGTTTTCTCAGCGCTTTGAGCACGAGTTGCGTCGTTGCAGCAAGCAGCGGCGGGAGAAACACTACCACCTACGTTGCCAGATTTCTTTGTTCACGGCTCGTAGTTGACGTCGGCTGTGGTACTGTTTGGCTATTCTGCATTGAGATATGAGAATTGGATGCGCAGTAGTTGAGTAGTGGTGACACCATTTCATAAGCAGCAGCGATCGACGGCACATTGTGGGTACAGTCGGAATAAAAATTTTAGGCGCGTAAATGTATGTTGTTATACTGCCAGATTCGCGATGAATAGCAAAGTTAGAAACAAGGTTCTGAGTGAACAAAGTCGACAAATCATAGCCTCTGTATTAGAATTCATGCAAAAGGAAGCAACAGATGGAGTGACTATTCCTATAGACAAAGTAAGGCCTTCATAATTATGTTCATTCGGCCTGTAAAATCCGGTTTAATACATTTTTGCAATACTATTGTAAATTCTAGGTACAAGAACGTGTCTCTGCCGCAACAGGGATGAGCCTGTCTTCCATAAGGCGTGTAAAAAAAGAAGCGCGAAATATAAAAGAGCATGTATACACAGAAAAATGCGCGATGTTGCCAATTACCAAGGGTGTAAAGAAACACTACGCAAGGAAATACACAAATTGGGATTCAGGTGGAAGAAATTTGAATCCAACAGAAAACTATTAATAGAAAAGGCAGAGATTCGCCATTTACGGATTGTTTTTTCAAGGAACATGGCGAAATATAGAGAAGAAGGACACCCAGTAATATATACTGATGAAACGTATATACATTCTTCGCATACACATACCAAAAGCTGGGTAGATCACTCCACAGACGGCATTAAGTAACCAATATCAAAGGGAGAAAGGCTGATCATACTCAATGCTGGCGGTGAAAATGGATTTATACCCAATGCGTACGTAAGATGGAAATCTACATGTAGCACAGGAGATTATCATAATGAAATGAATTTTGATAATTATAAAAAGTGGCTAAAAGAAAAACCAATTCCAAATCTACCTCCCAGAAGTGTGGTTGTTATAGATAATGCGCCGTACCACAATAAACAGATAGACAAAAGTCCAACATCTTCAACCGCTAAAGCTGAAATAAAGATCTGGCTTCGTGACAGGAATATTTTTTTACAGATGAAATGCTTAAACCAGAACTTTACAATTTGATTAAATTGCATAAGCCAGCTTATAAAAAATTTGCCATAGATCAAATTCTTCATGATGCTGGCCACGATGTTCTAAGACTGCCACCCTACCACCCCGATTTAAATCCAATAGAACTCGTGTGGGCAACAATGAAGTCTTACGTAGCAGCCAGAAATGTTGATTTCAAGTTTTCTACCGTTTCAAAATGGTGCGTCCCGTTCCTCCATTTCTTTGATTTATGATTTAATACTGCAAATTTTCACTTGAAATGTCTGTTTTTTTTAAATGACATTGACATAAGACCTGTCACTTGCTAGTACCTCACCTATACCCTATTTCACGAGTATCCATCACACTTTGACGTCTACTCAGGTAAACAGCTGATCAGCAAGTGACATGTTTGTGCTAGTAGGCGATGTTGGCAATAATGAATTGGGTAATCTAGTAAAACGTGTTTGTAGCGTTTTGTTTTTTTGTATGCAAATGAGCTTTTCTAAATAAAAGAGCTGTTAGCAAGTACAAAATGAATCTGTAGCGTACCAAAGACCAAAACAAAATACGGGTCTGACTACCTGACGTTGACGAATCCGTCAGAATGATGTATCCTGTGCCAATATGGGGAATTTTGAGATATTACTATATAATCAGTTGTCATTCTACCGTGATGGTTACTCGTGAAATAGGGTATACGTTAGGCGGTTAACCGTACCACGGGATTTGGATGACGTCACATCCGTCTTCCCGTATTCCCGTTCTTCGCAAAAAGTTGAGTATCAGTTCCCAGTACTGCACTGTGCTACACCGTGGACTTGCGAAAAAATTCTTATTTGTTGTTCATAATGCTTTGTTTTTTATATACTCCATCTACCAGGAAGGCCTAAGGCCTAAACACCCATTGGGTTCCGTGGGGGATACAGGGGGAAGGGGGAACGCCACACGGACTCTGGCGAGGGAACACGTGTGCATGCAACATGCACACATTCTGGCTCCGCCTACGAGATCCGCCGGGTGGTACCTCCGCGTTCGACAGTCAGAAACCGTCTACCACCTACGGACAATCACAAAATCCATAGCCAAGAGAAAAATTTCTCCTGGGACGGGATTCGAATCCGCACAGCGCACGGCGACTGATCAGGAGACCGAAGAGTCTACTACTGCGGCCACCGCTGTTGGTATCATATGACGATATACTCAATAGTCATAGTAGAAATCGTTTAGTACGACATCGATTATAATGACCTATCATATTATACGACGAAGTTTGCATTTATTGGCGAAACTATATTTATTCCTGTATATAAGAGAACCGTATAAAACGACATCGGCTATAACGACAATCGCTTAAAGCGACGTTTTTATCATGATTCACTTAACGAAAATATCGGCTACAGCGACAAACCGTGACTTTTGCCAGTTAAAACTCGTTAATATTACACAATATTTTTTTGTATTCGTTCGAGAATCGAATATTAGTCTCAACAGTACTCAACAAGAATTTCTAATTTTTAATGAGAAATTTAGCAGCCCCTCAAAGCAGGAATGTTTGAAATCTATGGATAAGGAATTTCAATGTCCATACCAAACTGATAAATGTAAGAAACAATCGAAAATTACTGACTTTTTCAAAAAATAAGCCTTTTCTTTTTGAGTAAGAAAAAATATACTATGTTTTTATATTTCTTACATACTATATGTTTGATAATACATAATATGTATTTACATCATGTTTTTTAATTTAGTTACTGTGGTATATAGGATTTGATTTAAAAAAAAACCCAAAAATTTGAAAAAACGATTAAATCTTTATTTGTATCGATAGAACCGTCGATATAATTTAATGTTTAAAGATTATTTCATGTAAATGTTGGCCGCGGCTCCGCCTTGTTGAAACCACATGTCAGCCAAGTCCAGCTCTTCCATTTTGGGCAAAAAAAAAGTTTGTTATCATCGCACGGTAGCGCTCGCCATTCACAGTTACGTTCCGGTCATTGTCGTCTTTGAAGAAGTACGGCCCGATGATGCCACCGGCCCAGAATCCACACCAAGCAGTGATTTTTTCGGGATGCATTGGTAGCTCTTGCAATGCTTCTGGCTGGTCTTCACTCCAGATGCGGCAATTTTACTTGTTAACGTACCCATTCAACCAGAAATGAGCTTCGTCGCTGAACACAATTTTTCGATAAAAATGTGGATCTTCCTCCAACTTTGCCAGCGCCCATTCACCAAATTGGAAACGTTGTGAGAGGTCGTGTGGCTTCAATTCTTGCACCAGCTGTATCTTGATAAGGTTTTACACCCAAATTCTGTCGCAAAATTTTCCACGTAGTGGATTAACAGAGGCCCAATTGCTGCGTGCGGCGGCGAATCAACATTTCACGGTCATCAATAACACTGGCGGATACAGCCGTAATATTTTCTTCAGTCCTCACTCTACGTCTGCGTGTTGGTGGTTTAATGTCCAATAATGTAAACTGGGTTCGAAATATAGTCACAAGCTTCTGAATAGCTCCCTCAGTAGGCCGACCAAATTGCCCATAAATTGGAAGCAGTGCTCGATGCACTCTCTTAACCGAGCATGAATTTTGATAGTAAAATTCAATAATTTGCAAGCGTTGTTCGTTCGTAAGTCGATTCATGGTTAAATTTTAGACCAAACTGAACAAGTTTGACAATGACACAAGACACGATTCACGCGTCATCTGTCAAAAACGGTGTTGCCAAAAAGATACTAACAAAAAAATCACCCATTACTAACATACATACCTACTTATTTTGGAGTTAAAGCATTGAAATGTTCTACATTAATCATATTATTTAATTTACGTGTTTTCTTTTGAATGAAATTCATAGAATTGACCTTTATATACCTAAATAATTTAAAAAGAAGACACTATCGCTTACAACGAAAATCGGATATAACGACTTCCTTTGCTAGGTCCCTTGAAGGACGTTATAACCGATTTTCACTGTATGTACAAATACAAACCACCATATTCCCTAGAGTCCTCATGTTTACCAGCACACAGAGATGTTCATTGTCGAGCATTTTTTTGGGAGGTGACAAATTCCCCTGGATCGTAACAACTATGTAAAGGTAGATACATAAAACTAAAGTGGTATATTTCCTAAGTTTTCCCTTAAGAGACCAAATTATACTGTTATTTGTTATGATTAAATTTCTTTAATGTTAAGTAAATTTGTTGAAAGAAGTACATTGCTTAGGGAAGCAATAAAAGCTTTTATTTCAAGAAGTAATGTGATGTCATAATGTTATCGTGCAATATTTTTGTAGCATAAATATGGTCAGTCTCCTACAAAAGCAAAAAAGAGAGCAGATGATTATGACGTTTTTAAAGTACCACAAGCACCAAGACAAAAGTCTTCTCCAAAATTAAACAAGAGGAATAAAATTCTTAGGCAGCAGAGGGAAGTGTCAAACAACACTCTAATTAGTGATTATAAGTTTAATTCTACTGTTTATGTTAAATTAATTAATTGTGACCTCAATAAGCTTAACAATAGTTATTCAAATAATAAAAATGAAAGGACAGAATTTATGAACAATAAGGAATTTGAAATTGTCGGTTCAAGTTCTAATACCAGAAAATCGGCATTTAAAATAAAATTCAAGTCCCTTCCAACTATAACAAAATCACCTGCCCCAAGAAGGTCCAATTCACATTCCAAAATCATGACATCATCACAAACTTCTGAGACATCTGAATTGTCCCCTAAAACAGTTAGACAGTTATTAGCAAAACATGATATGTCAAAAGAAATATCAGTTTCAATTTTAAGGGAAGATCTTGACAAAAAACGAATGTATAATGAAATCGTCATATGTGACAGTGATGATAATGATATGGATGCAGTAGTCAAAGATATAATAAATAGAATATCAGATGAAAGTGACCCTCTTGATATATCGGAGCACAAAGAAAATGAAGAAAGTGAAACTAAACCGTCAAGATCATCCAAGAGGGTTAAATTCGATGTAGATGAAGCATCTGAAGATGCCAAAACAGCAAGAGGAAGAAAGGATAAAAATTCTCTCAAAGGCAGAAAAAACAAGATGAACAAAAGAAATTTAGATGAAGAATGCATAGAGGGAGAAAATCGCACAGATGAAGATGATAAAATAGGGAGAACAAATAAACAGAAAACATCTTCCAAGAGAGATAATAATGGAAGTAGTTCAGATGAAAACGCAGATGAAGAGGCGGATATTGCCAAAACAAAACGAGCAAGAAGGGGCAAAAATATTATGAAAGGGAGGAACAACAAAAATGAAGAACATTCAGATGGAGAGGAAGACAAGAATAAAGATAAATGTGCTGATGACAAAACACAAACAAGAAAGGTCAAAGGGAGAAAAGTCAATAAAAAGAAGGAATGTTCAGAAAAAGAGGAAGATAACACTGATGCTGAAGTAAAGAAATCAACAAAAGTGAAAACAAAGTTTAACAGGATTAGAAATAAAGAAAGCAGTTCTGATGAAAATGACAGTGAATCAACCATTCAACAGAAATCTAAGAAGTTGAAAACTCAAGAAGATGATGAAGATGGAGACACTAATGAAACTCAGACAGTGAAAAAGAAAAATGAAGAATCAGTTGTGGATCAATCAGATGAAAATGATAGCAAAACAACTAGCAAGCAGAAATCTAAAAAGTTTAAAGCTCAAAAAGATGATGAGGGAAACAAATCAGATACAAGTGATACAGAGTTAGTGGAAAAGAATGAAGAAGAAGATGTGGATGAAACGGTCATTGAAATTGACAAGAGAAGTAGTAAGCAGAAATCTAAGAAGTTAAAATCCCACACAGATGATGAAGATGGTAACATATCAGATACTAGTGAAACAGAGGCGGTGAAAAGGAAGGAGGGAGAATCAGATGTAGATGAGTCAGATGAAAATGGCAGCGAGACAACCAGAAAGAAGGAATCTAAGCCAAAGGCTCAAAAAGATGATGAGGATGGAAACAAATCAGATATTAGTGATACAGAGACAGTCGAAAAGAAGAATGAAGCATCAAATGCAGACGAATCAGATGAAAATGACAGCAAGCAGAAATCTAAGAAGTTGAAAGCCCAAAAAGATGATGAGGATGAAAACAAATTAGATATTAGTGATACAGAGACAGTCGAAAAGAAGAATGAAGGATCAAATGCAGACGAATCAGATGAAAATGACAGCAAGCAGAAATCTAAGAAGTTGAAAGCCCAAAAAGATGATGAGGATGAAAACAAATTAGATATTAGTGATACAGAGACAGTGGAAAAGAAGAATGAAGGATCAAGTGCAGATGAATCAGATGAAAATGATAGCAAGACAACCAGCAGGAAGAAATCTAAGAAGTTGAAAGCCCAAAAAGATGATGAAGATGGCAACAAATCAGATTCTACTGAAACAGAGGCAGTGAAAAAGAATGCGGGAGAATCAGATATGGACGAGTCAGATGAAAATAGCAGTGAGACAGCCAGGAAGAAGAAATCTAAGCTAAAGGCTCAAAAAGATGATGAGGATGAAAACAAATCAGATACTAGTGAAACAGAGGCAGTGGAAAAGAATGCGGGAGAATCAGATGTGGATGAGTCAGATGAAAATAGCAGTGAGACAACCAGGAAGAAGAAATCTAAGCTAAAGGCTCAAAAAGATGATGAGGATGAAAACAAATCAGATACTAGTGATACAGACACAGTGGAAAAGAAGAAGGAACAATCAGGTGACAATATTGAGGAGTCGGAGGATGAGAATGGTGAAAAAGATTTTTCTCTGACCGTTGAAGATTCCTCAGACAAAGAGGAAGCTGATGGAGTGGAAGCAAAAGAAAATAAACAAGAGAAGAAAAATGATTTTGAAATAGATCTGACTGAAGATGATTCACAAAGGTTAGATTTGACTGAAGATAATTCAAAAAGAATAGATTTGACTGAAGATGATTCACAAAGGATAGATTTGACTGAAGACAATGAACTTGAAAATCATGAGGAGGAACAAAGTAAACAAGAAAATGGAGATAATGAAGACAATTGCATAAATAACAAAGGTGAAAATATTGATACTGAAGACAGTAAATTTGAAGAAAAAGATAAGACTGAAGGTGATGGAGATGGTAACGCCAAAAAACGAAAATCAGATGACGAAATAACTAATGACGCAAAAAAACCAAGAATTGATGATACAGAGAAAGAAGATGAAGATAATGCTGAAACCAAGATTGAAGATGAAACTTTGGGGAGCAATGGTCATGACGATGGTGAAAATGAACCTTTGAACTATGAGCACAGTGAAGAAGACGGTTGTACAGAAGACAGGTGTCATGATGTCAGTAGCAATGGGACAGAAAGGAAGAAGAAAAGAGTCACTTTCAGTGATGATAGCAATGTTACTATCGATTAGACATGACTATTTTTTAGTTGTGTTAAGAATTGCTCAGCCCATGCATGTGACAGTTGTACTTTAGAGTTGGGCATTGTCCAATTGTTTGATTTTATCCTAGTTGATTTGATAGTATTACTTGCAAAATAAGTTGATGTTTACAAATAGATTGAATCAAATTTTCAAGTTTTATATCATCATCTACTTGAATCTGTAAATTTGACTAGTTCTCCTTCTTTTTTATTTATAATTTAAAAGCAGTGTTTCCTTCCTTTAGATCAAGGGTCGGCAACACTCGGCTCGCCGGTTCTCTGCTTACCTCCCACGTCTTTATTGTATAGGCCTATATATATAAATAATTAATTATAATTACGCACCCAATTGCATAAAAAATGTATAAATTGGCTGTTTATGTTTCCGTTATTGTTCCTCATTTTTTACAAATAAAGCAATATAAAACAATTTTAATTCCACATTGATGTTTTTTTTATTTAGTCACCTTGTGGCTCTTCGCTCCTAAAGGTTGCCGGCCACTGCTTTAGATGATAGAAAGACATGGTTGTTGGAAGGTCCATACAAACCTTTCAAGGGCTGATAGTACATCCTATTTGGAACACGTATCTTATACTTTTCGAGTTCATAATTTAGACACTTTACAACCTCAAAAATAATTTAGTACATAGTAGTTTATAAACATTGAAAATGTCCTTTAGTCTTTTTCAGACACTAAGACCCGATTTTACTATTGACCTGCTGAATGAGAAAGAGTTTTTGAAGTAATGCAAATTTGCATATGTAATGTCCAGGGTAAATAAGAAAAAGTGGATGCACTTTGCATACAACATACTGTGGCTGATAGATTATAAAATTTTTGGATGTTTTGTTAAATATGTTGTATGATAAAAATACAGGGTTTGTCCGGAAAGTAATAGGACTGAGTCGATTTAAAAAAATGTATTGAGCCAATCGTTACAATTCTTTAAAAACTTTCAAAATAGGATCCTTCTGCGTCGATGCAGCGCGATTTCCAAGCATTGAAGACGTCACGGAAGGCATTCTCCGGAATAGCGTTGAGAGCATGCTGCTTGGATCCCCTCTATCGTCTCAAAATGCCTTTCATCGGCCTTTTCAGGCGAGGAAACACAAAAGTCCGGGGGGCCACATCTGGGCTGTAGGGCGGCTGCGGAAGCGTTGGGATGCCCGGCCTTGGTCAGGTAACTGTTCACAAGAAAGGCGGTGTGAGCCGGGGCGTTGTCGTGGTGCAACTTCCAGTCGGCTGCGATGTCTTGTCGGACCCGACTGACCCTTCGTTTAAATTTCCTGAGCACTTCCACGTAAAACTTGGCGTTGACGGTTTGTCCAGGAGGAACAAATTCATGGTGAACGATGCCTTTGATGTCAAAAAAGACAATGAGCATCGTTTTCACTTTGGATTTGCTCATTCTCCCCTTTTTTGGGTGAGGAGACGCCGTCGTGTGCCACTCGGAAGAGTGCCTCTTTGTCTCGGGATCATACTCAAAGATCCACGACTCGTCACCTGTGATTACGTTATTCAAAAGTTGGGGGTCACTTTCACACATGTTCAAATTTTCTTGGCACACTTCCACTCGCCGCAATTTCTGGTCGTCAGTGAGCACTTTTGGGACCATCTTCGCGCACACCTTGCGCATGTTCAAATGCTGTGTCACAATGTCATGAACCACAGATTTTGGTAAATTTAACATCTGGGCAATTAAACGAATACTTAGTCGACGGTCTGAGTTCAAAACTTTGCGCACACGAGTCACATTATCGGTGTTTGTCGAACTCGAAGGTCTTCATCAGCGACCTCTTCCCGGCCTGGTGCCACCGAAACACACTACTTCTTGCTAAAGCAACACCTGGGTAAGCCTGCTTGATCATATCAAACGCAGAGTTACTGAGTTTCACAGAGAATTTAATCGCGTACCACTGCTCTAACGAACGCTGCATTTTCGGCTTGCACCACTCACAGAAAGACGTAGGTAGCGCGAAAATGCCTGTTCTGACTCTAGAAGTGTTGGGAGACAACTGACCAGCCGCTCATTCGTTAGCTAGGAACGCCCTTTACCGAATCCAGTCGGTGCGCGCAAGCTCCGAAGTACTGTCATGGCGGAAGAAAATTAGTCCTATTATTTTCCGGACAATCCCTGTATATTTGCCGGCAGGCGAAAATCTAAGATTCACTGTACAGATTTTCTGAGGGATAACATGTCTTTTTATTCAGTATATGACGTTACATCACAACAGAGCCAAACATTGACAGGTGATAGCCGAAGCGTCATGACGTTAGGCAACACGTACAGCTGAAGAACGAGTGCACATCAAGTTCCACGTTCACATCGTATTGTAAAGCCTTCATAGTGCCACAAAAAACCTATATAATGTAAAAAAAAACAACATAATGTCAATTTTCAAGATACCCCTGCCGGTGGTAATTCGAAATTTCTCGAATAAATCAAATAGAGTTGTTTTTATTAAGGACGAAGTCTTTTTAGTTTAGTTTGCTTACTTCATTCTGACCAAATGTCCTTGTAACGTTTCTTCAAAGGTAACTGCATTCGAGTTATCAGCGATATAATATATGAAATGGGCATTTATAGTGATTAAAAACAAGGTTATAAGCTATTATTTTTGAGGTTGCTGAGAGTTGTCTAAGGTAAAGTTCAAATCTTCCCCTACAAGACAATTTTCGAAGAATAAAGTGCTTCATAGTAAGAAAATTATTCATATACCTAAATCACAAAAACATTATTTCTTATGCATTTTCGCGCGTTTGCTTCGTATTCCTATCAGCTTACTGAAACTATTTCGGTTCCATAGTACTCTGTAGTTTTTCAAAAGATTTCTGGAAAACTAAAATGACAATTCCCCACATTTGAAATATTAAAAAAAACCTCTCTGCATTATTGCCATTAAGTTGTTGGGACGCTGAATTTGGTATTCGACATCGATCCAAGTGACTGTGATTTAGATCTAACTGCATGTTTGATGATCTAGCTTAAAAATACGTGACCATTAAGGCTATTTTTGTCCTCGAAAAAAGCTGATCTCTTTGGACTGTCGTTACTCCAGCTGTTTCCTGCCTATTGTACGTTTTTCTTGGAGTAGCTGGTATTTCTCCCCTCTCATATCGCCCAAATACAGTAGCTTCCGGCTAGCTATGTTCCGTAGACTATTTTTTTCGATAACTTGGAAACCATTTATATAGAAAGACACTAAGATAAATGAGAAAAGTAACAGATCGATGAAACTGCTCTTCATTATCGAACAAGCGAAGATATATCACACAATTTTATCTTTTTTCCGGTATTTCAAAAAAATTGCACGTAACTCAAAAACGGTTCAACTTTGTGTCGCCAAATAGAATCTTCTATCAATCATTTAAAGGTTTTATTGAACTTTTGAACACCCTGTATAACCATGGCAAGTTCTATAAGGTTTGTTCGTACAGTGGTCGGTGACTGTATCTGGGATCCGGCGGTGTGAATTCCGTTTATGTGGCGTCGCAAAGTGAATGGAATTTGTGCGAGATCTTGGACACGATCACTGGCATGTTGACGACTACTGTACGAACAGGACTGTTGACGTACACTATACCAATAAAGTGACGATACTATGATATACACATCTCTTAGTTTTTACTTGTACATAGATATTTTGTCACGCATTTTGTCATGAGAAGATTGACTACAGCTCAACAAAAACACATATGTTACATAAACGTTTTGCTGAAATAGTTTAGAACATCATCAACAGATATTGTTTTGTATTTGCATGACTCCAACTTCTAAATGTGAGCTGTACTCAGTTTGTCGTAATATCCTGTCTTATTTGTTCTGCTTTAAGCATTAGATGGATTGGGTAGTATAATTGTTATATTTTTTTGTCCTAAAATGTTATAGTTCGTGGTCAACCAAATTATTCCAAAATGTTAATATCTATAATTTTTTATTTTGTTTAATATAATAAAAATATAAAATAATTTAATATAATATACGCATTGCACTATTTAATATGTTGAATTCACTTGTAGGGGAAAGCGGGGCTATACCGTATACTTAACCGAGAGTTGTCAGTGGTAAGCTAATATTAAGTATAAAAATATAAAAAACATAGCAACTTGGACCATTGACTCCTAATTATACCTAAAGAAATTGGAATCGTTCCAGTGTTTACATTTTTAAATTAAATTATCGAAAGTGTCCCTGTACGAAATAGTCCCGGGGTTCGGGGCTACACCGTACAGTAAAACAATCATCTGTTTAGGGAAGTAAATAATAGTAAGTAATGCTATAAACTATTAAACAAAAAGATTTTATTACTTATTGAGACATCCAGTAAGAAACACTATATGAAACTTTTGTTATTGGTATTTAGTTTAACTTACAAAAGTATAAGAAATGTTAACTTTTATGAAAAAAGTTATAAAGTTGATAGAAAAACGTATTTAAGGTTTATACAGAATATACATTTATACAGAATTCACAAATAAAGTTATCTGCAGACTCGGCTCCACTGCAAGCCGAATGGATCCACCCAGCGCATGAGCAGCACCTAAACCAGAGTTCTTTGTCCGTGCCAAAATCTCCGCACAAAAGGCACACATCCTTCGAGCCTGGGGCTGCTCTTGTTAATCCTTTTTGTAGAAATGAATTCTTTGGGTCCATATCGTCCAAGTAATCATCTTGGCAAATGTCTTTTATGTCAGTGGGGTCATCTTCTGATGATCAATCATCAAATCTAGTGTTTCTTCGATTTTTTGACTTCCCAGATCCTGCTGTCTTGAAATTGAGGCTTCTTGGCTCAGAGTTTCCTATAGTTTTACTTTTGGGTTTTGTGTTGTCTTGTTTTGATATTTTCTTCCCTTCCTTTTTAAATTTTATCTTTTCTTGTAGTTGTTGAATCTTTTTCTTTAATGCTTTCACTGTAGCTGACTCTTTCAGTTGTGCTTTATTTAGGGACTTCGTAAAAATAACTGAACGTTGTTTTCTTGAAGTTATCTTCGCTATTTTAGACTGAGGCGTGGGACAAAGAGATGCTAAATAAAGTAATATCTAATGGCTGAAGGTGATGTGACGAGTGTGGCTGTAGTGTCACCACAATTATTCCATACTCCTTGCAAACATTGTACGCTGTTAAGGTAGTGTGGGTTTTGTGGTTATCCATTACGAGAAGAACAGGCTGCTCTTTAGTTGGCTTAGCATGGAAAATAAAATGGTGCAACCAGGTGACAAATAACTCTTCAGTTATCCACCCGTTATGACTGCAATGGTAAATTGCGTTTGGTGGTCCACGTTTTGCCAAATTATGGCTCATTCTTTGGCGAGGGAAGATGAACATTGGTGGAATATATTCACCAGCAGCACTCATTATACAGCTCACAGTGATATTTTTCCCCCGTTCCCAGCTTGTAGCAGCACCCACTTGCTTAATTCCTTTCGGGCCTAAAATCTTTCCTGGTTTTTGGACCGTGGAGATCCCCGTCTCATCAAAATTATATATCCTCGAGGCCGTAAACTCGTATTTGTCCATTTCACAGTTGTGGTTGTAGAAAAAAAGATCCACTTCTTTATTGAACGCAGTTATTCGACTCATGCTTGTTGCTTCTGGTTTGCGAATGCTGATTCTTAAGTTCCGCTTCAAAAATCCATTAAACCAATCTTGCCCTGCTAATTTAGCTGATTTGTTAAATTGGTGTGGAATGCAATTTTTCTCAGCATACTCGAACACTAAGCGGCGAAGCTCAACCGAAGAAATGCCGTAAAACTTGTTCTGCAATTTCATTTTCTTGCTCTTGTGTGAATACAGGTATATGCCCTAAAGCTAACTTTTTAGAGATCACGAGTCTTAAGTCTATCACTCAAGGTCATAACTGGAATGTTATAAGCCCTGGCTGCTTCTCTTAGTTTTTTCACGTTATTTATGACGTCATGGCTAGCTGCCTTCATTTCTTCTTCCGTCCATTTGGCTCTTTGGGTTGTCCTTTTATATTTTCGGACCATCTCTTATTTTTCACTGCCCCAAAATTATAAGAGAACATAAAAAACAAGTTTTTTCACCGTCACACTGGTACTTTTACCCACCGGAACGAACTCAATCCTGCAAAATTGCGCGTTCTGCCGCTAGGTTGCGACACTGATCGGACTCGTCTAGCTAAAAATCTAGAGACGAAAAACGGGTGTACGGTTTAGCCTCGTTGTACGGTATAGCCCCGCTCTCCCCTAATTTTGCGCTCTTGTAGTAAGACCTTTGTACATAATTTGTAGCAGATCGAACATTGCTGTAATTTCAGGTTATATATTAAAGAGCAACTTTTTCAACCAGTTGATTTCATTTGTCGTCGATATTACCCTTTTTTTGTGCATTGGAATATGAACACTGATCGTGACCTGCTGCCATAAGCAATGGCACCCCATACCATAATGTACTAGGCTCAATCATAAAACGACTATTTATCAACTGTAGGAAATAAAGACTGCATCATTACAAAAGTAATTATAGCAAGAAAACAATATGTAGCTTTCCAAATCTGAAATGTAAGTAACATTGGGAGCTAATACCGGTGATTGTGATGAAAATTCTGGCAATGGATCTATGGCGCTCTTTCTCATTGTCGATTCCCCTTTCAAGGCGCGATATTCAAAATGTATTGGTCATGAAATGGGGAAACATCGGTATTATAATTGCATAATTCTCAATCACACTTTCATATGTTACTATTTCATTAAGATGGTCGATTTACATTATTATTTATAATAAAACTCGCAAAACCAGGAATATCTACAAATAAATTACATCACCCAAACACTTATCATCATCATTCGGACGTTCTCCATTTGGAAGATTACAATTTAAATTTATGATAAAATTGCCACGACACATCCACCTACATATATAAATGACCAACACAATTATAGATGTATTTGCGGTCACTGTTTCACGTGGGTAAAACGTCTGTCGTCGACGTGCTACACGTGTTATAGACGTTTATCGATTATAATATACTAAGTGACATATAAATCCGAACACCCAGTTTAAATGGTTTTATTTTAATAAAATTTTGTATAAGTACTTAATGAAGCATAATAAGTAAATGATAAAAATTTCAAAATGATTGCACTGCTTAAAAGCCTTTAATAATGTGTGGATGCACCCTGATGTGCTACGCATTCTCCAACGCGCCTAGGCATGCTTCTGATCAGGTGGTCAATGTCCTCCTGTGGTATCTCATTCCAGGCAACCACCAACTCCTCTCGAAGTGCTTCTAGAGTCTGAGGAGGACGTTGCAAATTGAGCAATCTCCTACCCATCATATCCCACACGTGCTCAATTGGGGATAAGTCGGGACTTGGTGGCCATGGTAACAATGTGACATCATTATGTTGAAAGAAGTCTATTGTGACTCTTGCAACATGTGGTCGGGCATTATCTTGTTGGAAAGTTGGATCTGCCAGGGTGTCAAGATAGGGTAAAAGATGGGGTTCTAGAACTTCGTGGATATAACGCTGCGCGTTCATGTTACCTCTGATGAAGATTAAAGGTGACCTGGAACCATAAGCTATAGCACCCCAAACGATAACTCCAACAGTGTGATGAACATGTCTTTCAATAAAAAACTGTGGATTCTTCCTTTCACCACGTCGCCTTCTAACCCTGGCACGACCATCGTGCATGCCTAAACAAAATCGAGACTCGTCACTAAAGACAATGCTGTTCCATTCCTGATCCCAGAGTGACCGTTGTCTGCACCACTCAAGGCGATTACGTCGGTGTTCTCGAGTTAAAGGGAGGACCCAGTGTGGCCGGTATGAAAACAAGCCAAAACTTCTCATTCGTCGGTAAACACTTCGCATGCCAATAGGTCTTCCGTGTTCTGCAAACCATTCATTTGCAATGGACCTGGTAGTGGAGAAACGGTCCCTTAAGGCCAATAATCTTCACGGTCTGTTGTTCTACGGCGGCGTCCAGTGCCCCTTGCTCTTTGCGTACGGCCTTCTCGAAGCCATGCCTGACAACACCTAACCACAGTGTCTACACTTCTTTGCACTCTAACTGCAATTGCCCGAAAAGAAAGTCCAGCTTGCCGAAGTCCCACTATACGGCCCCTATCAAACTCACTAAGTTGACGATATCGTACAGGTCTCCGTACTCTAGGCATCGTAGCCGATCGTAAAGGATGTCAAGAACCAAAATCCGCCAGCGTTGATTCTTTACTGCGGCTGAAATATTCATTTTTAGAGCGTTAGTGAATTAAAAAAAAAAAGCAGTATAAAAACCGGAATGTACAACTGATAAGGCTGAACATTTTTTCACTTGTTATTTACAGTAAGATAAATACATTCACCAACTTTTATTAAAATAAAACCATTTAAACTGGGTGTTCGGATTTATATGTCACTTAGTATATAAGAATACAGGAGGAAATTATAACAAACTAATACGTTGACGTTAATCAATCGGTTAAGTGAGTGCAACATAACCGGATTTTATTCACGTTTTATCGACGTGGTGTGGTTATATCGGACAAATTTAAGCAAAATTTGATCCATAACTGACGTCGAAATTTTCCCTAAATTTCAACTTCGACCAAAATCACCAAACATCTACGTCGATAACACCCACAGTACGATGAATATGCCATTCGATGTAATATTTTACTTTTTGTCTTTCACCAAGGTCCAGCTTCACACGTAACCCGATTATCCGACCATTTCGAAGCAGGACGCCACTCCCCAATGAGCGCTGGATTGATACTGACCAAAATCGCTCATCTACGATCATGGAGGTGGACACCTTGCCTTGCAATGTACGAGATGCGGTGTTGCCAAGCGAACCAATGTTGTAGAATTTGTGGCGATCCTGACCTTTCATTTCGACCTTAAATGAAGCGCCGTCAGGACCGATCCTAAACAGACTCGACACAATTCAAAAATGTGTACGCTCAAAATAAAACCATTTTTTTGGGCGTAGAGAATAAACTAACGCATATTTTCAACATACTCTTAATTCAAGGAACTGGTGTAACATATTGGCAACGCGGCAGATTGCCGCGTCAGCGTTGCTAAAGAACGCGGTGATGAGCTTCGCTATATATGTGTCTGTACACACTTCTGTCTCTTACACATTGAACTCAAGCCGCATCTAAGGACGATTCTTTGAGAAAGGTTGGATAAAAACACTGTATGTCAGTAGCAGTACTGTTGTATTCTCAAAATTACAAATTTAACAATATTACAAATAATTCACCATAGCTTCCAAAAAAAAAAAAATTGGAAATGATCACCACATACTACTAAATACTGTAAAGTTAACAAAGTGCAAACAAAACCAGTGAAAATATATTGTTGGACCAGCGAAAGATTGCAAGCCGAAAGAATGCGGACAAAAAATTGCGAAGTTGTCAGATGTTCTACATAAAATGCGGTCCATACATATTAACATATTTAAGATATAGAATTGTTCCGCTGAATTTGGCAATGTAGCTGGAAAACCCAGGCCGCAGGTAAACATCCGGTCGCTGATTGGTCCAAAACTCTTATCTTATCTGAAACTAGAATAACGTGCCGATGGCACGGTCATTTATAAACCTACTCCCATAGGCGTAGGCAGTTGGCAAATACTTTGAAAATATAATTTACTGTTTAGTGGTGATAATGGAATTCAAGCATGGGAAAGTTATTCACAGCCAGGCAAGGGAAATAATAGCAAACGTGATACGTGCTTGCGATGCAGAAGCGGCTAACAATACTTTCGTTTATCCACTGGTAGCTAGAAATGCAAGGGCGGCATATTATACGGGTGTTAGTGAACGAACTATAAGTAAAATTAGAAAAGAAGATAAAGACAGGCAAAATGCAACCTCCACACAGCCTTTAGCTTCTCCCGGAAAAAAGAGATCACGCCCTTCTGTGATCCAAAAAATTGATGGAGTCGATTTTTCCATTATTCGGAGAATGATAGAAAAATTTTACTGTGATTTTAAAGTGGTACCTACTTGTAGTAAACTTCTAATCAAACTGAAGGAAGAAATGGAATTTCCATTTGGTAAAGAATCGTTGAGGCTGCTTTTAAAAGCAAAAGGATTTTACTGGCGTAAATGCCACAACAAAAGGAAATTACTAATGGAAAGACCCAGTATTTTACATTGGCGATACAAGTATCTTAGGTCTATTAAAAAGTTCCGGGAAGAAGGAAGGCATATTATTTATTTGGACGAAACTTGGGTTGATAATGACCTCACTTTCAAGAAATGCTGGCAAAGCGAAGAAATTATGGGTGTCCTGAGCAATATAAGTTCTACAGGTAATAAAGTTTCTTTCACCTCGATTTTGCTTATTATACATTTTTCTCAATTTTGGAATATTCTTAATAAGTGCTCATTTAATTTGTCTAATTGAATACATAATCCCTTGCAAGTATTTTTTTCTCAAAAATATGTTTTTTATACATAGTGATTCAAAAAGGTGTTGGCAAACTTAAAATAACACTAAAATGAGGCTATTTATTCATTTCCAGGACGACTTATAATTGTTCATGCGGGTTCGCAAGATGGTTTTGTTCCTGGAGCCTGTCTCATTTTCAAGGCTGGCTGTGCCACTGGTGATTATCACGGTCAAATGAACCAAGAAAATTTCACGAAGTGGCTTACTGAAAAACTATTTCCTAACATTCCTCCTAATAGTATTATAATAATGGATAATGCACCTTACCATTCAGCTTTGGAAGACAAGCCTCCAACTAGATCTTCTCTAAAAAGAGACATCATCACGTGGTTGAGCAAAAAAGGTATAGAGCATGATCCTAATGCTAAAAAAATGGAGCTTTATGAAATAGCTTGTCTACATAGGCCACCATCTGATGAGAAAAATTATAAGATAGATAATTTAATAAGAAGTTTCGGACACACCCCACTTCGAACGCCACCCTATATGTGTCAGTTTAATCCCATAGAGATGATTTGGGCACAAGTAAAATTTTTCATTAGAAGCCATAATACAAGCGGCGAATTTACTATAAAAAAACTAGATGAAATTTCTAATAAGGCCATCGCTTCAGTAAGTGCCAGTGACTGGCAAAAGGTTATTGGACATGTTATAAAAATTGAAGATGAATATTGGGAAAAAGACAGTCTCATTCAAGAAATACAGGAAGAAATAATAATCAACATAGGAGGTGAAAGTGATAGCAATGACAGTTCCTCAGACAGTGATCATGACTCTAATCAGGATTGAAACTATACTAGATTGGCTACCTTTTAGAATTTTTAGATATTCATTTATTATACTATTGGTTTGTGGCTTTTAGTATCTCAGTAGAAAGTCTAATTCTATGTGTTGTTTATGGGTTATTTCATCAAGAAATTACTTTTTGTTTTCCTATATTTTTCTATTCAGTCAGATATTTTTGACTTGTTGTATTCTATTTTAGAAGAATGCATAATTTGTTTTGCTGTTCAATCATAATGCGTACATAGGAATATTACTTGTTGCCTAAAAAATATATTTATTTTGTTCTCAATATTCAGTGTTTGTGTATATTTATTTCTTATAATGTATGTTTGGTATCACGTCATTATGAATCGCAAAAAAATATTAATACTACCAGTTGTAATAAAATATAAATTCAATTAATAATTCAAGTCTCTCCGATCTCCGCCTATGACTCCATATAAAATCGTCTAATGGTAAGGTTTTTTCATCGCATTTCCCCCTTTCGTCCCTAGCAATCTTTGGCTGGTCGATCAATACGTGTGGATACATTGATGTATTATAAAGGTGTGCTAATAAAGTATATTGTAACAATACTGTTCACACATTTTTTGATGTATACATTGATTTTGCATTTTTTGATGAATGATTTTGCAATTATATTTGGTGGCCAAATGTTAACATTCAACACAGTGTGTGTGTGTGAGATGATACATATATGCAACACTCATGTAACAAGTGGCAGGTAAATGAATATGAAGCTCTATAACTTGAGTGTTTCTATTCCTAATTGAAACCGCATAATCACCAAGTTATGGTTACTGTCATATGTGTCACACTTTATACCAATAGGCTTCAATACTTCAGTATGTCTTTAGTTTAGATATGTATTCTCGTCAAAGGTGGTTTAGATGTCCCCCAATAATTCAAATGGCCTAACGCCATTTTCGTAACGTCAATCCATCAAAATTCTTTTATGTGGTTTTACGCCTGTTTCAATTAGGTTAAAAAATATCGGGTTTTCCAATAGGGACTTGGCAACTTTGAACTTCCACTGTGAACGCACCTTTAAATCAATTACCGAACTGTCAATGTCACTAAAGAAAACATTTTTATCATGGTGAAGTACATGATCGAACAACGCTAACAAATAATTAAAATTTACTACCGAAATTCCGAGTCGGTGACTGCAACTTTAAGGGCGTTAACTCCAATTTTTGGTCGTAAATCTGGTCCCAGTAGACAAGCAATTCATAGTCTAGTAAAAAAAAATTGAATCCTTATTCGCTGCTGGATGTTCCCGTGCCAGTGCCAGTGAGACATTGGGTTGGTCGAAGTGCCGATAATATTGCTGCCGTTCAGACTTCCGTCACAAACGAACAGAACACGTCGATTCCACTTCGTTCTCAAGAATTGGGCATCGCTCAGACCACACTATGGCGAATTTTGCGAAGACATCTTGGCTTGAACCCTTATAAGATCAAGTTAACTCAAAAATGAAAGCCGTTCGATCATATGAACCGACGTACGTTCGAATTCCATAATAAAATTTTCGAGAAAGTTGTCAAGTCCTTAATGGAAAACCTCTAAAATAATGTTGTCTCAAGTATCTGCGTAAAACAATTTATGTCGCATTAACACACTGGAGCCAATTGTCGTGCCAATATGGTATATTTCTATCATTCAGCGCCAATGTTGGCCAACCCCGGTGTTGGCCTATGATGACCCAATATACGCATGCGACATTATAAATATTAGAAAATGGGGTAAAAACAATGACAGTATTGTGTCAGAATTGGTGGGAATAGGATATTTTAATAGAATATATCACAATAGTATTTAAAAAAATACCGCTGAAAATCCATACATTTGGCAAAAAAAAAATAAAAAAGCTGTTTCTATTATTTTAGATTTATAATGAACATAAAATTTGACTCCTGATGGAAAAATCAGAAAACTGAGGTTTTCAAGTAACTCTCTGGGAAACCACAATAGTATGTAAGTCAACACTGTGCAGATACATTGGAATGCTTTGTTTAAAAATGCCGTTATAAAGACAATTCTTTAATAAATTGGTAGGCTTGCGCATTGTGCTGAATATTATTTTAAAATTGTGACGATGTTTTAAAAAATCATGCCCATGTAATTTTTTGATCTGAAAATTGGTTATAGTTATATATAATACATTATATTACGAAATAAACCATAATTCATTAAGTTATACCTTATATATTTTTCAAATTCAAACCTACCAAATACCGCTGTTATGTTTGCTGTTAGATATGCCCATATATTATCTATCCAATTACTGATTGTTCAATACACGAACATCCGAAAATCGAAAAAAAAAAACAACAGATCTTTCGAAATTTACTACAGTTAACATGCAATAATAGTAACACAGTAATAGCAAAAAGAAAGGCAAAGTAATGACTTTCTATGCATTCAGATTTACAGCATTTTGACGGAATCGAAACTTACTGTTATTCAATCAATTTCAAACGCTCTGTGCCATATTACTGATATACAGGGTGTCCTCAAAGTTGGGACTTTAACAGAGCGTAGATCAGGTAATAATAAGCATGTTTTCTAGTAATATATATATATGTATACCAGCTTTGAGATAACCGAGATATTATTTATATTCAAAAAGCAATATGAACATCTTCAAGGTCCTATTAATACTCCGCGAGTGTACTCAAAACGTCGGCGTCGTGCTCGATGTTTCTTCCCATCAGAGCCGCATGTGTTTGTTTATATCGTGCAAAATCGTATGGTAGAACACAGTTGAAGACCTAAGACAGCCCCAAATGTTGAAAATTTAACAAGCTTAATAAATGAATAGCGAGTATTTTTCTTCGGTGTGTTTTTTACGTTTTCGGTGTTAATTTGTCGCAAATGACCTTGGTAAAGTCCCAATTTCCAGCACACCCTTTATTTTCTCAATGAAACATTTCGTATTTTGGAGATCGTGATACTTCAATTGGAAGTATGCTGGTTTTATATACCTTTCAGCTTTTAGAGGTGACATACACTGTATAGTTATAGTGGCAAGTATGAACAACGTCTTACCAATTATTGCACGTTAACCATAAAATCGTACTGACAAAAAATTACAAAATAAACCAAATTCGAAATCTCTTCTCATAGCCACCATCTAAACCTAAAAAGAAAAAAATAGCTAAACCTATATTCAATTTGTTTTTCACTGAGGCGATTGCACCTGTATTTGTGCAGGGGCCAATTTGCACGTGAAATTGATGCCTGCGGTGATCGCTTGCTTCACAAATCCGGGTGTAGAAGGTTTCGAGGAGAAATGTTCGAAGTACATCCTTAGTTCGCGGAACATGTTCTTCGAGTATGGGTTGCGACGCGAAGTGTATCTTTGCACCAGGAAGTGATAGTAGATGAACGGGGTGAGCAAGCTGGCGCGACCGCTGCAAAAATATATATTTTAGTATGTGTAATAAATTATCAGCAATATTTCGTTCCTACAATTGTAAGATGCTTTTATGACCTCCTTGATTTTCATAGTTTTCTTCTGTTCCGTGTCAGCGCTCTGTTTTGAGGTTATGTTACAAATATCTATTTGCACTAGTGTCCATGCTTTTGATTTTCATCATCTGTTATAACAGCCCGAAATTTCCTACAATTCAAATAGAAAACATAGCCTCACAATAGGAGAGCGCTGACGCTGACACGGAACAGTACAAATCTAGGAATACCCCAGCCTTTCTGAAGGAGAGAAAAGACTATGAAGGCGTCCTACAATTGAAGGAGCGATTGACAATACGGCACTTAGGCCCGTATCGTCAGTCGTTCCTACAATTGTAGGACGCCTTTATGGCCTCCATGATTGTCATAAGTTTTCTACTTTTCCGTGTCAGCGCTCTATTTTGAGGTTATGTCACAAATATCTATTTGCATCAAATTGTGCATGCTTTTGATTTATATCATGTTTTATCAGCCTGAAATTTCCTACAATTTAAAAAGAAAACATATCTTCACAATAGGAGAGCGCTGACGCTGACACAGAACAGGTGCAATCTACAAATTGTTGAAGGAGAGAAAGGAGAATGACAATCAAGGAGGTCATAAAGGCGTCCTGCAATTGTAGGAGCGACTGACAATACGGCACTTAGTCAGGATCATCACTATAAACATTTCGCTTTTCTTCAGAATTTTATCCTAATAAAAGAGATTGAAATAACTCAGCTAGACGAGCCACCGACGGATAAAACGAATCAGGTTTCACGGTATATACAGTATATTCAGATAAGAGATAGACCGGATGTAAACAAAAGGTTCGGGTGATTTTCACGCTAACGCCGCCGTCTCGACGTAAAACAATTGGTCAATTCGCAATTAAATGCCTATGCCGAGCGGCAGAGCAGTCGTATCAAGGCAGAGTCACATTCAGGTTCAGACGTGTTACGTATGTCGTGTGCATCATTGCAATTTGATATTTCTTTGGACGTTTTCGTTTGTTATGTTATTAAGTTGTTGAGTTTGTCGTTGTTATTGTTATACCTTGTTATTGATTGTTATTGTTATCAACTGCTTGCGCAAAATGCCCAGTAGTACAGATACTGCCGATGAAGTTGTAAATTCCTGTAGTCCTGCGTTACTGAAGCATTTAAATTTCAAATGGAAAAAACGGGGTCGTAATAGTTTACTACTGGATAGAGAAGAAATTGTGCTATGGAGGAGGGATTATTTAACAAAAATTGGGAAATATAGAAATCAAAACAGGAAGATTTATTACCTTGATGAAACGTGGGTAAACGCAGGACACACTACAAGTAAAGTATGGGTTGATGATTCTGTAACTTCATCCAGGAGGGCCTTTCTAGATGGATTGTCCACCGGATTAAAAAATCCAGCAGGTAAATACGAGTAATAGACAACAATCGGATGTTTTTCAAACCTTGGGAACAAGGTTCTAAACATTAATTCCAGGGGGCAGATAAAACATATTACAAGTAACAAAACTTTTATAACTTTAGATAAAATGCGTGGATGTTTTATTGTCATTTTCATTTGTTAGAACTTTTTTAAGCCATGTTTTTATGTGTTTTCGATATTTCAATAATTTTTTAATATAATCTTAAAATATGTCGAATATTATAAACTTAAAAAAAGTTACTAAGTTTTATATTGTGTACCGTTCCTAATATTTCTAATCATTTTAATTCATACTTTAAGCTTTATAAAGTTATAATTTGTTAATATTAATATTTGCGCGTATTTCAGGTTCCTGATCATTCATTTTTTAAAGGTTTATAACTTTAAATTAAATTGTGAAGCGCTGAGTAATTATACGACGTTCAATATTCTTTCTTTCAATATGACTAAATAATCCCAATTATAGCAATTTGATACTCATGCCTCAATGTTTTTTCGCTGAATGTGATGAAAACATTTGAAAAAGGTTCGCTTATTGAAATAAATCTACACCAGTTAGTACTTCGATTTCCAGGTAAAGGGAAAAGGCTCATTATCTGCCATATTGGCAGTGAGGATGGATTTGTTGTTGACGGTCTGTGGTGCTTTGAGTCTAAGAAAACTGGAGATTACCACGAGGAAATGAATGGCGAATCGTTTGAACAGTGGTTTTCAAAAATTTTACCGAACTTAGAGGAAAACGCAGTAATTGTGTTGGATAATGCGCCTTAACATTCTCGAAGAATGGAGAAGGTCCCAACAACGGCTTCAAGGAAAGTTGATGTTCAAAATTGGCTCCGCTCGAAAAATATCAACTTTGAAGAAGCAATGCTGAAAGTACAATTATTAAGAATTGTCAAGGATCACAAGGCGGAATATCAAAAATACGCCATTGACGAAATGGCAGCAAGTCAAAATAAAACTGTGCTCCGTTTACCTCCATACCATTGCGGGCTCAATCCCATTGAGCTCATATGGGCAGAGGTTAAAAATTATATAGCTAAGCACAATACAACTTTTAAATTTTGTGACCTCAAAGGACTTTTCAAAGAAGCACTAGAATTAATAACAGCGCAAAAATGGGAAAACTGTATTAAGCACGTGAAAGACAAAGTTGAAAAGAGAATGTGGGAACTGGACAATATTTTAGAGGAACAAGTCGAGCCATTCATTATTGACGTTGGTGCTTCAGGCAGTAGCGATGATGAAAGCTCATCAAGCTCATCTTTCCAATAAAAGATGTCTTCATCAAATTCGGTAAGTTATAAGTAATTATAAAGCTACTGTATTTTTTAATTAATTATTGACATTTTTGAACCCATTTTGGCAAAACCTATTCAAGAATCTACTTTCTGACAATGTTCAACCATGCACATTTTTTTACGTTTTGAACGTTTTAATTTGGTTACATATTTACCTAGAAATCAAAAAATATACTAATCAATATTCTAAAAGCAATTTTAAGAGATATACGATTATTTTTAATTTAGGCTAATTTAAACGCCATTTTGAGATTATATTCGACTGTATTTCACCAAACATCAGGCGGCATCCGAAGCTGGAAATCGAAGCGAAAATTTTGAAACCCTTGTGTATATTTACATCATTATATATTTCTTACCCCACCCCCACATGATCCTATATCCATCACCAATCGTATACACATCGAATTGTGCTAATTTACTACAAAGTTACGCAAAGCAGCATCTACTATCTAAAATATGTACTGCGTGACTCTTAATACGTCCCTGCCGAATGTTACAGCGTTCGATGATCACGTGGTCTTGTTTATGTCCGGTCTATCTCTTATCTGAATATACTGTAGACATCACATATTTCGTTTCTTATCCTCAAATGCGATACCAAAATATGGAATGGCAAACACAAATACCGCACACGTAAACGACTCAAATGTCAAAGTTAACGTTCACGAATGTCAGTCAGAAAAAGGAAATGAAAAAAGAACTATCATCACGCGCTTGTCATTTGATAATATTTCCTCTCAAACTTTCGAGAGAGTTATTATTTTAGAAGGAAAATAATCCCTTCAGTATTTCCTTCTGGAATACATGCCGCCAATTCTGCACGGATTTATGCCGTCTTAAGAATTGATTCAATAACATTTTTGATGACATGAATTATCGACCAAATCTCCGTGATCCGACTACATTACAATATTCTGTTATTCAGATTCAAGATGAAAAAATGGGTGTAGCAGTGATGTCAATCATCTCATTAGTCAATTTTATTGATCAATAATAATGAATCTATGCCATTGAAGTAAAATAGTCTAATGTGAACATCTGTTCAACCATATTGGTAAACCGATTTGCACAGTGTGATCAAATTTACCATTCAATTCTATGTTCAATGGGATAGATTCCTTATTATTGATCAATACGATTGACTAATGAGAACCCGCCTTAAGGCATTTGAAAATCAAAACAAATCACGAATTATTAATACCAAGTATTATGGAATAGATCCAATTGGATTGAATTTTTTTCGTGATTATATATCAAATCGATCGCAATTTGTATTAAATGATAATAAATCTAGTTTTCTGGAAATTTTATCTGGAGTACCAAAGGGATCTGTTTTGAGTCTTTTTGTTTTTTATATATGTTGCGGATCTACATAAAACTGAGGTTCTGCGATCAATAAACAATGATATTCAAAAAAGTGTTTGAATTTTCGAATAACCACAACCTGTCAATAAATATTAGTAACTCCAGCCGTTTATTTTTTGTTTTGATCGTAAAAGAGAAGAAATTTAATGTCAACTAAAATCGGATCTCACAGACCCGGCTGATAAGGTTAAGATTCTTGACGTAATAACTGATTTCAAACTTTAGATTCACCAGTCATGTCAAAAATCTTTTAAAGAAAATCTCTTTGAGACTGAGATCACTATAAAATGGGAATAGAACAGTTTTTAATTTAAACAATGGTTATTCCCATTTTCAAGTACTGAGATATTTTATATTATCCTTATCTTGATGATATTATTTTTCTGGTAGTCTCATATAGTTAAACTGGATTAAAACAAAACATATTGACAATTATCATTTGTGTTTATATGCCTTTATAAACAAAACATGACGAATATTTACTTCTAAAACAATTTATTTTCTCAAAAACATTTTAGATACACTCTAGTCGTAAAAAATACATATTTGAAATCACTTAGACCTATAACTAATAGAACATCTGAACAAATAAACAATGTGCGAATAAATGCGCGAAGTTAACAAAGCAACAATTGAAAGATTACCATCGGGTAACATCACCTTTATTTTTTATTACGGCTGAAATTATTTGGGGCATAGTGTTAACCAAGTTTTGGCAAACATTAGGTGTAAAACAATCCCATATTTCTTGAAGCTTTTGTCTCAGTTCGGTGATTGTACGAGCAGGATGTTGTCGTAGAACCTTTTTCATCTCGTGCCACAAAGTTTCAATAGGTGACAGATCTGGACTGTTAGAAACCCATTTCAAAAGTGGTACATTATTTTCTTCCATCCATTTTATAGCCTTTTTTGAGGTATGGCACGCTGCACCATCTTGCTGAAACACAAAATCTTGGCCGGATGTCAAACATTCTTCTATCACTGGTAAAAGCGATTCTTCTAAAATTGCCAAATATTTGTTTGTATCCACATTTCCATCAATAAAATGAAGTTTTCCTACTCCTTTTGATGACATACTGCCCCAGACCATAATGGATGCTGGAAATTTTACTTTTCTCTTCAGACAGTCAACATGGAATGCTTCATTTTTTTTGTGAATAACTCTACTGCGACTGTCACCAACACAAACTTCCAATCGGGCCTCATCACTCCATTGTATTGCACACCATTGTTGAAGTGTCCATTGTCTATGTTCTTTAGCCCATCTAAGGCGATTTTTCTTTTGCAGTGGAGTTAATAGTGGCTTTTCTTTGGCCTATAAAAAAGTTGTGCAACTTTAGGGTTTTTACTTCACTTTTTTATAAGAAAACTTACCTTGCAAGTGCTAAATTTCAGTTTGTGGACCTCTCTATGAGTTGTGCACCTCGAAATTCTCCTTCCAACAGCGTCACTCCACAGAGCACTTAATTGTAAATAATTGGAACGCCTGTTTTTCACGATTATTCTTCTTAATGCTCTTCCGTCGGCATTTGTGATATAACTTTTTTCACATATGGTGGCTTAATATTAACTGAACCAGTTACGTTATATCTTCTAACAATATTTCTCACACTGTACCGCGATAAGTCTAACAAAGTTGCAATTTCTGAGTTTGATTTCCCAGAATTAAAAAATTTAATTATCAGTAACCGAATTTTCTCACTAATAACCTTTCCTCTACCCATTTTGAAAACCTTAACTACCCAAAATGGCTTTGATTTTTCTCAGTCACCTATGCGTTATAGACTTATTTTGCATTGAAATGAAAATAGGTTGATATGCTGTAATTGCAACATGCGTTATTTTTATGCTGCAAATTTGATTAGGGAGTGATAAAGTTGGTGTTTTCTACTATATATTATCAATGTTAATATTTTAATCCTATAACACCCTGCTACATTTTTATTATTTGATAAGAAAAAAACTAAGATTTCAATAGTTGGGCCAACTGAAGTGGGAAGGGGCTCGTAGTTTAAACATGTTGCTCTTGTCTTTGTTATTTTTTTCTTTTATTTATTTGCGTATTTATGTACAGTCCACTTTTGCGCGACATATGTTTTTTTTTGTTTTTGATATCTGCCACCTAACATTTTTTTTTGGCTTGGGTGGTTAAGTGCAAGAGTGGCATGTTGCTAAGCTTTGCTACCAGTTGCAACTCTTTTTTTTCTGTATTGGACTGTCCAGTTTCAAAGAGACTATTATTATACTTATATCCAAATCAATTCCTGAAATGGCTCATTGTTATGCATTCCTGATTATTTTTTTTTTTTTTTTTTGGCTTTAGGACCGAGCCATGCAGCCAGAAACTAGGCTGTATATATATATTTATATTTCAAGTTATGGACAAACACACGACGTCACAACATCCATGGCGAAGGCGAGATTCGAACTCGCGACCCGGCCGGCCGGCTGATCAGTAGCACGACACTCTGACCCACGCGGCCAACCGAGGTCCCCATTCCTGATTATGTTTTGCGGTGTTTATATCAATGGTCAATTGACAAAACATAGATTATCTGACAGTAGGCAGTGCTGCCAACCACACAACAAATTCCTTCTAGACACATTTTGAGTTTTTATATGTATTGTTCTTTTGATTTTGAGGTGAATATTATAAATAGACACCATATTGTTGAATACTGTAGATTTATCAAACGTCTATACTTAAATTTTAAACTTGTTCAATATAACATAAAGGAAAACAAGGTTCGCATCATCAAATTTGACGTCCAACAGTAAAAATTAGAACAAGGTCTTATTGTGTGAAGAAACCTACGGAGAACTTCATGGATTTATTTGACGTCAAATTCATGTCTCATACCTTTCAAATTTGGCTCATTTGAACTCAATTCATGAAGAAATCCGTGGATTTATTGTCAATGTAAAATAGGTATTATGAATATAGTATGACAACAGAAGGATTTAGTTTATACTTACATTAAAATCAGCAAGACTGTGTAAGGCATAAGAATGATTTCTGTGAAAGCCACAGTTCTTAGAATATTCAAAGATTGAAATTCCACCAGTGAAATGAGCAGACGTGCCACCCACCATGAGTTTTGACCTAAAGTCTGCAAATTAAGTGTAATCAGAAAATTGAAACTGAATCAAATATTGAATTACTTACATCTAGTAGTGTAAGTGAGTAGCTTGCAGAATGTAACAGGCAGAAAAGTACTACTGGTATCAACACCACTGTATTTATTGTATTAAGGAAATTATGTTAACTATTCAGTATAATCCAGATAATTTCGATGTAATGAAAATAATTAAAAATTTCACCCTTACTTTAGTGGTATTTTGAGATCTGTTAAGATATAGTATTTCCTGAAATATCTAGATACCTTTAAGCTATATCTAGATACTTGAGCACAAAATCTAAGCATTTGTTCTAGGTATCTATATATGTATTTAGATACTAAAATTCATGTTATGATGCTGCTAAAGACCTTTATTTGTAATTTTCGTCATTTTAAAGGCACTGATAAGAGGAGTAACATCAGAAACTATACTTGTTGCTTTTGTATTATTATTAATATACAGGGCATCCTAACGTCAATATTTATGGAGGCAAATTTTAGGTCCATTTTAACAAGAAAGCTTTTATTACTAGTACCTGTAAATATCACCTTAGATATTTTAATGAAATTTGACATACATGTGCTATGTATCAAAAAGCATTTTTCAATGTAGCACATTTTTTATTTCCATCAGTGCCATTTGTACGGACAATTTCTCTTAAAAAAATATTCTTGAAATCCCAAATAATTTCTGAGCAAATTTGATTGTTAGATTCTTTCAATTTGATGCATGGTTTTTGCTAATAAAAGTAAAAGATTCCTCAGATTGAAAAATTTCAAGATATTTCGAAAAGTCAGTGACTTGCCAGATGATCTATTTTTGAAAACTTTATCACTGTGTATCTCAAAAGTTAAGATGTTCAAGACATACATTCATAATATATGAAGCTTTCTTCTTAAAATGGATCAAAAAATAGCCCACTTAAATATTACCAATCAATTAGGAAAAAATCTGTATGTATACTCAGCTAAATCGAAGTATGCAGTAAGATTAAAATGGTGATTAAAGTGTATGAATGAATCATGCCTGTTTAAAGATATATATTATGAAAGTTAATGGAAGAAAAGGAATTTAATATTAATTCAATGCAATTTAAATAGCATAGAACATATTTTACATTAATTTATTTCAAATATGTTCCCAAAAAATTTAACATCTCACTCCATGCTTATAACGATTTCCATACAAGATCATTGATATTTTATTCATGACCTACAAATTTTATGTAACCAATACAACTTTTATGAATATCTTGTTTTTGATGGCAAGTTTTCTCATTTATGAATACCATAATCTTAAAAATCTGCATATTTTTGTAATGAGCTTGAATTGTAGCAAAAAGCAAACATTCTGAAGGTATCGTTAATAGTTTATAACACCAAAAATTAAAATATCAGTGTCCTGCCATACAAGTTCTTCACCCAACTCATGGGCATACCTAAAAATTTAGATAGAGGGTAACCTACCTTTAAGGAAAAAGGGCAGCCCTTTGCATCCATAGAAGCAGCTGCCCTCCTTACCTAGGTATGCTTTAGATAAAACTTTAGTTGTAATAAAAAAAGGATACACATAAATGGTGGTACATATAGAAAGATCAAAGAGTAGAAAAGGTAATGGCAACTATCTTCTGTCAACAATTGGGCCAAAAATTCCCTGCTCAGGCTCACTCTTCCTAATCTCTGGTGCAACCTCAATGCACTTATTGCTGCATTTGCTATTAATACCTTGTAATAAAAATTATATGCGCTCCTGTAAAATAACATTTACAATATTAACATTCTTAAATCATTAAGTATACCAATTGATTCTCATTCATTATATTTTTGCCCTTTGGAGTTATGAGGTATGAACAATATGTACAAGGTTAACATCTCTACTTATTATTTAGCGAAACATGTCATTAAACATGAAATATACTTACCCAAAGATAGGTATTAAGTATCCTAATGCAAAAAATAAAGATAGTATTCTTATAGCCCACAGAGCACAATCTATCTTGTGAGATAGTACATGGGCTTTTAGGGCTTCTATATTCAAAGTTCTGGGATTTGAGCTCGGTGGAGAGGTAGTATCACTCATTTTGATCTGTTTTAATATAATGTACCACCTACAAAATAGTGAAGAATTCATTATTCAACCGAAATCACAGCTACAATGGTACTTACTTTACGCAATAAACTTTCTTCTTTAAATATTTTTCATATTTTAATTGCTACTTTCTCTAATACAGCGGTACTGTAGTTCGTTGTACAAATAATAGAGGAAATTATTGAAATTGAAATGTGAAACGTCACTTTGACACACTAACGTGGTCAATTTGGGTAGGGTGGGGGTTTTCAGTATGTCATATTCTATTTTTCTTTGAGTTCAAGGTCGTCAAGCATTTCGAATCTACTAGTGCACATATTATGTTTTTTTGGCCACCAGACGTCTTTCCAAAGTATCATTCAAAAGAACATCACAAATTAAACAGCCTGTGGCTTCTTCCGTGAAAAACAAGCCATAATGCTTTGCCGTTGCCACTGTGGAATGATAATGGAGGTAAGTCACAGGCGATCAAAATGACTTTCGATCTTAGCCAATTTTGCTGTGTGCCTAGTTTTCGTTCTGTGGTTCTGTGCCAGTCCAGACAGAATGACAGATAGAGGTTATGGCGGGGTAACTGGTTTAAGGTCACGGCAAATTTTTTGAGCAAAATTTGAATATTTGAATGCACATAATCAAATTTCAGGGGTTTCAGTTACAAAACTTTATGTTTATATAACACTTCTTTATGATCGTATTTTGTGTTTCCTTATTGGTGTTGAACATTCAAGACTAATATTCAATTGAAATATCATTTAAACGTATTTTTCCAAAAAAAAAAAGAGATTTCTTTGAGTGCGAATAGATTTTACCAAATATGCTACTGATAATGCTATATCACCGACCAAAATTAGCCTATTCCAGATGAACATTATATAAAAATTCCGTTACTCGAACATATCTGAATTTTCTAAAGGGAACAGCTAAAGAGAAAGTTTCTAAGTCACCAATAACACCGTTTTGCTACGTTCCGTACTGCCGTATTACCGTTCTATATACCTGTATCTGGCCTAGTAAATGTTGCAACAAGCAAACGTATGAATTTTCGACAAAATAATCAGTTGTAAACATGATATTTATTATTGGGTGTGGGATTATAGTATTCATAACCGCCGTAGCTATTGTTCGGTCGAAAAAGTCGCTAAAGACGATTTTAGCAGAAGCAAGATATGAGTTGTTCTATAATTTCGTCGGATCTAAGGCTATGCTTCAGGATTTCTTCATGAGAAAGTCTAACAAAACTGGTAAGTAGTTCCTCATCTACAGTTGCTATAAGTTTTACCTAATAGAAGATCTGTATTAGATAAATATGAAATTTCAAAATAGAAGTACTTTATATTTAGAAATTTAAATTTCAAAGCTGTACTAAAATAAATCTTTTAAGAAACCTGTAATTTTTCTACAGTTAAAACATACTCTTTACTTTACACAATACACTTCACAGTTGGCTAAAAAATCATAACCCACTTTTAGATGAAAAGCAGCTTCTTCTTTATATTTGGTTTCAAAGAAATGTTGACTTCTCATGTTTTGCAACAGTGCATCATTATAAAAATGCAAAAACAGTTTAATGTTGTGTGAAAAATCATCTGTTTCATGTTGATGCTCCAAAAATAAATGTAACTTATTGTTGTTTCCTTTTTGAAACATTACACATTTTGCATCAAGTTCACAGTACCTTTGAATTTTTTTTCACAAATAGTAGGAAGGGCATACTCAGCTCAAAATGGAAGAGGAGGCATATTGAATCAAATTTTGTTGGAACATAAAATCCAGAAACAAGTTAAACTTTGTTTATTGGTATATTTTAAGTCATTGTCAAGAGTTTATTTGAAGGATTTAAAGATTGTGAAATCGGACAAAACTCATATTTATAAAATTCTGATCATCCAGTCACTTTTGTATAACCCCAAATACAGCACGAGCAACACAAGGTGTGCAATTCGAAAATATGGAGTAGAATCCCTGTTGCAAAATCGGGGAATTGCTGATCTAGATTAGGCTAACTAGCGAAATGTGAACCCTGAAATTGTACAGACGGATTTATTATTCTTTAGAGTGGATGCTAAGGCCCCTCATCTTTCATCATTTTTTTATCAAAGTTTAAAGTTATATGTCTATTGAAATAGGTGAGGGCTGAAAACACCTTCAAAATCCAGTTCATTACAATGGTTAATTGGTTATTGCAAACAATCGTTAATTTTTTGCCAAAAAGTGCGTAAGAGTTAATATGAAATATGTAGTATCAAAAATTTAAGGCCTTTGTAGTGATTGACATAAAAAATATCTTCAAAAATGCTCAAGCTATCCAGCGGCAAAACTGTTGCAGCAAATTAGACATACAGGGCGAGTTTTAAGTTTATATCGTAACACATTCCAAATAATCCATTTTGGCCGAGCTAGGGAAAAGGGCTGTCCCTTTGCCTTCCCCCCATGGGTACGCTCTTGAATATTTGATAAAATGTTGTATACTACTGGTCACGATCACCAACCAAGAGAATTGGAGAATTTAAAACTAAATTCGTATGTTGAAAGTGTGTAAAAGTGGCAACTTTAGGAGTTATCTATAACAATATTGAGATATTTTTATGCTGTTGCTATATATATATATATATACAGGGTGACTTCAAAGTTGAGTCATTTATTTTAACAGTGAGTAGATCTGATCAAAAGAAATGTTTTTTTCCTTTACCATTTTTCTGGTAAAATTAAAGTAACAAAGTTACAGCCCTTTGGAAGTTTGAGTACCGCCCTGTCTCAATAATAATATTATGTGCTCGTGTTTGGCGACAACGGGTATAATCCGCCTTATCGGTTCATCACATCGGAAACAAAAAAGCGAAAGAATTTGGAACGATGTTTTTACAATTATTTCATTCAGTTGTATACGTATACAGTCAGTGTCAGTCGGTAGTGAATAGTGGTGTAACTGTTGCGTGGCTCAAACGAAATAAAAAATGGCACATGTTTATGCGGATCGGTTTCCCAATCGAGTGCAACCAACCCCTCGTGCCTTTGTTAATGTAGTACAACGGGTTCGTGAATCAGGTGACTTAAGACCTCACATATGGACGGCATGCCGATGCTCCAAGACCAAACGATCAAATACAGGTCCGCACTGAAATACTTGTCGGGAGGATACTTTATAAAACAAGGTAAAATTGTTTTTTTATTTTTTTTTTATTTTTACACACATATTTTGGTGTATCTTCCTTCTACAATCATTATCTGAAAATTAATGACTCAACTTCAAAGTCATATATATATAATAAGTTACGTAATATATATATATATATATATATATATATATATATATATATATATATAGGTGAAAAATTAAAGCTTCCGCCTTTTGTTGGGTACTTCGACAAAATTTAAGCAAAGAGGACTCTTTATACTTTTTTAATTCTCTCTAGCTTTTAATGGACTTTGCCATCATCATCAGGAGAGTAGTATGTGAGGATGTTGCTAATTGTTGTTTACGTATAGGATGAGGGAAACGTCCAGTAACATGGTGAGAGCTGGATAGATGGTACAATGGTCAAAATTATATAAAATATGACAAGAACAAGTTAAAAACAGATTAAAAATTATTTAAAAACATTAAAGCATTACATCGTGAAGCCACTTGATGATTGCACAAAATGGTGGTCCTCAAGTGGCTTCACGATGTAATGCTTTAATGTTTTTAAATAATTTTTAACCTGTTTTTAACTTGTTCTTGTCATACTTCATGTTACTGGACGTTTCCCTCATCCTATACGTAAAAAACAATTAGCAACATCCTCACATACTACTCTCCTGATGATGATGGCAAAGTCCATTGAAAGCTAGAGAGAATTAAAAAAGTATAAAGAGTCCTCTTTGCTTAAATTTTGTCGAAGTACCCAACAAAAGGCGGAAGCTTTAATTTTTCACCTAACTGGTCTAGACGACGATGACCACGTCTCAAGTTATATATATATAATTTGGTTTTAAATTCTGTTTGTTACGCTGAATACTTGTATAAAACATTCTAAATTATATATATATATAATTTGGTTTTAAATTCTGTTTGTTGGTGTTTGTTACACTGAATACATGTAGAAAACATTCGAAATTTAGCTTCTATAAAAAATTCAACAGATTCCGAGAAATTAAAGGGTAAAGGTAAATGTAAAGATATTTCCGCAAATAATAGCTAAATTAAGAATCTAAGAGCAAACAACACTCATATTTTTGTAGAGAATAAAATTTGCTACAAAAACGTCTTTTACGTTGTGTCGACACCTTGAGATGGTTTTTAAAGTATAAGGAGGAAAAGTTGAAAATTTGTATCAAAACAGTTACAATATCATTTCACGTAGAGATAACTTCATAATTATTATCTATGGTCAATAATCCATTTTTTTTTAAATGTAATATACTAAGTGACATATAAATCCGAACACCCAGTTTAAATGGTTTTATTTTAATAAAATTTTGTATAAGTACTTAATGAAGCATAATAAGTAAATGATAAAAATTTCAAAATGATTGCACTGCTTTAAAGCCCTTTGACCTTTAATAATGTGTGGATGCACCCTGATGTGCTACGCATTCTCCAACGCGCCTAGGCATGCTTCTGATCAGGTGGTCAATGTCCTCCTGTGGTATCTCATTCCAGGCAATCACCAACTCCTCTCGAAGTGCTTCTAGAGTCTGAGGAGGACGTTGCAAATTGAGCAATCTCCTACCCATCATATCACACACGTACTCAATTGGGGATAAGTCGGGAGATCTTGGTGGCCATGGTAACAATGTGACATCATTATGTTGAAAGAAGTCTATTGTGACTCTTGCAACATGTGGTCGGGCATTATCTTGTTGGAAAGTTGGATCTGCCACGGTGTCAAGATAGGGTAAAAGATGGGGTTCTAGAACTTCGTGGATATAACGCTGCGCGTTCATGTTACCTCTGATGAAGATTAAAGGTGACCTGGAACCATAAGCGATAGCACCCCAAACCATAACTCCAACAGTGTGATGAACATGTCTTTCAACAAAAAACTGTGGATTCCTCCTTTCACCACGTCGCCTTCTAACCCTGGCACGACCATCGTGCATGCCTAAACAAAATCGAGACTCGTCACTAAAGACAATACTGTTCCATTCCTGATCCCAGAGTGACCGTTGTTTGCACCACTCAAGGCAATTACGTCGGTGTTCTCGAGTTAGAGGGAGGACCCAGTGTGGCCGGTATGAAAACAAGCCAAAACTTCTCATTCGTCGGTAAACACTTCGCATGCCAATAGGTCTTCCGTGTTCTGCAAACCATTCATTTGCAATGGACCTGGTAGTGGAGAAACGGTCCCTTAAGGCCAATAATCTTAGGCGGCGATCTTCACGGTCTGTTGTTCTACGGCGGCGTCCAGTGTCTCTTGCTCTTTGCGTACGGCCTTCTCGAAGCCATGCCTGACAACACCTAACCACAGTGTCTACACTTCTTTGCACTCTAACTGCACTAAGTTGACGAAATCGTACAGGTCTCCGTACTCTAGGCATCGTAACCGATCGTAAAGGATGTCAAGAACCAAAATCCGCCAACGTTGATTCTTTACTGCGGCTGAAATATTCATTTTTAGAGCGTTAGTGAATTAAAAAAAAGCAGTATAAAAACCGGAATGTCCAACTGATAAGGCTGAACGTTTTTTCACTTGTTATTTACAGTAAGATAAATACATTCACCAACTTTTATTAAAATAAAACCATTTAAACTGGGTGTTCGGATTTATATGTCACTTAGTATATTTATTGATAATTTGTCAAGTTTTCATTCTGAAGATCAAGTCACTCACTCCCGTCAGTCTGTTTTTTGTCGATTTTGTCACTGAGTAGTTTCAGTTAACAGTTACCGTTGACAAGTGGCTAATAGACAGACTAATATGGAAGTGAGTGACTTGCATTTTCATCTTCAAGACTTGTCAAATTTTCTAATTATTACGTTTTCTATACTTACGAATGACAGCAAAATATCAATATATGTACACTTAAATTTCTCGTAACCTATCGGTTCCAAAAATATCTGAAAAAATGTGTTTCAAAAAGAAAACTTTTACTTCTGCTAACGGACAAACCAAACACTTTTGCATAGAGGTAAATTATGACCAATCGACTTATTTTGAGTCTTAAAATACGTGGTACTTCTATGTCCACGGAATATTGCGCGTTAGCAGAAGCCTAAATACCAGTGCACCGCGGCTGCTATGAGGAGCTAGACTTTGTTAATCCGATTTTTGCATAAGGTTAACAGAACCGGAAAAAGCCTCCTCGGGCAGATTGTTCCACAACCTTTATACCTTAGGAACAAAGGAGCGGTCGTACCAGCAAGTCTCGTTGACATTGCTAGATCGCCGACGGCCCGTCGATGCGAACGGGTCCAGAGACTGTCCGTTAAAGAAGATTCATAATTTTCTGGAATATCTGATAAAAAAGATATGCTGTTTTTTATTTTAATTCAGTTCTGGAAGGTTTATTAGGTTGTATCGGTGAAATTCATCTGACTTCATGAGTATGCGGATTTTTCACAAACCACCGTAGATTTCAACACGCAATAATTGTGTCACTTAAAATACGATGAAAAAGTTTGTAATAAAATTGAATGCATTCAACAAACAATAAAATATTGAATTTAATTAGCGTGTATTTATGATTTAACACGTATAAAGTTACGAGTTGATAGTTTGGATGCAATCGAACCAACAAATAATCATTTGCGAGCACATGGTTTCAGAAATTTGTATGGGAGAATCTATTGTGTCAGAGACTTCCGTATGAGTTTGGCTCACTATTTTTTTCCGTTCATTTGGTGGATTCTTAACAAATACCTCAATTGTGTACAAATTTTTTATGATTTTGTACGCCAAAAACGTTGTTAAAAGTCAATTAAACTTGGTAAACTTGACAGTATGTTGCGGTCTAATTCGAGGGTGAAATGGATTACTTGGTACCTCCCGTGAATCGTAGAAAACCTAAAAACATTACAGGGCTTTCGTTTTCTATTTTTACAAACGATGCAACTTGATGCACTCACGTTGTTTGGAGAGCTGCCATTAATTTGCTCTCGATATCCCTGCGGCTTTTAGCGTTAATTTGACTGGCTGATTGTTATGGCATCTGCGTCTATATCACTAGTTTTAACATGTGTTTTTATTAGCCAGGACTATGGTTGCATTCACTAGCGCCGAGCTTTATGAGGTATTTAGTTCTAAAGTAAGATCGTATACTGATTTTAAAATTCTAATTGTATTAAGTACTTTATTGTGGTGTTTCAAATTCAACCTTCACCACTGGGATCTCGGAAACGGTAAAAGAAGAAAATTAAGCCAAAAATGACTGCAGTGCCTGATAAAATACCTGCATTTTTTGTGAGAGATTGTGCGTCCATTTTAGCATATCCACTCATGATCATTTTCAATCTCTCTCTGAAAAATAATCACTTTCCATCTATTTGGAAGTTGTCTAGGGTAACTCCTGTTTTTAAAAAAGGTGAGAGGAATTATGTAGAAAACTATCAGGCTATCACAATTATCAGTAATTTCGCTAAAACATTCGAAATAGTGATACAAACTGTGCTATATTTTCATGTAAGCAGGTCTATCTCCGTGAGTCAACACGGTTTCATGAAGGGCAGGGCCACAGTTACTAACTTGCTACATCTTACTCAATATGTTTGTGAATCAATCGATAGACAACTTCAAACGGATGTAATATATACTGATTTCTCTAAAGCGTTTGATAGTTTAGACCATAACATTCTACTCAATAAGTTATCTAGATTTGGTCTTTCAGATGCATTGTTGCTATTTTTCAGATCTTATTTATATAATAGGAAACAATATGTTATGTGCAATGGACATAAGTCAAGCGAATACCCTGTAATGTCCGGTGTCCTCAAGGATCTAATTTGGGACCTCTGTTATTTATTATGTTCATAAATGATATTTCTGGAGTTAGCGATGTCGATTTTCTTATATATGCTGACGATATGAAACTTTTCTGTAGAGTCTCTAACATTGACGATTGTCATCGCTTGCAATGCAACATTGTAAGGGTTGACAGCTGGTGTCGTGAAAACAGACTTGTTTTGAATGCTGCTAAGTGTCACGTTTTGTCGTTTACTTTAAAAACAGGGGTAATGATGTATGAATATAGTATTGGTGACAGGAAACTTGACAGACCTAGTACAATTAATGACTTGGGAGTCACATTTGACAGAAAACTTTCCTTCTCCTATCACATTGAAAATGCTGTTGTGGCTGCATCAAAGGCGTATGGTTTTATTGTAAGAAATACCGGTGATTTCCACAACTCCTTTACACTGAAAATACTGTACTATGCTTATGTAAGATCTAAGCTTGAGTATGCGTCCCTGGTATGGTATCCTCATCATCAAATATATATTGACCGCTTAGAGTCCGTTCAAAGAAAGTTTTTACAATACATCTCATACAAAGCTGACGGGATATATCCCGCTATTGGCTTTCCTCATAGTGAGTTGATGGCGAGACACAAAATCTATAATTTAGAGAGCAGACGCAAAATGAATTCACTTAAGTTCATTCACAAGCTCATCCATGTCATTATTGACTCCAGTGTCATCTTAGAACAACTTAACTTCTTAATCCCTAGATTAGCGTCACGAACTAGTTTAACTTTTTACTTAGCCAGGCCTAGGAGTGACATACTTAAGTTTTCCCCTATATATATAATGTGCCGTAATTATAATTCAGTTAATAGCGTTTTAGATATATTTTCGTTTTGTGCGACTTTGGGAGACATTATGCTTATTTTCGTTAATGCTTGCTGGTGTGATTGTTGAGTGCTGGGTAGGTAAAGCTAGAACGCTTTTTTTTCCTCCCAGTTTTGTTTTGAAGTTTTTTTTTGCAGCGTTTTAGCTTTCTCTACGTACATCCACAACATGCATTTGTTTATATCTTCATGTTTATCCATCCTGTAATTGGCTATGGCTGTTGGATGTTGCTAAATAAATAAATAAATAAAAGCTACGAGGTTGGTTAAATGCGGGCAAAGTTGTGCACGTAGGCAACTAAGGTAATGCCGCAATCCAGAGTATTTCGAGAGATACACGAAAGAAACAGAATGTTCCCAAAATTATTTTTATTTTTTCCTGGATTTATTTGAGACGGCATTATTGAACAAAAAGATCGCATAATTAGAATTTCAATATGACGTTTAGTCTCTTGTTCTCGATCATCAACTTTTTCTTATAGACCCCTAGGGTGTTTTCAAAGTTGAGTCATTTATTTTAACTGCTTGTAGGACTCGTCAAAAGAAGTTGATATACCTCAAATCACCTATATAAAAGTTGCAAAATAAAAGAAATATTAATTAAAAATTATCTTTTATCTAAATTTAGCAAACTTTTGGTGTTATTGTATGGTTTTAGCACCAATCTTTGTATTGTAGTTGTATCAGACTTTTAATAGTTGGCATACTTTCATTTGTCTGATTATTTTGTTCGAAAAAATGGGCCATATTTACGAAAACAATAAACTAGTGGACATAATTTTGAACAGTTTTTTTTTAAAAACGGTACCCATTTAACTTGATAATGATTTTAAATAATGTATAATCTAACTCTCTTATTATGCAACTTTTATACAGGGTGTCCGCAAAGTTGGGGTTTTCCTTTTCAGAAACAACTACCCTTGAAATAACAAAGGTAATGTGTAGTGAAACGAGGGCGACCAAGTTGACGAGAAGGGCTAAGTACGTCTCTGCCCGAAATCATACCGCTCCAACAGAAAATGAAATCAGCTGATGCGCTACCGAGCAGACGCAGGCAAACAAGGAAGGCAAAATGTTGCGTAAAAAGTCTAGGTATTGCATCCAGTCCAATCGATTTGGGAGAATAAATGGTAGAAAGAGCATACCGTTCACCATGCCAGCCCAAACATTCACCGAAAATGTTTGTTGAAAATGTGCCCGACCGACAGCGTGCGGATTTTCTACTGACCAAACATGAGTGTTGCGAAAGTTATTCACCCCATTACGCGTGAACGTAGATTCGTCTGTCACCAATATGCACTTCGAAAAGTCCGGATTATTGTCATGTTGATGCAACAACCTCTCACAAAACCGCACTCTTGCTGGAAAATCGTCAGGTTGAAGGGCTTGTACACGTTGGACGTGAAACGGATACAGCCCCTCTTCACGCAGCGTTTGCCACACTTTAGTTTTTGATACTTGCACTTCTCTAGCCACGTCTCTAGTGCTTGTTGAGGGATTCTCGTCTACGCGATTACCTCTACACGCGTGACCGTAACCGTCGGTTGAAGGTTGCATACTGACCTGACAAACTGACCCCGACCCAGTTCTGTCGTCGGGTTGAGCTAGTGTCCTAGTACCACTCGGGGATGTCGCGGCTACAGGACGGTATTCAGATATTTTTGATGTTGCAGAGCCCTTTATCTCGGTTCCCTTAAGACATTGGTGTATATGGTACTAAGAAAAATTGCTTATGTTTTCAAGATCTACACGTCGTGTAAAGGAAAACCACAACTTTGCGGACACCCTGTACAGGTGATTTTTGGTATATCAACGTCATTTGGCGAGTTCTAGGAGATGTTAAAATAAATTACTCAGCTTTGAAAACACCCTGTATTTAGTCTATTAAATCACCAATGCTTCAATTTCTGAGAAGCGTGTTTAAAGGCTATTCATATAATTTGCCCATGTATTGACTGTAAAAAGGGTTATCTACATGACACCTCAGCCATAGTTATAGTATTTGAACGCAAGATGTCTGCATCGGTTTAGATATGAGGGATATAAGCTGCAACATGGTTAAATATCCTTCTGAAGCCACAGCGCTGGAGACGGTCACAGTCACAGATTATTAGTACTTTAAAGTCAAAGGTGTAAATGAAACATTACATACTTTGCAACATAAAATTTGATGATGTATAACTTACCTTGAATCTTACAGAGCTACTAATGAAAACGGGCAAGAATGCTGTAATCACTGGCGGTACAAGAGGCATAGGTTTCGAAGTGATAAAGATGCTCATGAAATGCGACATCAATGTGATAATTGGTAAATGTATTGCCCAAAATAAAATCACATAATATTGAAAACGTTTTGTTTTATGCAGGTTGTCGTAACATTCAACAGGGACAAGCTTTGTTGGAAAAGTTCAGAAGCGAAGAGATAAAAACGGGTAACATTGACGTGTTCAAACTAGATATAAGCGTAACAGAATCTGTGAAAGAATTTGTTGCCGCTGTGTCGCAGAAATACTCCAAAATACATTACTTGATAAATAATGGTAAGAATCTTCAGGATATCTACAGGTTTTTCTGCAAACACTAATTCTTGAACTGGTAACATTAATATGCACGGGTCAGTCAGCTGATATGGAATAGAACGTATGCGAGGTATCACAATTTTCATTTCAAATATCCGTATACGCTATTTTGTGTGGAATATTTCCTTGGATTCGCATAGTGACATAGATTCAAAATATCTAATTTCGATATTTTCAATGACAAACATGGCATAGACTTGCGACCTTGTAGCTATCAATACTAAACCAACGCTTTATAAACTACTACAGTTATTTTCAAGAAACTAGCATTTTATTTCTATTTTCAGCTGGAATAATGTTTGGACCTTACATTGAAACTAGAGATGGATATGAATCACAATTTTCAACAAATTATTTAGGACATTTTCTTCTTACCCATCTCTTGATGCCACAACTAAAAGCTGCTGGAGAAGAAAAAGACAATGCAAGAATAGTCAATGTATCTTCATGTGCTCATGTTATTGGAAAACTTAAATTTGAGGATATCAATAACAGGTAAAAAATATGACACATTTGAGTTTAAGGAATTGTATGATTTCAGTGTGGAGAAGACAGATTTTTTCAGAAATCGCAACAACGAAAAATAATTTTAAAATGGCCTTGATGCCTATGAATTTGTTATGTTATATAGGGTACAGATATTCTAATAATGAGAATCATTTTAAATAAAAACAAATGTGGTAAGATTAAGTCTATGTTAGAAGAACTACAGTGGTTGAATGTAAAAAGTTTCCATATTCAAATTATAAAATCATTATCACCACATTTGCCTCAACTAGAGGCAGTATAGATTTTCATCTGCAAAATTATAATAGTAGCATAACTAGCAAATCTGTATTTCAAAATGGAGTATTTGGAGTTAATAAATTGAATGATATTAAACAGTTTTGAATTCAAAAATGTTTAAGCTGAAATTAAAAAAACCACTAGGAATACTCAAAATGACAATGTAAAATTACAGAAAATTGATTAAAAAAATGTTTAAACGAATAGTTATACAAAATGACATTGAACCATTAATGCTACAAAAATCTTCAACAAAAAAGCTGAGTACGCTTACCAAGTTAAAAAAATATAGTGGGTAGTTAAACGGTTAAAAAAAATATCCAAAATCGATAAAACTTCCGGTATTTCTGTTATAAGAGAATAAAGGCTTTTTATAATCATCTCAGTGCCCTCTATTCTCAGTTAAAATATCTGGCTCTCGTAATGTAACACCCTGTATAAATGAATACTTTTCTCATAATGCCTTTTTGGAATTGTGGTTGAACTAAAGGGGATATTTTTAGGAACAGATACATACCAGGAGAGGCATATGCCCAATCGAAGCTGGCTCAAATACTTTTCTCAAATTACTTGAATAAACTATTGGAAAAAGAAGGGGCGCACGTGCAGGTCCATTCTGTGCATCCAGGAATAGTCAACACAGATCTTTTCAATAGTACCCATTTGAAAAAATTGGTACCGTGCTTACCGAAACTTTTATTTAAGGTAAGTGAATGCTCATTAATTTGCTAAGTCGCGACGTCAGCTTAGTAAGCTGGTTCATTTTTTAACAAAATTTGCTACTCTTTTTTACACCGAAGCATAAGCCTAAATACCAGGACACGGCGGCTGCTATTAGGATTACAAAGAAACTTTGCTTATCCGATTTTTGAACTGCCTAAGGTTAGTAGAACAGGGAAAAGCCTCCTCGTGTAGATTTTTCCACGATCTATACAACAAATATGTCGCAATGGAAGAGAGCTAGACGGCCCGCCGGTGCGAAAGGGTCCCGAGACTATCTGTTAGCGAAGAGTCATCGATCAGTCGGTCAGTTCTCCTTTGGAGAGCATCGAGCATGAGTAATGTAGTCGGGGCGGCAGCACCCCAAACGTGTAAGCAATACTCGAGGCTAATCATGTCTAATCTCTTTTATAGTATCGCTGCATTCTAGGTTGAACAGATTCATAAGGCTTTGCTACTCATTCTAACTGTACTGGTCAGTACGATGGCTCCTTTCCACGCCTGCTAGCGAGGATGCACTGTAATCGCGAAAATTTTCGATTATGATGTTATATGACATGTACAGTCTTTGAAAACCAAAAGATCGCCAATTTTGGCCTGAAAAACAAGGTTGAAATCACTTTAAAATAAACTAACCTCAAAATACTCTTCAAGGTCTTCTAGAGTAGTTTTAATTTAGAATTTTTGAAACATTGAATATACCCGCAATTTTTTTTTCTCCGGGCAAATTTTTTTCGGGATTTTTGGATCATTGCGAACAAAAAACGCTTCTATTAATTTTCTTCTAAAGCTTAGGATTTATAAGTGATTTAATGCATGAAAAGCCCTAAAAATAGGTATATTCAATGCTTGGGAACTCTGTAAATAATTGTAATTTTTGGGGTCGCCAAGCGTATTAATACTACAATAATATTACAAGACCCCGAAAAGTATTTTGAGATTACTTCATTTTAAAGCGATTTTTAACCTTCTTCATTAGGCCAAAACGGAAGAACTTTTCATTTTCGCGGACTGTTCAACACGAAAAACCATGTCACTCATTTTCGTCGGTTCCCGTAAGGTTACTATTATGCCAAGGACAAAAAAAGTCTGTAGTTTTTGAAAATTGGCCCAGACACGGAAGCGAAGAAGACCGAAAACGAAAAAAATAAATATCGCTCAAACGTCGTTTTTTGACGTTTCGGAGGATCCTGATCATTTTCGAAGTTGTTAAAAATTGGAAGTTGTGGGGTTGCAGGGGGTGGGAGCAGGTATATTTCAATTTTATGCGTTGGTATATTTAATGCCTCCAATCACAATAATTCTACGCACCTATATTTCACTCGTCGTAGATGACCCGCTTAAAACTTAAAAATATCTCCCTCAGTCGCGTGCCGATACGTGCGCCGTGGTCTGGCTGATGGTCGTGGGTCGCAGTCGGCAGTCACTTCCGTGATATTGTGGGCTGTATGTCATAAAAGTCAATATCGTCATCCACGCGGGATTAGTCAAAGCAACGATCATGTACGCCCGCAGGATTTTTTTCTCATGAGAAGGGGGAGAGTCATTTATTTTTTTGTTATACACTATACACTACATTCTACTATATGGGACGATCCCCATTTCTTTCTACTAGTCTTGGCTAGCTCAAAACTCGTATAAGTAACTTAACATCTGCATAGTAGTTGCCATATTCCAGTTTATAGGTCCTGCCTTCGTATCAAATGTACAAAGGGTATTATAAAAGTTTTGCAATACAGCTTTATCATTTTACTTCCTTTAAAGTACACTTCTCCATCCGCCAAAACCTTAAATTAGCTCTGCCAAGTTTCACCCGGGAGTGCGACACAGTCGTCCAAAGCCCTCATCGCTAGAAAACCGTTTTCCTTTCAGCTTCATTTTCACATGCGAAAACAGTGCAAAGTCGCAGGGAGCACAAGATCTGGACTGTTAGGAGGGTGCTCAATAAGTTTCAATACAGTAGTGTTCAAATACTCGGTGCAGGCTTTAGCGCTGTGAGCTGGAGCGTTGTCATGGTGGAGGTACCAAGTCTCCATTATTGACTTTGGCCGCAGGTTTAGGCAGACACTGTTCCGTGTACCACTTAACTGTGACTGTCTTCTGTGTGTCCAAATCGATACGCTCCCCAATCCCGCTCGATTTGAAAAATACAGCTATCATTTTTTTTCTTAACAGATCGGGGTTTTCTGACAGCTACGGGTCTGTCATCATCAAAGATCCAAACTTTGTTTTCAGCCTTGATCGGCACATCGTGATAATGTAGCCACGTCTCGCCACCTGTCACGATGCTGTTCACATACCGAGATTGCCCCTTATCAAACATTTTCAGCATCTTTCGGCACCAAGTTGTACAACGAGTCTTCTGCTCTTCCGTCACTATGCGGTACTCACAGGGAACAAAGTTCGCGTCCTTCCTTCACTCTCAGCGTCATCCAGTGTAAAATTGTCCCTTTGGAATTCTCTGTACCATCTGAATATAGTCGTACAATGAGGGCAATCCATCCTTTAATGTAAGCGCCATTTCTTCTATACTTAAACCATGCGTAAAGTTATACCGTAAACTACACTTATCTCATTACGTGACCACCATGCCATAGTCCGCACTTTACACTGTAAATACGAATGTACTGGGTGCGTCATCTATTACTTTTTTTTACCTATAAGTTTATGTGTTACCATGTGAGTCAAAAGTCATGTGGTATGCATAAATTAACTTCTTTTTTATACTCCAACTACCACGAAGGCCTAAGGCCCAAACACCCATGGGGTACCGTGGGGATACAGGGGAAAGGGGGAACGCCACACGGACTCTGGCGAGGGAACACAAGTGCATGCAACATGCACACATTCTGGCCCCGCCTACGAGATCCGCCGGGTGGTACCTCCGCGTTAGACAGTCAGAGACCGTCTACAACCTTCTGACAATTACTGTCAAAGGTATGCCATTTATAGTCATGGATTCGTTTACAACACAACAACGCATTTTGGTTATCCAAACTTATTACGAAAACGGTCGAAATATAAAAAATACTTTTCGCAAACATCGCACTACTTTTGCCAGACATGGACGCCCTACAGAGCCTGGAATTCGTTGGATTGTTAATGGTTTTGAGGAAACTGGTTCAGCTGAAGGTCGTAGACCATACCAACATGCTCGTCCAGCTCGTACTCGTGAAAACATAGCCGCAGTGAGTGAAATTGTGAGACCACTTATCGCCGGATTTTACACATTGATTTACACCTCCATCAATTCAAATTCCAACTAACACGAGAATTGAAGCCGACAGACCATCAACAGCGGCGTGTTTTTGTTAATTGGATGCTGGAAAGAGAAGACGGATTTTCTGCCAAAGTGCTCTTTCCTGATGAGGCTCATTTTTACCTCAGTGGGTACGTAAATAAGCAAAATTGCAGATTCTGGGAGGCTGAAAATCCACACCAATATCATGGACAACCTCTCCATCCTGAAAAAGTGACTGTTTGGTGCGGATTATGGGCTGGTGGCATCGTTGGACTATTCTTCTTTGAATATGCCGAAGAAAAGGCCATTACCGTCAACGGGGAACGTTATCGCGGCATGTTAACAGACTTTTTGTGGCCACAATTGGATCGTATTGGTGCCGACGATCTTTGGTTTCATCAACACGGAGCAACGGCTCACACATCTCGCCAAACAATCGCCTAATTGCACACGAAATTTCACGAAATTCAGATGTCAGTTGGCCCCCGAGATCGTGCGACTATTTTCTTTGGCGATTTTTTAAACGAAAAGTGTATGCGAATGGTCCCCGGACAATATTCGGACTGAAATTGCGGCCATAGACCCGATTATTCTGGGAAAAGTCATTGAAAATGTTGATGTTCGGATGTTGGCCTGTAAACGATGCCGCGGTGGTCACATGACTGATGTTATTTTTTATACATAAATGGCATAAACCAACCTTCATTTAACAATAAAAAAATTCGATTTCACCTCGTAAAAAGCGTGTTGATTTTTCAGATAGAAAAAAGTAATAAATGACGCACCCTGTGCAACTAAATCAACCGTGCTGCTGACGGCTACTATGCACTCATGTGTCTCAACATGTAGTAACATGCAGCCTCCTGCGTCCGTTTGTTAAGTCACATTGCAAAACTTTTATAGTACCCTTTGTACTTCAATAGGATTTTCATGTTTTTTAGGCACCAGAAATGGGCGCGATTCCAATTGTACACGCCTGCCTTTCTCCCGATCTAGAAGGAAAAGGAGGCACTTACATCCACAACTGCAAAATATACTCCACTAGCGAGCGAGCTAAATCAGAAGATCTGCAAGAAAAACTGTTTGAATTTACAAAGGAACTGCTTAAAATCGAAAAATTTTGAGTGGACATTGTATATAAAAAATTACTCTCAATTGTTTATGACACTATAATTTTATACTGCAATTAAATTACATGCAGATCACTTCTAAACGTGTTAACTGTATTATAGTACCTATTATGAATGGTTAATGATTCAGCAATATTTTTCAATGCTAGTCATGTACGGAACCGATATTATGGAACACTTTTTTATACAAATTTTGTTAACAATTCACGCGTGATGTATGAATAAAATATTTTGTTCTTTTACTGTTATACAACTTTATTTTAGTGATACAGTTATTCTTTGGTTTGAATGTAATAATAAAAGTATAAAAAATCACCTACACCTTGAACCAATTGTAAAAATTAGTGCGCATATTATCTTAATATTAAGCGCAAACGATCGAATAAATAGCTACATCAATAGTTATCAACTAAATTGGAGAATGCAAAGTTAAGTCTTCACAAAATACTGGTCTAAAAACGCTCAGAAGAAGAATTACGTTCTCCATTTTATCCATAAGTACAGGGAGGCCCATAATAAAGCTTCAGTTGTCTCAATCTATTGCCAACAAAAAACTATTTGGATGTTAGTTTTCAAATAAATTTACTATTAAGAAATTTATATTTTCCTTAATGAGATTCAAGAGAAAAAGGGTATGCCAATACTATTTTGACCACTGTATTTGAAACTTGAGCTCTATCACGTAATTTGAAAAGCGACATTACGTAGGGTTTTATGACATTATCTAGGTTTTCCCACAATATATCAACTAGGAACTCTAGTCCTTTCATTGAAACACGTCATATTTAGTAAATTTGTGTGCCAACCTTAATGCAAAATAGATCCTAAATTGGTACGTATAGTTTGAATTTCCCGGGCAGATTTATGTTGGTAACAGTTTTCTGTGTTGTGACATAGTCGCAAAGCTTGTTAGGTAATTACGCCAACGACTGTTGTTTATTTGTGGTTTATTTCCAAGGATCTAGTAGTTTTAATTAATGTGGCAACCATATGCGTCACTGTCATTATTTGACACTGCTCTAATTCAGTGAATATACCATAGCTTTCGTTCACTTCATGCAGCAGGCGCGAAATGAACTATTTGCACACTCCCAGCTATCTAGTCTATCAGTTTTTTTGACTTATAGATTTTTACATAATAAACCTGCCGAAACTCCCAAACAGGTGAAACAATTGAACTGTTATCCTTTATCTACACGCATAAGCGGCTTTCTGTAGTTTTTCGCTGACAATAAGCTTTATTGTTTAGGGCCGCACGATACGATATGAAATTGGTGATGCAATTTGATATCGAATTTGTTTACAACTGGCAATCCAGCAAAAGTAAGTGAGGTTACAGTAACTGCCAACGGAGATTGTGACACCTTTACTCTATTTCACGAGTATCCATCACGCTTTGACGTCTACTGAGAGCAAGTGATATTTTTGTGTTAGTCTCCGATTGGTCTAAATCTTGTAAAACTGGTTTTTGTTTTTAAATAAAAGAGCTGTTAGCAAGTACAAAATGAATCTGTAGCGAACAAAACACCAAAACAAAATTCGGCTCTGACTACCTGACGTTGACGGATCCGTCAGAATTGTCCTGTGCCGTTATGGGGAATTTTGAGATATGACTAGATAACCAGCTGTCATTCTAGCGTGATGGATACTCGTGAAATAGTGAATATATACTTGCGAGGTGTTAAACATTTTGAGGTTATGACCGTCAACGCATCGTTCATTTTGCCAGTTGTCTATGCAAATTTGATCTCAGATTTCATACCGTGTAATTGCACTTACGTATAACTAAATAAATAAATCGAGGCAAAGAGGGGTATCAAAATAAATTGAGGATGTATAACATTATTGTATGTTTTTGGGTTCCATCAAAATTTGATCTCTTGTAATTCTTACAGATCATTCACATACTGTCAGGAAAATGTATGACTTGTAGAAATAATTATTCCCAGTTATCTTGTTACCACATGACCTACTACTTCGTCTTTATGTTCTAAAAACATACTGGAATAACAAACTACTTGAAACTGTATATAGCGTCAAATAAATAATAAGCCCGTGATAAAAAGGGTACAAAAAATACAAGTAGCATGAATAACTGCACTATTGTATAAAATAATAACAAGAAAATAAATAGTTTCACAACCAAGTAAATAAAATGGAATGTATAAGATAACTAAATATAAAGAATACCTATAAAATAAGCGTTCAGTAATATGTGATGTGTTGAACGATATTTTTTTACAAAATATGTATTGGGTGTTATCGGAGGTACAGCATTTTAAAACAAAATAATAAAATCGTTGTACATGGTATGGGTCCGATCGAATCTCAGCTTTTTGGTCGAACTCGATGTTTGTCTTTTCATATCAATCTCAAATAATGAACGTTTGTGGCCTGGATCCGTTGTTTATACGAGGTATGTCCGTAAAATACGTATAAAAGTGGAATAATAACTTTATTTTACAATTTATTTCAGTATGGTCTCCTTCAAAATACTCCCCTAAGACAAGATGCACTTCTGCCAACACCGTTTCCACTGTTGATACGATCGCTGAAAGTCTTCAATTGTGAGGCTCTTTATTTGCCGTGTCGTCTCTGCCTTGACGGCTTCCACATCCCCCAAGTGCCGCTCCCGAAGCACCATTTTGCATTTTGAGAACAGGCAGTAGTCGCAAGTGGCTAAATCGGGTTTTCCGTCACGCTGATTGAGCTTCGGGCTAAAAACTAACGCACAACGAGAGACGTGTGAGCAGGCGCCTTATCGTGATGAAGGATCCAATGCCCCGAGAATCAAAGAAAACAATCAACATTGTTTTCACGTGCAGGAATTTAGAGTGGAAAGCCGAAATCTGCCAGTAAGCTGGAGAAAAGGACTTTCTCTACGACCTGAGACCGGGAGGTTATCACTGCTTGGGGACGCAACAATCTGGTACATTGCAATGCTTCCAAAATAGTACCGTGCTACTATATTATTATTTTATCTCATTTTTAGTTTATACGTCAACTGTGACCACGCAAGGTAATAACTTAATTTGTGATTTCTGATATGTTCAAACATGTTATTTGTCATATGTTGTGCATTTTAAGAATGTTTTAATATACTTATTTTATTAAATATCTATGGTCACTCTATTTTACGATCAATCGAGGATTAACAAATCGTTAAACTTTCAACGACTTGACGATATTATGGTCAAATTTGGTTGGGCATTTTTTGAATGTGTTCACGGGATTTTCGAACTTCTCGTGAGTACTGAGCTTTTTAATACGTAGCAGAGTATTAGTTATGACTTCTGTAACCATTCCTTTGTATTATTTTCTCTTAAAGTTCTATACCTCTAAAGAACATCCAATAGGTCGATAATCAATGATGAATGTTTTGGGTGTAAAGGCATACCCATACAATAATTATAAACTCCTGGATTCAAACTGAAATATTTGCAGTGCAATTCCACAAAATGCTACATAGCTGTAATATCTAACAAAGCGTAAAGAGTGAGAGTCAAGTGCCCCACGTATAGCTACAGTTAAAAATAGTCTAAATGCATATAGTAGTTCATGAACAAAAAAATGACAAATCTTTCAATTATTATCATTTAATTTCGTACAACTACTCTTCTGTACTCATTCCTAAATACTAGCAAATTTGCATTCAAATCGGGTGGTCCATTTAAAAAAAAAATCGACTTCGTTGGTTGAAGATGTACGATAGAAAAGCATTGGATCTTCATCAATCCAGACCTAAAACCCTACAGAATTTCGTGGTATACATGGGATCCCTGACTATGTATATACACCTATATTAATATAAATGTGTTTCCAAATAATTATTCTACACTTAAGAAAACTATTGAAAAACCAACATTACTTCTTTCCTAACATAAGGAGCATATCCTCACGATAGCGTTAATTTAATCTCAACAATATTAAGCACATAAAAACATTTATCAATAATATTAAAAACAACATCAGAATAACAAACCCAATAACATTATGCACCATATTGATGTTTTCGTACTGCCCTGTTCAGGAATCAGGTCAGGATTCAGATAAATATAAATTCAATCTCCATACAAAATCAGGCTCGCCGAGAGAAAACTCAAGCCTGGGAATCAAATATGAGTTCAGGTTCAGCGTCCATTTCGGAGAAAAAAATGTGGCACAGATCGGGGAAATCGCGGAAATCCCCACTTCATCCCCCCTCTCGACGAGCCTGTGCAAAATCATCATCAAAATTAAACGTCTGATACAGAAATGGAAAAATACTAACACAATCAAAAAATCAATGTTATTTAAGCTGAAAAAGTTTTCGGTTGAAATAATATTTTAGGAGTGGACAAATCTCAAAATATTGGGAAAATCAACAGAACAAGAAATATAACCTTACAACGTTAAAGCTAACTCACAAACCACTTACAAACCGCGAATTATAGAGATCTGAGCTAAGAATAAAGTTGTTTCTGTATTGTTTTGATTTGATATCTACTGGCAGAATATTTTAAATGCAATAAAAAATGTTGCAACATTCTGTTTGAGTCAACAGATCGCAATACATACAGTACTCTCCAAATTATATCCTCAAACAACAAAATACATTAAATAAACGAATTAGGAACATAGAGAAATAGTCATATTGACGCATTTTTTTTAATCTCCCAGTAGAAGGAACACATTTAACACAACGTAAGAACGCTGACTTATTGGGAAAAAGTAAGCTCAACTAGCAGGAATTATTATTGGATAGAAAAGTAACCTATTTTTCAAAATTTTATAACTTGAACGGTTGATCGGCAATTGACTGTATTGTCTGTTTATAACCTTAGGCATGACCCCAACCAAATTATCGCTCTCTACTTCTAGCTTTCCATATTACCTTCCATTAGCGTGTGGAGTAAAAGGCACTTAATTTTCCTCAACAACTGCATTCTTCTGACAAACTTCCCACTATATAACAAATTTATAATAGGGAATATGCATGTTTTTTGTATTCTCTGTGGATTATTTACGTTAATATACCATAAACACATATTTCAGTCATGAAAATATTTGTTAAATCTTTGAACGCCACATTTTTGGCGCGCTTTGCAGTGACTTCATAACCCTTGACATGTCATTTGATTGTCTGTTTAGTGAATGTGCTGTCAACTTTCCAAACCTTCTAGTTTTAATTTAAAAAAAAATCAAGAATGGTTGAAGAACGTAAACCTCATTATAAGTACTGTATTGTGCTTATGTGCAAAAATATGATATGGATAAAGTATATTTTCCGAGATGCTAAGAGATCATTGGTGTAAATTATGAAAAGAGATTAAATATCTTCAAAAATTAATTTATATTGTTGTGTAAGTACAGAATACAGAGCTACCATTTTGCCCAAATATGATTAGTTTTTAATTACCTTGGATCACAAAGATTATGTATATTTCTTTCATTTGCCACTTGAAGAAGATAAATCACTTTCAGTCATTGTTGATAGTACTCAGGAAGGCTATATCTCGAGAACTAAGTCTGTCTGTGATCTATCTAAAATACACAAGAAAGTTGTAAAAACAACCTGATGAAAAACTATATTCCCTTGAACTGATCAAATATCAAAATGACAGGTTGACAATCAACTGACTATGAGAACAAAGGTGTGCAAGTTTAAATCGGACTGACAAATCAACACCGCTCGCGTCTATCACATCTACATGCATGTATGGAGTTGTCAAGTTTGAAAGTGGTACAGATAGATTGGATTAAGATCTTTCTATCGTCAATCGAATTAGTAGAAAATTGTTTCAATTGGAAAAAAAACATGGAAAACTAGATACTTGGTATGCAGGATATATCGGGTTTTCCAACAGGGACTTGACAACTTTGAACTTTCACTGTGAACGCACATTTAAACCAATTACCTAACAGTCAATGTCAAAACATTCAGTAAAGAAAACGTATTCATCATGGTGAAGTACACGAACGAACAACGCTTACAAATAATTAAAATTTACTACCGAAATTCCGAGTCGGTGACTGCAACTTTAAGAGCGTTAACGCCAATTTTTGGTCATAATTCTCGTCCCAGTAGACAAGCAATTCATAGCCTAGTAAAAAAAAATTGAGTCCACATTATTTGCTGCTGGATGTTCCCGTGCCAGAGAGATAACGGGTTGGTTGAAGTGCCGCAAACGAACAGAACACGTCGATTCCACGGCGTCCTGAAGAATTGGGCATCGCTCAGACCACACTATGGCGAATTTTGCGAAGAGATCTTGGCCTGCACCCTTATAAGATCAAGTTAACTCAAGAACTAAAGCCGTTCGATCATACTAACCGACGTACGTTCTCGAATTGGGCTCTAGAAATGTTGCAAGAAAATGACCAATTTCATCGCAAAATCATCTTCAGTGATGAGGCGCATTTTTGACTGAACGGCTTCGTCAACAAACAGAATTTGCGTTATTGGTCAGGTCAAAACTCTCATGTGCTTCGAAAAATAACTTCTGCGGTACCCCATGGGTGTTTAGACCTTAGGCCTTCGTGCTGGTTGGAGTATAAAAAATACAAATAATTAGCTGATATTTGAATCATATGCATATTTCCTATATATGGTGAGATTCAAATTTGGCTGACGTCGTAATGTGTACGAGAGACAAGTGCGATATGTATGTTAGAAAGAGTGCGCCGATGGCTTACGTGATCTTGTACTCGGGTTGCTAGGCAACGAGGTGCTTCTATCTCGTTCTAACACACGTATTGTACGCTTCACTCTCGTACACGTACGACGGCCTAACAAACCAAAAACCAACCAAATAATATTGTGATGTTCGCGAAATCCTTTCGCATTTTATGTGTACTGTTTGTAATGCCACCTGAAGCATCATATACAGAATATTATTTCTATTTCAAATTGCTATGTTCGTATAATGCAACACTACAGATACATTCTATAAAAAATGTTCATAGTTCAGGCTTAAAACGTCAAACTTATAGCTAAGAAGCTTATCACAGTAGTAGATATAAAAAATTTGTAAACATTCAAACACATACCCTATGTTTGGCAACATCAATAAATAAATAGAAAATCTCTGCAAAAAAAATAATCAATGCAGTTTAATTTTGATGACTGCAAGTTTTTAAAATATAATGTGCCTAAAATTTACCACTAAGTTACTGAAGTTTGCTGCAGCAGCTAGAATCTCCTATAGTAGATGTTCTTCCATTTATACTTTGTGCATTAGAATCGTAACGTGGAAGATCCCTAGTTCTAGCTTGCTGTGAAAGAAAATAGTTTTATCAATTTCTTGTCATATTTATGAACAATTTGGGCTGTACAGGATGTTAATTAAGTATGTACCATAAATATAACAGACGATTCTTTGAGTAATTGTAAGACAAAAAGTTCATATAAGCATAGGTCTGCAAATTCTTCGTTCTCAAGATACAGGGTGTTAAAATTAAAAAAAAAATGTTTTTTTTAAATTTCTCAAATATCCTTTACCTAATTTTGCTGTAATTTGGCGGTGATATTTATAACATCAAAAAAAATTTAGTGAAATTTGTTAGCCTAGATGTTAATGTTATTTAGTATTTGTTGTTGTAGTTACATAATTGATAATGAAGAATTATAAGAAAATAATAATTTCCAAAAGAAACTTTTCCCCATACTCCTTGAGGTCCAGGAATATGGAATTAAGTGGACATTTTCTCGAAAACTAAGTGATATAGGAAAAATTCAAGAAACAAAAAAGTTGTATTTCCATTTGTTTGATCCAAAGAACATAATAAAATTTGCACAAAAGTCAGTGGTGTACATTTTTTGTCACAAATATTCGTTCAGACCCCACTCGAGACGCCACTGGACTCAATAAATTTAATCAAGTTAGGGCTAAATTAGCTCCTCAATGTTATAAACACCACCGCCAAATTACAACAAAATTAGGTAAAGAATATTTAAGATATTTATGAAAAACCATTTTTTTCTAAATTTTAACCTGTCTCTTGAGAATGAAGCATTCGCGGACAATGTTTGTATGAACTTTTTGTCATAAAATTACCCAAAGAATGATATGTTAAATTTATGGTACATACTTAATAAACACCCTGTATAATAATAAAGCATCTCACAAACATTATACAGCATATAATAAGTTGGTGCTACCTTCATCAGATCTTCAGCTATCTGCATGAATAGCCTTTCTACATTATCAGATTCTTTAGCAGAGGTTTCTAGAAAGTACATGTTATGCCTCTCTGCAAATTCTTCACCTACATGTGTTGGAATTTCTCTATCTTCTCTGTCAATTTTGTTACCTGTGAACAACAGTCATACTCAAAATCTTAATATTTCTGATTTATTTTTCAATGATTCATTAAAATTTTATGAAGGGCACACTTTGTATCTAGAAGCAGTAAAAGTATGTTTAAACAGCTAAATCCTCAATCTACAAAAGAAGAAAAATATCTGAAAAAAGGTGGAAGTACCATTTCCTCTTTATTTTATTTCTTACACTAGACTATGTGATGCTAAAGAAATGAGACTTTTAATTTAAGAAAGTAGTGAAAATGTTAGTATCTTGTTTCAACACATGATAGAATACACCTTTTGAAAAATTACTTGATATTTACTTTTTAACCAGCAGCTCTTCATGTTGTTTTGACTTTCAAGATACTTACCAACCAATACTCGTAGCACTTTACTACTAGCATATTCTTCAATTTCTCTCAACCAGTCAGGTAAGCAATCAAATGTAGGCTGGCAAGATATATCATAGACTAGTATTAGGGCATGAGCAGATCTATAGTAACTTTGTGTGATGGACCTGAAGCGTTCCTGACCTGCAGTGTCCCATATTTGTAGCTGAAAAAAGATCAAAGTCTTCAACTATGTAGAATGGGTAAAATAGTAATACTTCAGACCACAGTACTGTTTCAGGTTGCATTTATATTAAATACAGGGTGTTAATGAATTACTGGCCAATTCTGACTAAAAAGTTACTAGCAGCATCTATGAGACAGTAGGTGTAGATTTATAAATCCATTTTTGTATTCTGCTACTGCCTGTTAGATGCCACTAGGATGTCAACATTCACTAATTCCAACAGATTTTCAAAGTAGAGCAAATTTAAGTTTTTGTATAACACTTCAAATTAATTAAAAAAGCTCTCTCATGCAGAATCAAATTCCCTATTTTCACGGATCAGTGTTCCTTGAACTGTCACTGGTTGTGACCAAAATTTTAATCACAGTTATCATCCCTTATCTCAGACCTAGGCATAAGGGCGTCACAATTTTTTTTTGCCCATAGGTCCCACAAGGACCTTGCTATTCTATTGATCATTTAGATAATTTTATAATATTCTATAATTCTTAACAAGCATAACTAATCAAAGTATCGAAAAAGTGTCTCTACTACTGATTACAATTTTGTTATTGTGTTGTGAAAAAATGTTTTTGGAGCTATAAACATTCGAACAGTGTAAAATAAGCTTATAATTTTGATTTATGTAATATGTACCATGTATGTAGCAAATAAATTATACTATTATACATATAACAAATCATGCAACTTGCAACAAATAAAATTTGGTGTCTCACCTTCACTTTTTCATTCCCCACCTCAACAGTTTTGATCATGAAATCAACACCTATGGTAGCACCCTGGCCAGGAGGGAATAAGCCTTGTGTGAATCTTCGAACCAGACAAGTCTTCCCGACTCCTGCATTCCCTACTAGGACCACTTTGAACAGGAATTTATAGTCATCCATGTTTTGATTCACTCAGCTTTAATCCTCTAAAGAAGCATTTCAGGAAGTTGCTAAATTGTTGATCCGATTTCCTAACATGGTAAAATATAAAATTTCTCTTGTAAAATATTCCTGCAGCTCATTTTAGCACCTACTGAAATATTAAATTACGTCATGCAGGTGTATTGTTGGTCAACAGATGAACACACTGCTTCAAGGATGAATCACAGTTGTTTCCAAAACTAGTACCTCCATAAATTCATGGTTTTCATACGTTGTACATGGTCAGATATGTAGAATCTAGTCAACCTGTTTTAATTTTCCCATTACTGGTTCTTTTCCGCTTAAAAAAGTATTTTCTGAAAATTGTCCTTATTTTAGCAAGTAGAACAGGAGAAATGTCAAATTGACAACAAATGTCACAATTGACATGTGTGCATAAAGCATCAAATTCAGGGCTGTCAGTTTGTGGTTGTCAGCTTTCAGCAGTGTTGCCGAGCCTACAAAATTTTCGGTATTTCTGCCGTAATCAGAAATTTAAGGAAAAGGTTTTCGTTTTCCAGGATTTCTTAAAATAATTCAGGTATTTATAGATTTTTTACCGAAAAAAAAAACGCAACCAGATATGAAGTGAAAAAAATGAATTCTAGTTTATGTGTTTGCCCAATACCAGTCATACATGAGCCTACACTTGGGTAGTTGGGCACACGAGGGACGTATATTTGGGTTGCCTACATTTATGTATAAAGTAGACGACAACGATATTAGATTCGTTTACATGTTTTACCGTTAGTTATAAAACGGCTATGAACCGAGAACGAGGCATGAGGACAGAGTCGGATCTGAAAATTTTCAAACAGTTTCTCTTGCAAGTCTGGATTGTAATTGTAATTGTAATTAATTATCCCGACACTAGAAATTCATACTATTAACCAAAATATATATACAGGGTGACTTCGAAGTTGAGTCATTTATTTTAACAGTGTGTAGATCTGATCAAAAGAAATGTTTTTTTCCTTTACCATTTTTCTGGTAAAATTAAAGTAACAAAGTTATAGCCCTTTGGAAGTTTGAGTACCGCCCTGTCTCAATAATATCATGTGTTCGTGTTTGGCAACAACGGTTCATCGCATCGGAAACAAAAAAGCGAAAGAATTTGGAACGATGTTTTTACGATTACAATTCAGTTCAGTTATACATACAGTCAGTTTCAGTCGCGTGTGAATAGTGTCTGTTGCGTGGCTCAAACGAAATAAAAAATGGCACATGTTTATGCGGATCGGTTTCCCAATCGAGTGCAACCAACCCCTCGTGCCTTTGTTAATGTAGTACAACGGGCTCGTGAATCAGGTGACTTAAGACCTCACAGGGGACCTCACGATCAAATACAGGTCCGCACTGAAATACTTGTCGGGAGGATACTTTATAAAACAAGGTAAAATTTTTTTTTAATTTTTTTTTTATTTTTACACACATATTTTGGATTATATTCCTTCTACAATCATTATCTGAAAATTAATGACTCAACTTCAAAGTCACCCTGTATATATATATATCTGAATTTGCTATGTTGCGGAGCCTTATCCAGAACCACGCACTTCAAGATCATTCACCTGGATACATATTTCGTTTCTGTTTCACATTTTAGTTCTTTATTTAAAAAATATACAAGTTAATCCTCTTCTTCCGAAAAGTCATCATTGACGTCAATAATGCACTTCGCGTGGTCCATTTGGTGAATCCTATGTATTAGGTCGACAACAGCTCGGTCACTAGTCGGATTTATGTTCCTTCGGCGTATTCTTTTTTTTTAGTTGAGCCCATATTAACCATATGGGATTAAATATACAAAAATAATATGGTAGTCATAGTATCACATGCCCACAAGAAGCTGCCATTTCGTAAACCGCATACCTTCTCTCAAACTGTCTTGTACGAAGCACCTCCAACAATAATTGTATAAGAATCCTCAAAATAGAGATCGTGCTCCACAAGAAATTCTTGGATGTCTTTCTTGCAGGTTGAGGAATTAGGGACCTTTGCGATTTGTCTAGAATGATCGCTGGCATTATCCATTACAATGACACTTGCAGGTTTTAAATTTGGCAGCAATCTGGTGGAAAACCGTTCCTCAAACATCTCGGCATCCATATTCTCATGGTAGTCCAGCTTGCAATCCGCTATTTTCTTGTCAGATAACAATAGTGCAATTTGAACCCAACCTGCGGAGCCACAATGTAGAATGACCATCCAGGATCCTTTATTTGGTGGTACACCTTTTAACTGACATTTTTTGGATGAGTCGGTCCACGCCTTTTTTCTGTATCATATGTATCCTACCGTGTTTCATCCAGGTAATATATTGACCTACCTTCCTCCCTACATTCTCTGATCGTTTCTAAGTAAGCCTGTCGCCATTCCACTATGCGCTTACATCCATGACTGCAGATCTGTTTTTAACTCCAGTCCTGCTGTTTTTTAAGGACACTACTATTGGCGCAATCACCCATTTCACGTAACAGTCCATTATAAACATTAATGCAAATCTGTTGAGCATCCACAGACAGGCACTTTCTTTTAGAAATACGACGGTATTCCTGACTATCATTACTGCCGCCGTTACTACTATCAGTATCATGCGTACTGACAGTATCACTGTCCGAAAAATCTTTGCTGCAAGGTGGGTTTCCATCATTCATAGCGCCTTGGTACATATAATTTTCGATGTCCGTGGGCCGCTGACCTGCCTGAGCATACACCTCGATTGTTTGCATAGAACTGAAAATATATTCCCGAGTACCGCTCTGTTGCATCGCGCTGGATTCACTTGCGCGCGGTGCTTGGGAGGGGGTGGAGGGGTTCAGGTCTTAATAGCGTAGTCACATGTGTGAACTGTTGCAATGACAGTATCGAAACAATGCGATTTTTTAGATTCGCTACATTCAAACCAATTGTATCGAATTATTAGAGCTTTTTAGGTTATTGTACATTGCTTAAATGTATAATTTATACAGATGAACCAGATTCCATTATTATTTATACCGTATCATATAATGACCGTACTATATGGCGGGTCGGTAACACAAGGAAGCAGAAAAAATGTATACAAATACAATAACGTAGTCGTATACTATACACATGTCTTATTCCGCTTGACTTATAACCGGTTTATGTGTATAACAGGGACATACTGGTAGACCACCGTCATTATCGTATCAACTAACAGCAGTCAGAAAATCAAAGTTCGTCTGTATTTAATTGAATATTATGTCAAGTGATGAGGCAAAAGGAGTTTATAGAGCAATCAGTTTGCTCATTGTACAAGTAGCAGAAGAACTTGAGATTTTTTTTCAGGAACACATGTCCTCAAAAAACCTGTGTTGTGTATGAGCGCGTAATACAAAAATATACTTTTTTCATAGAGGGCGCTGCGTGATGTAAAGTCTCTTGATCCACCGCTGACCCTTGAATCTACCTAATTTCGACACCGTCTACCGATTTCGTCTTTTTCGGTTTGGCAACACTGTCAGCTGCCTGCTTGATTTGTATTTTGCATTTGCACAATCTGTAGGTATTTGTGATTGCATTTTCTTCTTTTTTTTTTCTTCATAACTAATGCATTCCAGTCTTGCACCTGATTTCTATAATTAAGATGCAAGGCAGAAGATCTTCCCATTGATGTGATTGTCCATTTTGTCTGTTTTGTATCTCGAACAGCATCATGCTGATCGAATCTTGCACACCCACCATTGAAGCTCCTTTCCATGCATTATTTTTCACTCTTGGTGAATAAAAATGTAAGTTTTTTGTGCTATTCATCCAATTAAATTCAAGAGCATTTTTGAGCGAAATAAGGTAAATGCACATTAGATTGTACATCTGTAACATAATACAACTGTAGCTTTATTTCCTAGATAAGGAGCCCTTTATCTGATGCAACTGCATCAATATCTGATGAAATGGAGAATTACGAGGTCATAGGCACATTAGGTGAAGGGTCTTTTGGAAGAGTGTACAAAGCAAAACAAATCTGTGATGGATCTTTTGTTGCATTGAAGGTAATTAGTAAACGGGGGCGTTCTAATAAAGAACTGAAAGGCTTTCGCAGAGAATGTGAAATACAGAAAAATTTGCACCATCCAAACATCATACAAATGTTGGATTCATTTGAGACAGACAATGAAATTGTTGTGATTACAGAGTTTGCTAGTAAAGAATTAACTATGCTATTGGCCAAATCAGGATACTTGCCAGAAGATAAGGTGCAAACCATAGTTTGGGACTTGGTGTCAGCCTTGTTTTACTTGCACTCAAACAGAGTTTTGCATAGAGACTTGAAACCCCAAAATATACTGATAGATAGTAAAAATCGTGCAAAATTATGTGACTTTGGTTTTGCAAGGAACATGAGCACAGGCACTCATGTGTTAACATCTATAAAGGGTACCCCTTTATATATGGCACCAGAGTTAATAGATGAACAGCCTTATGATTATAATGCAGATTTATGGTCATTAGGTTGCATTATATATGAACTTCTTATGGGTACTCCCCCCTTCTGCACTGGTTCTATCCTACATTTGATAAGACTTATTAGACATGAACAGATACAATGGCCAACTTTCTTATCTGCAAACTGTACATCTTTTTTGAAAGGTCTGCTCCAGAAAAACCCGTTAAAAAGAATGACTTGGGATGATATTTTAGAACATCCTTTTGTTAAAGGGCACTTGATATTGTCAGAAAACTCTAGCTCTATGCCTTTAACAAGACAAATGACTCCAAATACTTTACAAGTAAAAGAAGCTCAAAGAAAAGAAGGTGCCAAAAATAAACAGTCAAAGTCTTCTGCCTCTAAAAGCAATGAAAAAGCTGAACAATTGGATGAAAAAGTAAAAGATAAAGAACTTGATGTGAAGATTGACCCTGTTGCTTCAAGTACTTCCATGGCAGAGCAAGTTGATGACATTGGTGATAAAAACTCAGATGCAGAATCTTTGAAACAAGATATTGAAGCATCAGCCAGTATAACCAAAACTTTTAACTTTATTGAAGATAATCAACCAATTGAAACTGAAGAGTGGATTGTCTTCCTACAAAGAACTATGCAAGAAATTATCAATGGAGAACTAACATCTGTGTCTGAAACAACATTAGCAAATGTACTTGTGTCACCTTTGAGAAATCCAAATGCCAGTCCGAAAGTATTAACTTATGTTTGCAAGTTGGTTTCACTACCTTTCGTTGTGAAAGATGTTTCCGATGAATCTATTGCACAAGTAAAAGATGTGTACAAAGAAATCAAGTTGGTGCCAAATTTGGTGTATAGCTCAAAATTGCTGTTGAAAGATTGTAAAGGCTCTAGTTCATCAGGATCAATGTCCCCAGGAAACTCCTTATTGCCTACTTCATTAGAGAATTATAAAGATACAATTGATCTCACTATAGAAGATTTTGAGGCTTTAGAAAACATATACATGATAATCTGTCACTTGGTACATTTAAATGATCAATTTTTGATCCAATTCTGTGATGCACTGGTTGTTTTAGCAGTATACAAACTCATGAAGCTATTTTTACTCTTAACAGACCAACAAAAATATCAAATTGTATGTGACATACTTGCTATTCTAACACAAATATCAAGAAAACTTCCTGAAAATGCTGATGTTATAGAAAAGGTTGTGAATGCATCTATTGGCAATAATGATATAAACTTTGTTGAGTTGCTTCGAAGTTCAGATGCTTTGTTAAGAGAAAGATCATGTTATTTTCTGTTGAATTTGGCAAGGCATGCTTCTGAGAACACCATGGCCAGTTTGTGGGATGAAACATTGAGAGAGACATTAGAAGCTTTGATGTATGACTCAATTGAAGATGTTAGAAGTGCCGCTGAAGTTGCTGTGGCTGAACTGAAAACCAAGGAGTTTTATGATTAATTATTAGCATAGGTTTAAATACGAGGGTGGTCTCAAAAATAAGGTTTCCACATTTTTTCACGCATCAGGAACTTTTTATTTGTAAAAACGAATTTATGGAAACAATGATCTTTGAACAATTTTTTTTTGCTCCTTGCAGCTCCTCGTGAGTCTCGAACCGTTGACCGCGTAGGTGCTCCTTCAATTTCGGAAATGTAACGGGGATGGGCAATGACTTCCCAGCCAAATCGCTCGATTCAGTCCTTCATTTGTTGTGAGACATGAGGATGCGCAATGTCGTAGTGTAGTTTTACGTTTTCCCTACGACGGATTGCCCGTCCCAGCTTTTTCAAAACCGTTAGGAATTTCAACCACCTGTTCCGGGATCGTGATTCGCCGATCGTCGAGCAAGATTTGCTCAATCTTCGCCACAATTTCCTCGGAGATCGACGGCCTCCGGCTTCGTTGTTCATCGTGGATGTCCGTGTGCCGTCAAAGAACTCTTTTCACCATTTGAGAACATTGAATGCTTATACACGTTTCCCAGATACTTCACTCAACTGGCGATGAATTTCTATGGATGGTAACGTTTTTTCGTTAAAAAATCGGATGGCCGTACGAATTTCCTGGCTGGGACGGCGATTAAAGGCTCCGTTGCGCGTGGCTGTTAGACCGGTACTGAGCGTCGCCAATAGGCGCTTCTGGTTGGAATCGGTGGTGGGGAAGCCGATGAACACGAGGGGGGGATTTCGCCTAGTTTCATGCGCGTTTGGATCCTTATTTTTGAAACAACTCTTAGGCCCGTATCGTCAGTCGTCCCTACAATTGTAGGGGGCGTTTATGGCCTCCTTGATTGTCATACTCATTTCTCTCCTTCAAGAATTTCTAGATTACACTTGTCCCGTGTCAGCGTCAGCGCTCTCCTATTGTGAAGACATGTTTTCTTTTTAAATTGTAGGAAATTTCAGGCTGCTAAAACATGATATAACTCAGAAGCAAGCACAATTTGATGCAAATAGATGTTTGTGACATAACCTCAAAATAGAGCGCTGACACGGAGAAGTAGAAAACTATGACAATCAAGGAGGCCATAAAGGCGCCCTACAATTGTAGGGACGACTGACGATACGGGCCTTAGTTGTATTAGAAGCTTCATGTTTATATGAGACAATTTATTTTTTATTAAATATTTTGAAAATCTATATGAACCATACAATTAAAGGTTTCTATCAAAATTGTTTTTTAATATCAATATGAACTGTTTTATTTACTAGGTGAAGATAAAATTAAGATAAGCCTGTTTCAAACTTGAAATTTTGTCTCATCAAACCAACCAATGATTTTGCTAATAACACCAGGTTTTGATAGAAATTCTTTAGGTGGTTCCATGCAGTGTTAATTTTGGAATTTCAAGACATTTGTCAATAAACTGTCGTAGGTTCATTTTTTGGCATTATTGATAATTGCCATTTAGTATGGTTGCTCTCATCAGTCATGACTGATGTAAAGGCCTGGTAGCTAGGCTACCCTTATTGCCAGTTCCGTACACCGATAATAATACTAACAACATAATAATTCATTTGAAACCTGCCAGACCTTTGAATGAGTATCGCAGCCCGAACAGTCTTCTTAGATCTCTTATCCAAATCCTTCATCTCGCATAACAATGGTGTGCAGAACGGGTTTAGATGTTTATCACGTCAGTCATGTACAGGGTGCGGCAATTTAACTTCCTTTTTTTCAAAATATGAAAGCCATTGTATCAATCAGAACATTTCTGGCGCTTGTTATGACTCTTGCCAGCATGGCAGGCGTTATGTTGGACGGTTCGCATAAACACGGGATTTCAAAAAACCCCATAGAAAAGACTCGCAAGGGGCTAATCCAAAATCGCCCATCATTGAGATGAGGCGTTCTGGGAAGTGTTTCCTTAAAACACCCACCAATGCTGTTGAAGTGTGTGTCATTGCACCATCTTGTTGGAAAAAAATTGAAAAATGCATATTTACATACCAGTCAGAATTCACTGCCACTGCGACCGCATTTTCCTCAACGAAACCAATAATTCCAGCAGAGGTAATTGCACACAACACTGTGACTCTTGATCAATGCAATTCTCGAGGATTGCTGTCAGTCCAGTCGCGCATATTTTGTTTGTTGACGGATCCACATAAATGAAATTGGGACTCATGACTAAAAAAAAAACTATAGCGTCCTCCGAAACGACTTCGAGAAGCCACTCACACGCTTTCTTCAGAGACTTGAAGGCACGTTCAGAAATTTCCTGTACAAATTACCAAGCTCTCACTTTTTTCAATTAATCTTAATGGTCTGAGGAACTCCAGTTATTCGTCTTGCCGCACTTGCAGTTTTTCTGAACGTAGTGACCTACGTAACAATTCCGGTACGAGACCACCAGCTCTCCGCTGTGAGATTAACAGACTGATTGGCACGCATTTTAGAAAAGGAAGCTATAGTGTCGCATACTATATCACTGACCGCGAAGTTATCAAATATTTACTCATATTCCTTTGAAAGTCCAGTGTGTCTATTCATTAAATTCATGGAGATGAATATCATTATGAATTCTCACCGAACGTTCGGTAAATCCAAGGGCAGGCGCCGAGGTGAAGCTCTCACTGCCTCACTTTTTTCAGTTAATCTAATGGTCTGAGGAACTCCAGTTATTCGTCTTGCCGCACTTGCAGTTTGTCTGTACGTAGTGATCTAGGTAACAATTCCGGTCCAACGAGGCTAAATTAAAGCTATTTCGAAAGGCGCGCTAGGTTGCGATAACGGAACATCCGCCCGAAAAGTAGGCCTCACCGGCAAAAGCACGCTCCTCGATGGCGACTGAACTCTGTCGAAATAAAATTTAACAGTCCCGCCATTTGAACGAGACCACCAGCTTTCCGCTGTGAGATTAACAGACTGATTGGCACGCATTTTTAAAAAGGAACCTATGGTGCCGCATACTATATCACTGAGGTTATCAAATATTTACTCACCTATCCCTTTTGAAATTGCAGTGTGTCTATTCATTGAATTCAACTCTAATGATGATTGTACACTGCATGAAACCACTCCTTGTCATATGACGTTTGAAACTTTCTCATCATTTTTTATAGGATACACATTTTTTTTTACTTCACAAATATATAAATTTTGCTTTTGTGTCTTTCATTTTCAAAACCTGACAGGGGAGCTGGGAACATACAAAAACAACTATATGGTGTGACTAAACTAACCTTTATTCAGTACAACTATATACACATAAACTCCAGTGTCCAAATTAAAATTCAATTAAACTCCAAATATAATGAATATCGCAAATTATACACACATGATAGGAAAAATCCAATTTATTTCCAACAATAACAACAGGCATCGTTCGCAGATTGACCTGGGAATTCGGGCTCGTCCACATGTTACTATCGATAACATAAAAACAACTATATCCAGTAAATATTTACACTCATTATGTACAAAAAGAATTCACCTAAAAAAGATCACATTATCGAACATAGCCCTGTAAGTTCCTCGCCTCTGCGCACTGGCGGCAACTTGTTCAGTTTGACACTTTTCAACGCGGGTTTCACCGACACTGGTTCCGGTTCTTCCCCGGGCGGGAATGGTTCAAAAGGATCGACATAGGTCGTCTCTGTCGGGAAGCTGTTTTCAGTCAACACTTCGTCTTTGGAGTCTTGGGGTTGAGGAAGAGGTTTGCTTATGTTTATCTTGATTTTTCCGCTGAGGGTCGAGCCGGCGTTCGAGGACATGGAGACGATCTCTACGTTGCCGTCGATTGACGGAACCAACTCTGGATGAGCGGGTGGCAGTTTGCTGGATTCCTCGAGTTCTACCGTCTCGGAAGTGGCCGATGTATCCGGGACGTCTTGGATGTCATCTGCAAAGGAATAACAGAAAATTTTATAGTCACGCGGATGTCTCTTTAGACATGGTTTGAATTGATAAATAAAATCAGAGACATAACTGGGCCTTATGCACCACTACATTCCCTCGGCCTCGAGCCCCACCCTTCTAGCGAAGTTGAGCATCGCCTTGAGTCCCAGCTCCTTAACATTTAGTGTTGCACCCCGGTACAGTCTGCCTGTAGTAGCTCTGAGCCTCACAGCGATACATAACATGAGCCGAGGACTCCCCCTTAAAGCTCACACTTGGGATCCTCAGTCATCCCCATCACATGCAAGTGGCGCCTCATCGTGTTATGGTCAGACAACAGTCTACCAACAACGTTACGACAGCTCTATCGGAAGATAAGCAAAAGCGTCTAGCCTTATCACTAGGCCCTGATGAGCTCCCCTGCCTGTCGAAGATGTCTAGAGATATTTTAGATTGTTGTTTAGACATCCACTTTTCCGTTATCCTTCTAGACTTTGTTTAAGCTACAACGAAAATTTTCAAACACATGTGAAGCTAGCATCTATAGATCTATAGGAATGCCGCCTATCTTTCAGCCAAATCAATGTTTCCATATGGTGTATGACACAGTTAAATTTGTGGAGACGATTTTTGTAATAGGAAATATGCATTATTTTTTTGTATATTCTATCGATTATTTACGTTAATATAACACCGTAAACTCATACAGTAGCGGACATTCTTAGTAATTGTTAAAAAGTGCGCAATTTTTTATTCTTTATTATTAAGGACTATTTTTTTCTCATATAGTTTGTTACAGTCTTGAGGATACAAATGACAATTTGTGTTTGCTGTGGTACTACAGACTAGCATTAAAATACCTTCATATTATTTTATGACCAAAAATAAGACGACAAAAGTATGGAAACATATTTTTTATTACAAAATTAAATACAACAACTCTACAAAAAGATTTAAAAAATACTGTTTAGCTAATATTTGGTAGCATAGCCAACACTACCTGATATCTGCTGCTCACAGAAGACACCAATTTTTTACAGACGTCTGTTGGGATATTTTGACAAATATTTTCTGACTAATCAAATAAATCGTTCCTATTTAAAACTTTTCTTGTCAGTTGTCTTTTAACATGCTCCCAGAGATGTTCTATAGGGTTTAGGACCGGGGATTGTAAAGGCCATGTAAGAACATTAACATTTTTAGTCTTAACCAGTCCTTGAGGTATGCTTGAGGTCATTATCTTGCTGGAATGTCCATCGCAAAGGCATTTCTTCTTCAGCAAAAGGGAGCATGTGTCCACTAAGAATATCTTTGTAAAGTTTTTCCCAACAATTTTAACAATTGGTCCCGTTCCAGAACTAGAAAAACAACCCCAAGCCATGATGTTGCCGCCACCGTGCTGAACTGTTGGCAACTGATACCTTTTGTCGAATCTTTTTCGTATTGGACGTCTCACATATGTCGTACAGTCAGATCCGAACAAGTTAAATTTGTTTTTATCACTCCATGAAACTATTCCACTATTGTTCTGTCCAAGTTAGATGAGTTTTAGCAAATTCAAGCCGAGCAATACGATTTAAAAAAATGAGAGGCTTTTGCACTGGACGCCTACCAAAAAGCTCAAAATCCACCAAGCGTCTCTGCACTATTCTGCCAGATAGATTCTCGGCACCCTCTTCTACGATTCTTTTGCAAATCTGTGTGGCTGGCTTTCGAGGATCTTCATGAGACAAATTAATGTAGCGATCCAAAACTTAATCGTTTTTTTCTTTCGGTCTTACGCACGTGGGCCGCGTTGCTGTTGATCCGTATTCCTGATATTTACCAATAATTTTCGAAATCGTCCCTTTGTCCACTTTTAATCTTTGAGAAATGTCAACATTTCGGACACCTCTCCTAAATAATTCAATTACTTTGTCTCTTGAATATTTTGAAAATTCTTTTACTTTTGCCATTCTCACTGATGTTAATACTTGCCGCACGCAATATCAGAGTATCGCAGAACGAATAAATATGGCAAAACTGAAATGTTTCCATACTTTTGTCGTCACAAAAACTGTGGTATTTAAAAAGACACGTATTTTTATTTTCAGAGAGTTTGAATATTGATAAGATGAACCTTGTATTAGTACGGGAGACAAAGGTAGACTTTAATATTTATATTCTCTATTCCTTCACAATTTTAATTTAGGTATATGAAATACTTCATAATAATGTTAATATTTGTTTCCAAACTTTTGTCCGCTATCGTATTTCATTCATGGAAATATTTGCATGTATTTCTATTTTATTTAAATATTTGAACAGCCATGCCAATGAGTATAATTTAAACGCCGCATTTTTGGCGCGCTTTGCAGTGAAGTCATAACCCTGGACATGTCATTTGAGTGTTTGTTTGGTTAATGTGCTGTCGAGTTTCCAAATGTTATAATTATTTTATATCCTCTAGTTTTAAGAAAACAGTATTATAAATACTGAATTATTGCTATGTGCAAAAATATGATTTGGATAAAGTATATTTTCATATTCCTCGAGATGTAAGATAAAACTAGCGTAAAATTATATACTATAGTTTCAATTAAAAAAAAGAGCATGGATGAAAAACAAACTGACAGATAAAGTATTTTTTCAAATTTCCCGAGATGTTAAAAGAAGAGTGGTGTAAAATTAATGAAAGGGATAATGAATCTCCGAAAAGTCATTCATATTGTTGTGAAGTTTATTTCAACATAAGTACAGAACTACCATTTTGTCTAAATATGATTAGTTTTTAATTTCCTTTGATTGCAAATATCTTGGATTTTTTCCACTTGCCATGAATTATAAACCACTTAAATCGGACTGACTAATCAACAAAATGTTGGCTGGTCGCAATGGTGACTTCACGCCAATAGCATTAGGTTTCAATGTTTTAGATTTGCTGCTTATTTTTTTTCCATTTTTTAATACAAACAAGGTGTCATTCTGTAGCAATATAGACTGTAAATAAAAATAATCAACCGATATTTGAATCACGTATATTTCCTATTATCGTGTATAAAAGCTTGAAACGGAGAAGTTTTAACATCCTCCTTTACTCATTCCGAGATCGTTTAATGGTCTGATATGAATCCTATTTTTCTTTTCTATTTTCAAACTGTGTTGCTCATAGCTGGATTGTCAAAAATTCAAATCTCGATGCATATGAATATCTGTCATTTTATAATATGTGTTATAAAATACGAACGTATTAACAGACTGCTAACAAAATAGCAGAAAATGAATGAGGACCTGAAACATTTCTCTTACCTAAGTCTATTGGCTCTGCCTTGATTTTGATCTGTCCGCCATTCTGCAAACTAACCAACCCCGAGACCTCTACGAATCCATCATCGATTTGTTCTTCTTTTATTCTGATTACACCCTGACTGCTACCGTTCGCTGGAACATAATCATCGTCGTCGTCATCGTCGACCACGATCTTGATTGGAGCCACCTGGAAAGAAACGTGTGATCTTAATATCCAATTTTGAAAAGAAAAACGCTCTACTAATTCCTTTCGAACGATAAATGTTAAGTATAGAGTGTGTTGGGGGCATTGTAAGGCGCTTGTCTAAGCAAATCTTCCTAGTAACACATACACTTGTCTCAAAATAATCGAGTTATCAGGTTCCTAGAAAATCCACGATATCAAATTCGGCCCTGTCTCCAACTAAGAATTTTTGAAAATCGGTCTACTGGCGGCAGGGAAAAAGACCTAAAACGAAAAAAGTAAAAATCGCTCAAACTTCGTTTTTTGGCGTTTCAAAGGATCCGGATCATTTTTGAAAAGAATTCTAGGGAAAAAAATGGAGTTTTTTATAATCTAATGAAACACTCCTTGGTCCTTGGATAGATTTCCGGTGATCGGGAATTAGTAGTAGTAGTAGTAGAACGATTTATTTAGCACATTTGGCTACATAAACAGAACAATTGTAAACAACTTAGAACTAGTAAATTTAAGCCATATGGTGTATGATGTAAATGCTGGGCAACCTATAATTGTAGATTTAACAAGTGATTTCTCAATTTTACTTTAAATTTTGTCAAAGTTTTCTGGTCTTTTATCTCCGAGTATAATTTATTATATTCAATCAACCCTTGATGGAATACAGATTTGTAGCATATGTTATACTTTTTGGTCATTAAATGGAAGTCATCTTTATTTCTGGTATTATGTAAATGATGGTCGACATTTGATGATGTTAAATTAGTTAGACTTGATGGAAATATATTATTTTTTACTTTATAAATGAATATCATTACAAGATATTTGATAAACATTTTTACATTGAGCCATTTTAATCTGCTAAGCATTTGCCTAATTGGAGTATATTTATCTTTATTTAGTATTATTATCATGCACTTATTTTGTAAAATTGGCAGTCTTTCAAAAATGGAATTATTTGCTAAATATAGAATAGTCGAACAGTACAAGAAATTTGGAAGAATGATGGTATTATAGATAATTTTACTGCTATATGAACTCAGACATCCAGAAACTCTCGATAAATATCGCACTTTACTACTAATCTTATTTATAACTTTTTCATAATGAATATAAAAAATTAATCGAGAGTCAACAAAAACCCCCAGGTATTTAAAATTTTCTACGAATTCAATATCTTCACCATCAATATTCAGTTGAACATTTGTACATTGTTTTTTTCCATTAACAAGGCTTTCGTTTTACTTGCATTTAATTTTAGTCTGTTAGATGCTAACCATTTTGAGACAAGCTTCAAGTCTTCATTTATATAAGAGATACCAGACTGAATATCTTTAGTACTTATATAAATCATAGTGTCATCGGCGAAAATCTGAATTTTGCATTTTTTTACTATGGCAGGTAAATCATTTATGTATAAAATAAAAAGAAGTGGTCCCAGGATACTGCCCTGTGGAACACTCAACGTATTTTCAATTTTTGATGAAATAGTGTAATTAACTTTTGTAACTTGCATCCTTTTAGACAAATAATTTCTAAACCAATCTAAAACACTTCCTGTTATACCATATGCCTTCAATTTACCTAACAAAATATCTCTATCAATCGTTTCAAATGCCCTCTTCAAATCCAAAAATACTGCTATGACCACTTTTTCTGCGTCTATGGCTCTTCTCCAATTCTCAGTTACCAACTGGAAGGCCGTTTCTGTGGAATATTTTTTTCGAAAGCCTGCTTGCGCCTCCACTAAAATTTTGTTTTCTTCTATAAACTGCATTAATTGGTCATGCACTATGGACTCTAATAATTTTTAAATGTCTACTAACACATTTACTGGTCACATATCGCTGCATCTTTTAGAATTTTTTATTTTGGGAACTGGTGTTATTGTAGAGCATTTCAAATTTTCAGGAAAAGAACTGCTTCTAAGTGAACAATGGATCCAATTTAATACAGGATATCCCAAAATTTCGAAACAGTTTTTCAGCACGTTTTTAGTAGTCATTTCGGCACAGTTGTTATTTGATTTTAAACTGTTTACTTTTTTTCTTAGATAATTCAATGATACGCTGTGAAATTTTGAAAGTGTATGCAACATTTCCCCCTGGAAACTGATTTTCATACAGTGAAGCTGTGAAACGTTGCAATAGGCACAATAGACCTAGATAGCCCCAAATTTAGCAAATTAACAAACCTGTATCTTGAATTGAACTTTGAAGAATATTTACAAGCAACATATGACACGGCGGTACTTCATGTTCAGAAAAATGTGAAATTGCACTGAAACTCGTGCTTACCTCATTCAGAATGACGTCATCATCATCTCCATCATCCTCCTCCGGTTCGGGAGATGGTTGACTCTCTTCCGCTTCCACAGTGGCATTCTTCGACTCGTCGCTCTCTAAAGATACCACTTCCGGTTTACTGGATGCTACTTCCTCTTCGTCATCGTCATCATCCAGATTCACGATCTCCAGACCAGGAATGTTGTCTGTGTCCTCCTCTGCTGGAGGCGGTTCAGTCTTCGTGCTCTCGTCTAACGTGCTTTGGTCGTTCCGGGATTGCTGAAGGAAATCATGCAGGTTTTGATCGTCCAGCAATAATTCATCATATGAAAATAGTTATGGTTTCTAATGGATCATGTTATCGAGAAATATTTTTATTGCATTGTTTGGGTATAACTATGGCAACTATAGCCATTGGAATGTCTAGTTTTATCCGCATAATGTTATTATTTGCAAAATATACGGGGTGTTAAAAAGTATGGATAAATCGAAACATCTCGAAAAATACGTTTCCTAGAGAAAAATGTTGAAGAACGTTTTAACTCAAGGTCATTTGAAGGTCAAGACCGTTTTCTTGAACGAAACCCTAATTTTTTACACCAGAAACCTAGAAACGGCAAATTTTACGTAAGTCTTTGCTCATTGATTGACCTACAAGGATATATGAGGGTATCCAGAAAGTAGAGAAAGGAACTTAACTATCTTGTATCTCAACGAGTGATATTCTACTAAATCATATTTGCCTCGATGTCTTTATGGGCCGTATCGTCAGTCGTCCCTACAATTGTAGGGCGCCTTTATGGCTTCCTTGATTGTCATAGTATTCTACTTCTCCGTATCAGAACTCTATTTTGAGGTTATGTCACAAACATCAAATTGTGCTTGCTTTTGAGTTTTATCATGTTTTATCAGCCTGAAATTTCCTACAATTTAAAAAGAAAACATATATTCACAACAGGAGAGCGCTGACGCTGACACGGGACAAGTGTAATCTAGAAATTTTTGAAGAAGAGCAAGGATTATGACAATCAAGGAGGCCATAAACGCGCCCTACAATTGTAGGGACGACTGACGATACCGGCCTATGTCAACTATACTATAACTATCTAAAACTGTAATGACTCATCGATGTTCACGTGAACATCACTTAACCACCAGTAGTCGGCTGTTCATAGGCGGGGTATGAATGTTTAACATGGGTGAACTAGATTTGTCACATGCTTAATAAAGAGTGGTTTGAAACATATTGTAAGTCAAAAATTTGGTAATTACCTTTATTCATCGTCGCTTCCACTTACATCTGACAGTAATAAACTGTCGCTATCGCTTTCCTCGTTGAAATTGACTATAACTGGCTCTATGATGGTGTCATGTGGTGGTCAAGCTGCCACATTTTTGTTTCTTCCTTCACAACATGACGGATAGCATTCTGCCAAGCTTCGGGCGTTACTAGCTGTATGGAAGTCTCAAGTAAAACCTTAACGTCTGGTAATTTGAAGGTTGTGTTATGGCGCGCAATATAACCCTCACTTGAGCCCAGATGAGCTCTATTGGGTTCAGTTCACAGTGGTAGGGCGGTAACCGCAGCACAGTGACACCACATTGACGGGCCATCTCATCAGTCACGTAACTAATGTTCGCAGGTTTGTGCTGTTTAATTTTTTCATACAAGCATTGCTGCATGTCACTTTTTCGAGATCCCATAGTCGGTACACGTTCGGCTCGACGACTATGGTAGGAAGCATTATCCATGAAGATCACAGAGTTGGGCTCAACTCGCTGAAGCACCCCTTGAAACCAGCTCTCGAAGCAGCTGGCATTCATTTCGTCATGGTAATCACCTCCTTTCTTAGAGACGAAAATCAAGTCACACTCTTCTAAAAAGCCACTATCGCTACCAATATGAGTTACGATCAATCTTTGACTTTTCCCTGACGATCCACGAAGACCTGTTGACAAACCTTCAATGCTTGCTTGTCCGTTACTCACTACGTTTTTGTCTATCCAGGTTTTTTTAACTGTGTGACCTGCATTTACCCATGTCTCGTCCAATTAATAGATTTTTCTGCTTTGTCGCCTATATTCAATCATTTCGCGTAGGTATTTTCGACGCCAGGCGACTATTTCAGGTCTCTCTATCAATACTGACTTCCGATTACGCGTTTCGTAACGAAAATTAATTTCGTGCAGGGATTTCCTCATTACCTCGACGATCATTTGGGGTATAATTTCATTTTCCTTGATCGCTGCATGTACAGTCTTGAGGGTTGGTATGTCATTCCTAAAGAAGAATGAATGTACGGTTCGCCTTAACGCCATTTTGCTATCATCATCCAATTTAACGGCCTTTCGTCCCTTCAAATTAAACTTTGGATCAGTAGTAGCTCCAGTTTTCTTCTTTTCATGCACCACCCTGCGAATGGTCCACTCTGGAACGCCTGTCATACTTTCACAACGCGCGAGTGTGCATCTCCCTGCGACATAGTTCTGTTCAGATAATTGAACACGTTGAGCACGATTTCTTTCGCGTCCCTTTTCAGTGCTTTACGAAGCCGTCTACTTGTTCCCTGGCTTTCAGTACTTTCACTCGTGCCATTTGTACTCTTCATGGTTAAGTATAACCAAAACAGTAACCACAGAAACCACAACAATAACAATCACACAACAATTCTTATAAAAACACACAATATGCGATCGCTCAACGAAACACGTTCCAATGCGTTGCCGACGCCTATGAGTCTGCCGGTCGAGGCGCGTCTTTGATTTCATTGGTTCTACCGGCGGAGAACAATCAGCCATTATTTCCATCTCTGTCTGTGCTGTTGACCACCGCAAAGCCACAGAAACGACATATGTCGTACGCTATACGGCTGTACTGGAAGGAAGCCGGGATCGAGCTCTGATCACGTGTTGATCACGCGTATGAGTCATCACAGTTTTTAAATAGTTGTAGTATAGTATAATTTAGGGGTAAATTTGAAATTCCAGATAATTCTTACCAGGTAATCCTCGTAGCAGACAGGATGATACGTCTTATTGTCAACCCTGATAGCGTTCCTAAGATGCCATTCTTCCTTCTCCTCATTGAAAAATTGATCAAACTTATCCCTACACACTTCACAGCATTCATCCGTAGACTCTGGATCAGCAGGTACACTGGGTATTTCCACTTCTTCATCTGCCTCCTCGGCTGCGCCCTCTGCCTGTTGCTGTTGATCGAAATAGTTTTTCTCTGCAAGAAAAAAATAGTCATATCTGCTGAATCATTCATAATATAATGCAAGTTAAAAAACATTCCCGTGTACATTTTACTATTATTGTAGTAGGAATTTATAAGAATTGTCTTTATAAAATATATACTAAGTGACATATAAATCCGAACACCCAGTTTAAATGGTTTTATTTTAATAAAATTTTGTATAAGTACTTAATGAAGCATAATAAGTAAATGATAAAAATTTCAAAATGATTGCACTGTTTTAAAGCCCTTTGACCTTTAATAATGTGTGGATGCACCCTGATGTGCTACGCATTCTCCAACGCGCCTAGGCATGCGTCTGATCAGGTGGTCAATGTCCTCCTGTGGTATCTCATTCCAGGCAACCACCAACTCCTCTCGAAGTGCTTCTAGAGTCTGGGGAGGACGTTGCAAATTGAGCAATCTCCTACCCATCATATCCCACACGTGCTCAATTGGGGATAAGTCTTGAGATCTTGGTGGCCATGGTAACAATGTGACATCATTATGTTGAAAGAAGTCTATTGTGAGTCTTGCAACATGTGGTCGGGCATTATCTTGTTGGAAACTTGGATCTGCCAGGGTGTCAAGATAGGTTAAAAGATGGGGTTCTAGAACTTCGTGGATATAACGCTGCGCGTTCATGTTACCTCTGATGAAGATTAAAGGTGACCTGGAACCATAAGCTATAGCACCCCAAACCATAACCACAACAGTGTGATGAACATGTCTTTCAACAAAAAACTGTGGATTCCTCCTTTCACCACGTCGCCTCCTAACCCTGGCACGACCATCGTGCATGCCTAAACAGACAATACTGTTCCATTCCTGATCCCAGTCTGCACCACTCAAGGCGATTACGTCGGTGTTCTCGAGTTAAAGGGAGGACCCAATGTGGCCGGTATGAAAACAAGCCAAAACTTCTCATTCGTCGGTAAACACTTCGCATGCCAACAGGTCTTCAGTGTTCTGCAAACCATTCATTTGCAATGGACCTGGTAGTGGAGAAACGGTCCCTTAAGGCCAATAATCTTAGGCGGCGATCTTCACGGTCTGTTGTTCTACGGCGGCGTCCAGTGCCCCTTGCTCTTTGCGTACGGCCTTCTCGAAGCCATGACTGACAACACCTAACCACAGTGTCTACACTTCTTTGCACTCTAACTGCAATTGCCCGAAAAGAAAGTCCAGCTTCCCGAAGTCCCACTATACGGCCCTTATCAAACTCACTAAGTTGACGAAATCGTACAGGTCTCCGTACTCTAGGCATCGTAACCGATCGTAAAGGATGTCAAGAACCAAAATCCGCCAACGTTGATTCTTTACTGCGGCTGAAATATTCATTTTTAGAGCGTTAGTGAATTAAAAAAAGGCAGTATAAAAACCGGAATGTCCAACTGATAAGGCTGAAAAATTTTTCACTTGTTATTTACAGTAAGATAAATACATTCACCAACTTTTATTAAAATAAAACCATTTAAACTGGGTGTTCGGATTTATATGTCACTTAGTATATTAAAAAAGCAAGCACTTTTGCAAAGAGGCAAACCATGTCCAATCGACTTCCACGGAATATTGGAACACCCAGTAGATCCGCACTATACAGTGTTTGGTGCATCGTTTGCCAAATTAAAATGGCGCACAGAGGAGGTCTTTTTCTATCACCCCAGGTCCCTCAAACAGTTTTTAGCCCAACGGAATTAATTATGTGGATTTTTTTTTAGTAAAAACTCCAAAATGTAATACATAATGTGAAATAAAAAAAATAAAATGTATGTCCACCTAATGATTAATTTATCTTAATGGGTGATGTACCAATCTTACAAAATCAACATTACTTGCCAGCAGCATGTAGTTTTTTATTTGTACACTCACAAAGGGTTACAAAGAACAAAAAAATTAAGTCTCAATTTTGAATTTCTGAAAAAAAAAACTAAAAGCTTACACATTCTTAGAATTCTTTTAAAAACTACTCTAGTTTATCCCGATTCTAACGGTATGCCACAAGTCACAAAAAAGTTTAACTAACTTATTGAATTTGCAAATTTTGTGTACAGGGGAAGGATAATAAAAAAAACCTGTAAAATCAAATTTCAATCATTTATTATTTTTTCTGTTTCACAAATCTTGTTCGAATTGTTGTCCTCTATTGCGTATGCACGCACGACACCTTTGTCGTACGTAGGCGAATTTCTTGCCGAATCGTACCAAACGCCTCTTCTATTCTTCGGATCAATTCCTCCCTTGTTCCAAATTTTGTCGCGTAGACGAGTGCTTTTGCACGTCTCCAGAGGTAAAAATCCAATGGAGTTAGGTCTGGGGAGCGTGCAGGCCATGGAGTAGGACCATCTCGTCCAATCCACGCATTCGGAAAAACATTTAGATGTTCCCGCACAATTATCCTCCAGTGTGCAGGACAGCCATTCGTCTGTCGTCATTGAAAATTGACACCCCGTTCACCAATTCGCACAACTTATTTTGCAGAAAATGTAGATAATTATCTCCGTTAAGACGATCTGGCAAATAATGTGGCCCAATCACATGATTGCAAATTACTCCTGCCCAAACATTCACACTGAATCTTCTCTGAAAAGAGCTTGGCCTCTTCACTCTTGGGTTCTGATCTTTTGAAGCCCAATGGTGTAGATTGTGCAAATTTAGTATCCCTTCTTTGATGAATTTGGACTCATCCGTCCACAGAATACTTGTCAAAAAGTCCGGATCGTCCACGTCTGTGTGCAGCAAGAAACGACAAAACGGTCTCGGTTGTCGAAGTCATTGTTTTCAAGACCTGCAATAAAAAAAAATACGGGTAAAATTAGTTTGTCGCCGCTACATGCTAAATAAAAGCGATAACAATTCCATTGCAGACAGTTGTAAGTGTGATAAAAAAATTACGTACCTTGTACAGGAGTGTAGTTGGCTTGTCCGTACACCAACAACATGTCTGCATACTCTTCATTTGTAAATGTGGCCATCATCAAAACAGAACTCTATGAAAACTGACAAAACAACAACAGTCACAGGTCGCGGCACTACGTAGAAGTAACAAAAGCGTTAGACAGCCAGCAGGGACGAACCCCGATGGAAAAATGGACCCACGTCGTCCCTGTCGGTTAGTTTTTACCTGAGTTACGTTGTACGCGTAAATTACACAACAGAAACAAAAATTCATTGTTATTATCCGACCGAAAAAATTTGAGCCTGTACACAAAATCGGCAAATTCAAGAAATTATTCGAACTTTGTTGTGACTTGTGGCATACCGTTAGAATCGGAATTAACTAGAGTGGTTTTTAAAAAAAATGTAAGAACGTGAACGCTTTTAGTTTTTTTTACAGAAATTCAAAATTTGGACTATTTGTTCTTCTTTGAAACCCTTTGTGAGTTTATAAATAAAAAACTAAATGCTGCTGGCAAGTTATGCTGATTTTGTAAGATTGGTATAACATCACACATTATGATAAATTAATCATTAGGTGGACATACTCTTTATTTTTATTTTTTTATGTCACTTTGTGTATTACATTTTGGAGTTTTTACTAAAAAAATTAAAAAATCTACATAATGCCGTTGGGCTAAAAACTGTTTGAGGGACCTGGCGTGATAGAAAAAGACCTCCCCTGTCCGCCATTTCAATTTGGCAAACGATGCACCAAACACCCTGTAGAAAAATCCCAAAAGTAAGGTTTAACAAAGACTTTTAAACTCCTTTTTGTTCATTTGACGGTTCCATGTGGAGTATGCGCGTATAATGCTGAGATGACTAACCTCTTTCTTCCAAATCCTCCAGCTCTTCGTAATTTTTCCAATCTGCTAACGCATAATACCATTTTCTGCTAGACGCCACCCTCGCGTTCTTTTTGCCTCTGCGGTTTTGTCTGAAATGCCAGTCCAAATGCTGGCTGTAGAGCATAGTCGCTTCAGGAGAAAATCTCACGCCACAACTACTGCACTGCATTCCAGAGTAGAGGGCCGTATATAAAGCAGCTTGCCGAACCTGGAAGATTTTTAGAATTAGATACATACATATTTTTGCAATAGCTTTCATATATGGATACACTATTTTAGGGTTATTAGTGAAAGAAAATTCAAACGACAAATTGCTCCATCAACACGAAAAAATCAAGTCACACTCTTCTAAAAAGCCACTATCGCTACCAATATGAGTTACGATCAATCTTTGACCTTTCCCTGACGGTCCACGAAGACCTGTTGACAAACCTTCAATGCTTGCTTGTCGGCTACTCACTACGTTTTTGTCTATCCAGGTTTTTTTAACTGTGTGACCTGCATTTACCCATGTCTCGTCCAAATAATAGATTTTTCTGCTTTGTCGCCTATATTCAATCATTTCGCGTAGGTATTTTCGACGCCAGGCGACTATTTCAGGTCTCTCTATCAATACTGACTTCCGATTACGCGTTTCGTAACGAAAATTAATTTCGTGCAGGGATTTCCTCATTACCTCGACGCTCATTTGGGGTATAATTTCATTTTCCTTGATCGCTGCATGTACAGCCTTGAGGGTTGGTATCTCATTCCTAAAGAAGAATGAATGTACGGTTCGCCTTAACGCCATTTTGCTATCGTCATCCAATTTAACGGCCTTTCGTCCCTTCAAATTAAACTTTGGATCAGTAGTAGTTCCAGTTTTCTTCTTTTCATGCACCACCCTGCGAATGGTCCACTCTGGAACGCCTGTCATACTTTCACAACGCGCGAGTGCATCTCCCTGCGACATAGTTCTGTTCAGATAATTGAACACGTTGAGCGCGATTTCTTTCGCGTCCCTCTTCAGTGCTTTACGAAGCCGTCTACTTGTTCCCTGGCTTCAGTACTTCCACTCGTGCCATTTGTACTCTCCATGGTTAAGTATAACCAAAACAGTAACCACAGAAACCACAACAATAACAATCACACAACAATTCTTATAAAAACACACAATATGCGATCGCTCAACGAAACACGTTCCAATGCGTTGCCGACGCCTATGAGTCTGCCGGTCGAGGCGCGTCTTTGATTTCATTGGTTCTACCGGCGGAGAACAATCAGCCATTATTTCCATCTCTGTCTGTGCCGTTGACCACCGCAAAGCCACAGAAACGACATATGTCGTACGCTATACGGCTGTATTGGAAGGAAGCCGGGATCGAGCTCTGATCACGCGTATGAGTCATTACAGTTTTAAATAGTTGTAGTATAGTGTTAAGCATAACAAAATGCCTCGAGTTCTAAGACGTCCAAATGATCACCATGTTAGCGACTTTGACAGGGGTAGAATTATTGCCTATCGAGATGTTGGTTTGTCCTATCGCGAAACTGGCCGCCGTATTAATTGTACTGCAATGACGGTAATGCGTGTGTGGATAAAAGAAGGTAGAGAAACACGAAGAAGGCCAACTACCGAGGCGTACCACTGGGCGCTTTAGACAACAAGCCCTACGAGACCATTTTGCTAATACCCTCACCAATGGTTTGGAAAAGAAGGTAGACTTATTTACTATGCATACAGAGAATCTCTCCGAGGTTTGTTAGTCTGTTTAGCGAAGAATAAAATAAAGTATTACTATTGATTGAAACTACTCCATGGAGTAACGCTATTTTATAGTCGGTTGTCAATTGACAGGTTACGTAATAAGCCTGTGACTGTGACTATAGTTCCCTGCAAGTGTAACTTACCCTCAACGTTTCTGGCTTGCTCAACGAGATGGGCCTCAACGTATCGCAAATGGTCTTTTTCTTCGATGATGGTGCTTGCTGTTGCTGGTTGTGACGTCTATCATGAGGATCTGGCAGCTGCGGCACAGTACCGCTTGCACCAGATACCGGTATCACGGTACTGTCTGACCCCGCAGACGAGTCCTTGATAATGCCGATGGAGGTCGCGGTAATCGGTTGAGGCGTTGCCGCCGCAGTAGCAGCTGCGGCTGCTACGCTGCTCGTCACGAAACCTGATGCAACCTAGAATAAAAAAAATGTAAAAATTACGATTCCAATTTGCCAAATGTATATACAGGTTTAATTTTTCGTGTAGTTTCGGTCGGTATCTAAAACATGTAAATACAAAAATTGTAGCCAACAGTATGCTCCTGACTTGAAAAATATTTTTATTTCTACGAATTGATTCATAATTACGAGGTGACTCATTTTATTGGAGTATTGGATGGGCCTTTTCAACCTACGGAATTTGATATGAAATACTATATGGTTTTATTTTCGAATTATCGAGGTATTGGACAATCTATAGAAAAAAACTCTCAACTTTGACAACTTTCACTCCCTCAAATGTTATAGCTAGAGTACTGAATTATTCGTTAACAAAAAAAATGGTCCCATATTTTGTTCGTATCTGCTTACTTTTTCAGTTTCTTGCATAGTTTATAACAGGGTGGTTAATAAGACAAAACGGACTATTTCTCAAATGGTACATTTAACATTTTTTATTCCCATTTTCACAAGCTTTTTCCTGATAGTTCACAGAGATTTGTACCACTAGGTAAAACACAGGGAAACCTTTTTGATATTTCGACTTTATTGCACGAGGTTGCGTAGATTTAATTTAGACAAAATATACCAATTCTAAAGATCTCCCGTTACCAACTAAATGCTATTTTTAAAACCAGCCGTACAAATTTCCATAAACCTGATACAAAAAAAAACTTATTGAAAAGGAATCACTGGATGTGAAAATATACAATGTGATCCATTTAAAAATTTTGAGAAACCGTTCACTTTGCGTTCTTGACCGGCCTGTATGAACAGTCCAAAAAACTGTAAAAATAAGTAGATATGGGATTATAATTTTTTTCTGGCGGAAAAATCAGTACTCCAGCTATAACACTTGCGGAGGATTGAGTGATTTTTCTGGTAGTTTGTTCAATATCTCAACAATTTGAGAATAAAACCCTATAGCATGTTATACCAAATTGTTTCGTTTGAAAGTGCTAACTGAATCTGCAATAAAATGTAGGAAAATGAAGGCCTTTCCATTTAAACAAATGGATGTTTAAGGTCATCACGTAGTTAAGTATAAAAATATTGTAGTGTTGCCTACAATTTTTGTAATCAACTTTTTTAGATAGCATGCATAATAATGGTGCCATTATGACTTGCAGACAAAGCTAACATCAATTTATTTCAGACAGACACAAATCACAGCGACTTGGAATGCTATTAAAATTGCAAGTAAAGCTACTATGAAATATTCATCACATTCACAAATTTTGGACGATTAGTTCTTCATATAGCGAAGTGAAATTTTGACACATAGTAAAATCTGGCAACCATGCTTAGTTTATGTGAGATGAGGGAGTGATATTAAACTAGACTGATAGACGCAGAGGAAAAGCTGTCGGATCCTTCTTCTACTTCTTAATTTCACGATACACAGGTTATTGTAACAGTTTTTTTTTGTTACTTTCGGTGTTTTTATTTAATAAGATCCCTTACCAATTTTTGGAACAACTCGTTGATATTGACTAGAGGCGCATTGGCGGGTTTCGCAGGCGATTGTGCTGGTTTGACTCCTCCTGCAGGAGCTCCCTGCTGTTGATTTTCCACTTGATATCCTTGACTTGACGGTGACGGACCGAAAGATGGCGCTATTGCATTTGTTAACGCATCCAAATTGCCTGGAATCAAAGACATTAATATCCAACTCGACCAAAAAAGGGCCACATAAAATGCATAAATTAAAATTAATTACAGTGTAGGCACAGTTGGGTAGGCGATCAACCAGCAAGATTTATAACTAAGTTTATTGCTGAAATATATGAAATTAGCGGTAAAATTGGTTCCGTATACGAATGTAGTAGAACTCTCTAGCCTTAGAATTAAAAATATCTCATCATGGCAATGCAGAACTGGTGGTATATATTTTTCAGCAATTTAAGTTTTAATTCGCTTGGTTGGTGACCGTCGCCGTTAGAATGAATAAAGAGTATTGCAAAGGCAATAATGGAAAGTACAAGCTGCGGTACTTAATTACCATGTTGTTTCGACCTCAACTTTATCAAAATAACCTGGTAAGGTACCACTACATAACGAATAGCATAATGTGATAACTCATAATTCTCATACGCCTTTGCAACCGTTTCGTCACTTTTGCTTTGGACTGGTCAGCACTAATTCAAGCATTCAAGTCCAGACGCGTGTTCATACTTCTAAATAACAACAATAAAATTGGAGTAGTCCGAAAGATAAATTTTATTTTTATGCCAAAAACAAAGGTTACGTTTTTTTCTTCTAAACAAATTCAAACATTTCGTATTTGTGAGTAATCGAACAAATGCGCTACGATATTCGAAAAACATACGTTACGAGGGATGTCTTTTAAGTTTTGCATATGGAATAAAACAACACAGTAGGTAGTTTTAAATGACTTTATTGTTTTTCGAAGTATTCTCCACGAAGATTAATACACATCTGCAGGCGCTTTAACCAATTTTCGAAGCACTTATTCCACTCGTTTGCTGGCAGATCCAAAACGGCTTTTTTGAATGCGTCAAGGCTTCTTCTGGTGACTGGAACCTTTGACCACCCAGTCGTTTTTAATTTTCGGGAAAGTAAAGAAATCGTTAGGACTTAGATCGGGACTATATGGAGGATGGTCCAATAATTCCACGTTTTCTTCCGTGAAATACAGCTTGTTTTTTGGGCTGTGTGCGAGCTTGCATTATCTTGGTGGAGGAAGATTCTTCTTTCGGGGTTGATTTTTCAAAGCTCGGTGATGACTTTTGGCAAACAAATGGTGGTATACCAATCCGCATTAATAGCTCTTTGCTCATTAAGAGGAATTGTTGCAATATGACCCGCTTTTGACACAAATGTCAATAAACTAGTAGTGATGGCCGGAAAACAGGTGTTTTGGGATAAACAATTAGAAATTCTCAAAAACTATAGTCGACAAATTTACTTCAATTTTGTTGTGGTTATTAAGAAGTACGAATCCTACGAATTTTAATAATTTCAAATATCTGCGTGACCCCATCGTCGCATTACCAACAATTTCGCTTCGTTTTTCGGCCATAACATTTTTGTTATTAGTAGGATCTTTTTACGTGTGGTCTCATAAATACCTAAAAATCTTATATAAACAGTTTTTTCGTTCTTGTCAACACTTCCGATTGAATCCTGAAAAAACACGTTTTCTCGTTCTTTGTTGTCGAATCAAAAGTTTTCCCAAAAAAAATGGTATACCCACTTTATGCGTCCATATTTTGAACACCCCCTTGCAGCAATAAAACCAAACTTTACAATTATTTCGCAAATCAGGGGTTTTTTCGTCTCATATGATTGGACTATTATGCCTTTCTCTGTTAATGAACTTTGATATAATCTGCATTTGAACTATGGGCGTAAATAAACTGCTATAAGCAATCCTTCCTTAATATGTCATCTAAATTTCTTCAAATGGTTACTTACGCACTAAAACTCTCCACACTCTAATTTTACCTATTTTAAATTATGACATTACATTATAAAACACATAAACGTGTTACATAACTTCAATATATTTTGATAAAACAACCAAAATTACACTTACTCAGACTCTGTTGATGTAGGAAATTATGGAAGAGTCCCGGCGAGCTAGAATTTCGCTCTGGCGACTCCCTTCCTGTGGCCACGCCCTGTTGGGCGGGGTCATACGCCGTAGACACGCCTCTCGCTACATCCTGCCCATCCTCCTCTTCAGGTTGTTCAGGACTGGCACTACCACCCCCCTCCATATCCTTCAGACGCACCTTGCCTGCCTTCACGCCTCTCGGCAGCACTGAAAACCTTATGAAACGCTTTTTACCGTGGATCATAATAGGTTTAGGGAGACCACCGTATTCTACATTAAAAGGGGTATCGTTTATTAATACTGTTTCTAAAGCATTTACAAATCTTAGAGTGCTCGTTTCGCCGTGGATGCTGAACCGCTGCAGCTTCGCGTCCAGGAAGACTGGAACCATGATGACGGCGTCTACGAACATGCTGATTTTTCCTGCTACAAGGTCGGTGCGCCGTTTCTCGCCGATTTTCACCTGCGGGGGCGGGCCGTCTAGTTTGACTGTGGTAGATACGCCGTCTAGTTTTATGCAAATTCCAGCGCCGAAATAGCATTCGTACGGCACGTGATCGATGAACAGTTCGCGGGACGGGGCACCGATTCGAACCAAGTGCGGATTACCGTTCACCTAAAAAGAAAAAAAAATCATAAATCCTCTCTGTAAAAATGAGAAAATAAATGACAGATTTTCTTATTTGCCATGTGCAATGGCCGCGTAATGCGTTAGTATTGCACTTCAATATATTCCAGATCTGTAAATTAAGTGGTGAGTCTGACAATCTAGCGTTCGATCTGGCAAGTTTGAACGCGCTCGAAAGTTTTTCCTATTGTGTTCTAAAAATGAATGACATAAATTTCGAGCAACGTGTGCTATAAGGTTTTGCTTCAGACTTGGGCACAGTGCAACGGAAACTATTGCTAAACTTGGAGGTAGTGTTTTTCCAAGAGTACAGCTTTAAGGTTTCAGAAGGGAGAGAGTCGATTAAAGATGAACCACGAAAAAATCAGTCTCATCATTCAATTTACAGACCTCGTATGTACGAAAATGCAACTAATAGATTGAGAAAAGTCATAATATAAAATTCAAAAACAAAAAATATCAGTCTAATGAAGTTATCAGAGCTACTTTTCTTAACTTAGCTTGTCTTTACGTTCATTTTGTCAACTCATTCTCCTCAACATCTTAACACCTCACTAAAAATTGCAATGACCTAATCTTCGAATTTCAGAGACTGAGTTGTGTTGAGCTAAATTGAAATTGTTACAATGTCGACAAAATGTCTACATTCTGCAGTTAATTTTATCTGCCACATACTATTTCACATTTTACATCACTTTCCCTTAAATTTAAGTGAGCTTAAATGCTTGTCTATAGGTAAGGAATAAAAATAATTGAGGCCGTTACAAATTTATTTTTTGTAATTTAATAGCCTTGTCAGATGCATTTCGACCCATTACCCTAGATAACAAAAACACAATTTGTTTTGATTGAATACTTTAATACGCAGCAGCGGTGGCCGCAGTAGTAGACTCTTCGGTCTCCAGATCAGTCGCCGTGCGCTGTGCGGGTTCGAATCCCGTCCCAAGAGAAATTTTTCTCTTGGCTATGGATGTTGTGATTGTCCGCAGGTGGTAGACGGTCTCTGATTGTCGAACGCGGAGGTACCACCCGGCGGATCTCGTAGGCGGGGCCAGAATGTGTGCATGTTGTATGAACACGTGTTCAATCGCCAGAGTCCGTGTGGCGTTCCCCCTTTCCCCTATAGCCCCACGGTACCCCATTTAGTGTTTAGGTCATAGGCGTTCGTGGTGGTTGGAGTATAAAAAAGGAGAAATATTCGTGTCATGTTTACGACGATATTATTTTATGTGCTACACATGGAGTAGGAATCTACTTTGTGGTCCTGTTAACATGTACTGTGAAAAACATTCGTATTATAGCGTATTTATCTATCTATCTGAATTTCTGTACTTACCTTTACTTCAACATAAGGCTGATCGAACCCTAACGCATACGTCTCCTTATCGTTGAACGTAACATGCCGGACCCCTTCCTCCTGGAACGTAATCTCCCTAGGATCATCCCAATTGATGAACACCACTGCAGTTTCATCATAGAATCGGATGTCCTTGGGCGAACCATCAATGAACAATGTCTTGATCTCATCCTGGTTGACGGCACCGTTGGTCAACTGATCTCCAGATGGCATCTCGGGACTGCCAGGCATTTCCTCTTCAACTGGAATTGAATGCTGCATTGGCACGAAATCGCGTGATTGCGATTGAGGGCCGAGGTTCCTCCAAGTGCCCCATTGCCGCGGGCCGCCTCTTGGGCCATGTTGTGTTGGTTGATTGTCCCAGTGGCGTCCCCTGCCTCTGCCTCTCCAAGGAGCTGGGAACCTATTTAAAAAAAAGGCGTGATGTAGATTGACTCTAGACTTCTTACGCCTTCGTTGGAGGTTTCTAAGGTCTCTGGGTCAAATCGTTTCAAAAGGCGAAATTGAATCGATAATTAAAGGTAGGTAGGTTCACTTAGGTTCGATGAACTTTCAACCTCTGCATTTCCAACTATATAAAGCAAATCTATCATATTTCTGTTTCCGTGGAGGATGTAGGGAACGTATGTGCGACTTATTATGTCCAATAGGTGCGTAGCATCATTGAAATCTGCAGTTTCTTAATTCTTTCAGTGAAACGAAAGAGAAACAACAACAGCTGCATACATAGTCCAAAGGTGACTGTTTGGAGCGCCATATCCTCCAGAGGCATTATTGGGCCGTATTTCTTTGAAGATGAAAATGGTCATGCATTGACAGTCAATTCCGAGCGATACAAGGACATGATTGCCCCTTTTTTGCTGCTATTGTAAGAACAGAACGTCGATTTAACAGAAACACACTGTTTCAAAAGGTTGGGGCCCCTGCCCATATTTCCAAAGAATCGATGGACACTGAAAAGACGTTTTCCTCAAAAAGTTATATCGAAGTTTGGAGACATTCACTGGCCTCCCCCCACCCGACCTCACGCCATGCAATTATTTTTTGTGGAGTTATCTAAAGTCAAAAGTGTATTCAAAAAATCCACGAACACTGGAGGAGCTCAAAGACAACATTCGACGAGTTAAATAAACAACATCACTTGGGAACTCTGCAAGAGAATGTTTCCGTCCGATTAGAAGACAAACATTTGGACGGAATGATATTTAAGAAATAAATCCCGCCGAATTTACGAATATGTTGATAGTAATAAATATTTTCTTTTCATTGAGTTTGTATTTTTTTCTTAAATCAAAAATTGAACTTTCCCACTGGACACCCTGTACTTTCCGGGTTGTTAAAGGAAGACAGAAATAGAGAGCAGAATGTTTCTTCGCGGTGTATAAAATTTCACAAAATGAAATCGAACCCATATTCCTGAAGAAAACATTCTAATTACAGCAGACGCTCGATAACGTAAACACGGGATAATGAAAACTTGCGCTAATGTAAACACAAACTTCGTTATATAGGATCAAACGGAACGCGCGATAACGTAAACAACTCTCGGCGCACGGAAACAGTTGAAAAAATGCTCAAGCCTCGATGATTTATGTCGGGCGTCGGGGAGTCCCCGATTTATGATGTAGAGTGTTGGGGATTCACCTCTGCGACAAAATACGATAAACTCGGTCGGTCGTATGATCGTTTAGGATACGTTTATAAGTACGTATGTATTTCATTTTTGAACTTAAGTGAATACATTGCACGCGTTAATATATTTTACGACTATGGCATCCACATCCTATAAAAGAAAGTGTTTAAAGTTGAGTGAGAAAGTGAAAATCATAGACGAAGTTGCCCTTGGTGCGGGAGTGACACAGTTAGCAAAAAAATATGGAGTATCGAAAGCAACAATCTGTAAAATTAAGCCTATGAAAACTCAAATTTTACAAAGAACGTGCAATACATTTGGAGGTCCGGGAAAAAGAAAAACTTAAAAAAATGCGAAGGCACCTAAAATGGAAAATTCCCTGTATAAGTGGTTTTTAAAACAACAGGAAAATCATGTCCCAGTTAGTGGCGAAGTACTTAAACAGAGAGCGAGACTGTTAAATGAAAAACTGAAAATTGCGTAGCTAGTGATGGCTGGCTACAACGATTCAAAACAAGATATGGAATTCGACTGCCGTCTATACCTGGTGAAAAATTATCAGCACAACCACAATTAGTGCAACCATTCAAAGAAAAATTGATGAAAACAATTACCGAGCTAGATTTAAGAATGGAACAAATTTACAACGCAGAAGAAAGTGGCCTAATGCTAATGGTTCACACAAAATAAAGCCACTGGTAATTGGGAAAGCAAAAAATCCGCGCTCATTTAAAAATGTTAATATCGCTGTTGATTATGACTGTTCAAAAACCGCTTGAATGACTAGCAGCATATTCCTGAAATGGTTCCACAGGTGCTTTGTCCCTCAGGTATGACAATCAATTATCACAAATGCTCTATTCATAATTTGAAGATGTGTTTTCAATTTGTAGATAAAAGGTTTCCTAAAACAGAAGCTTCCAATAAAAGCATTGTTACTATTGGATAATGCACCAAGTCATCCTCCCGAGCAACAACTGAGCAGGGATGGGTCAATTTTCGTCATGTACATGCCGCCCAACGTAACACCGTTAATTCAACCGATGGACCAGAATATAATAAGACTCACCAAACTATACTATAGGAAGTTTCTACTTTCGTCTGTCTTATCAAAGAATCCTGAAAACTTATCTGAGGCTTTAAAAAAAGTAACATTACGAGAAGCTGTTTTAGATTTACATATGGCCTGGAATGAACTTAACCAGCAAACTATTCAAAAATGTTGGAACAATCTCTTTTGTACCAATAATGAAGATGATGAAGAAGACGTCCCCTTAAGCGTAATTAGAGAACGTTTGCGATCCAATAATGATAATGTTATTAGTGTGTCATTGGATGTTGTTGATTTATTGAAAACAGTGAATCCCAACATTGTTTGTACTCCTGCTGATATTAATTTATGGAACGAAGATAAGCAGACGAATGATGCTGATAAGGAGGAGGATATGGACAGTGAGGATGATGAGAACGATCCCATTGAAGTCAGAAGTGTAGTGACTGAGGCGCAAGCTATACAAGTTTTTAACCAAGCTTTAGTTTGGGCTGAAAGAAAAGAGGTTTCATACACGGATATTTTAGTTCTTCGTAAATTACGGGCGCAGGCATTGGAAGACAATGGTAACCGCAAATTTACGCAGACAAAAATTGTTAATTATTTTTCTTCTAATTAAAAAAATACTTATCGCTGTTAGAATATTTGTTTATTTTGTTATAAATAGTATGTATTAAACGTTTCTTTTAATAAATCAAATATTATATAAATCACGTTCGCTAATGTAAACATTTCGATAATGTGAACCACACTTGGATTAAATTAGTTTACATTATCTAGCGTCTGCTGTATTTTCGTTTCATTGAGTTTGTATTTTTTTCTTAAATCAAAAATTGAACTTTCCCACTGGACACCCTGTACTTTCCGGGTTGTTAAAGGAAGACAGAAATAGAGAGCAGAATGTTTCTTCGCGGTGTATAAAATTTCACAAAATGAAATCGAACCCATATTCCTGAAGAAAACATTCTAATTATTTCTAAAAATACTGGAAAGAATCCACGTACCTTCTCGGAAAACCGCCCTGTGCATCCCTAGGATAGAACTGCTGCGGCTGGTACTCATTATGCATGGGCACGAAATGTCCCATCCCGATCCTTTCATCCTTATCATTAAACGGCATAACCACGCCCTCTTTCGGTAGATCGGCATTGATCTGCGGAAGTTCGAACCCGCCTCCGCTTGATTTCTCCTCTTCATCGCTGCCTAAAAATTCCTCGTCACTGATTGGCTGCAAGGAGACGTTGAACGATTGCTCGTGGTCCTTTTTCCTGGCCTCTTTTAGCTTGTTCTTCTCCATCTGGACGATGATCTTGCTAAGAAGCTGAGCTTCTTGCTCTTTAGTCATGATGCCCGATTTGATGATGTGCTCGTCCTCGGGCGTGATGATGATCTTGGGTGGAATGTCTTTCGGGACTCGAAGGTCCAGGTCTTCTAAGTTTGTTTTCTTCTTGTGGTCTGGAAACGAAAGAACGAAATGATGACAAAAGATACAAAATGTATGTCAATAGGGAAACATTTAGGTGACAATACCATCAGGCTCATAATTAATGGTCAGACAATTTAGGTAGTCAAATCATTCAAATATTTGGCTATATATGTATGATAGTAAACTACGGTTTCAAGAGTACTATGAAAACATTATTTCAAAAATATAAAAAAAATAAGTTACTTATATAGCGTTACCCATAATCTCAGTCACCATTGAAAAAAAAAGTGTTTTCTAAAATTACAAATTCTACAAAATAAAGCTATGACAATCATCTTCAGTAAAAACAAGTACACTAAGATTAAGTCTGTGTTAGAAGAATTGCAGGGGTTGAAAGTAAAAAATTATATATGTTATTCAGTTCTCATTTTAATATTCAAATTAACAAATCATTATCACCACACTTAGAAAACTTCACAAAATTAGACAGACATTATCATAACCATGAAACAAGGGGTAGTATAGATTTCTATCTGCACATTTGTAATAGTAGCATAACTTGCAAATCCGCGAGCATTTGAATTTAATCCATTGAAAAATGATATTGAAAATGTTTAAGGTTTAATTAAAAAATCACTTCATGAACACAGAAAATGCATAGTGATACTATTCGTCATTTATTTGTCTGGGCGGTCCGTAGGACCTTTGCCCATTAGTCACTGTCTGATGTACGTTAGTCGAATCTGTCAGTCCTGGTTGCCCAGAAACCAGACAAAGTCGAGGAAAAAGAGAAAGGGAAAGAGAAGAAAAAAGGAGAAGAGCAAAGAAAAACAGATATGCTTAGTTTAAGAGGAAACACCTAGGCTTTTTGACTTGGTACACGGATTAATTTTGCGGTGAACTAAACAAATTTTTGATTCGCTTTTGTTAGAGTGTAATTTTGAGTTTACTAAAGATTCACGCTAACTTTTGATTACAGTGCGAGCCGTGGCCTTGAATGTTTATGAACTTGCTCCACTGTGTAGTCCACTGAGTCACGCAACAGAGGATTGCTGTGCGATTCCGCTTGACTATGCATAGTGATGTAATTTTAATAGATAAGAATGTAAAATTACAGAGAATTGATTAAAAAATGTGTAAAAGAATAATTATACAAAATTGACATTAGCATTACAGCTAATCTTCGGCAAACACACAAACAGCATCCGTCACCTTAACCTAGAAATTCGAGGATACTTACATGACTTGGACAAGACTTTATCTCTATTTGTAGCATTGGCCAATTTCGCTCTAATAGCGTCCAAGTTGCTCTTACTGGGCGACTCTGGTTTCTCCTTTGGACTGTCAACAGCACTGCTTGATATGATCGGCGGAGGAGGTGTTTGTGGTCTGTCAACAACCGGTAGCTGTCTCAGATCCGTGTCTTCGTCACCAAATAGTCTGAAAAGCACATTAACATTGAGAATGGCAGCTGCGTCCAATTTTGCTATCGTCATTTGGCGCTTGTGTCAATGGAGATCAAACTGTCAAATAAAAAGATGGAAAAAGACAGATTTGATAGAAAAAAAAGTGACCAACTTCCTTCAGGTTTTGACATTTATAGACATCAATAGTCGTTCATCAACTGACATTTTGTATTTATAATCTTATACATGACCTTCATCCTAACTAGAACCATCTTCTAGATTTCCAAATTACCCCCCATTAGACTGCTAAAAATAATAGATAGACTATGGAATTAGACCAGGATATCTAGAATTTCAGAAAAAGAATTGTAATAAGCTGTTTTACAACGGAATTATAAGATTTTAATAGTTATGAATTATATGTGCAAGTGACCCATAAAAAGCTTCAGACTAATTCTAATTTTTACATGGTTGGTATGAGAACACATTCTTAATACAATATTAAACTAAGTCTCTAGCAAGAGAATGAGTCCAATATGAGGCTATTTGATTAATCCAAAGTTGCTGGACAGCTTGTCAAAAATTACCATTTTTCTGAAAACAAATTAGCAATAAATTTACAGGGGTTGGTTGAGCATATTTGAATGGCATTTTTTATGGATATTAAGCATCACACAGGACCTTTGACTATTATTCCAGATTTACCGTTATGTATTTTCCAGTAAAAAATGTCGAAATCGACAAATTAATAGTTACGGCAAATTGACCGCATAAACTCTCATTTTGAAGATATTACTACACCAATAATTCATGCCTATTTGAATATACGCGAAAAAGTGATTTTTTATCTCTTGACGAGGAGTCTTGTCATGTAACCTTAAGAATATAATTCCGCTGAGAAACCGCTTTTTAGAATTTTTTTCTGAAACAGGGGCGTTGAAGATAGAGGAAAGATTGTTTTACTCTTATGCTTATGAACGTCGGGTTTATAATATCGAGCCACTTACACACTTTTGCAAACGCAATCTGTGCGTGGTGAAGACTTTGAACCCGTGCGAGTGAAAAACATCAACAAATATTTGCAAACGGTTGATTGGTGACTTATGCAGAATAATAATAGTGTGCTGAAAAATCACAAAAGCAATTACAGACTGTACTTACTGAAAAAACGTCATTTTATACTTATTTTTCCTTGAATATCTGAGCCATGAAACAAGATTATTCACTATGTAACAGTTATTTATATCAGACACACCAAAAGACGAAAAAACATAAAAATTATGTTTTTAACAATTTTTTCTATCTTGCTCAAAATAAATAAGTAAACTTACTTATCCAGAGTCTCCGACTTGCTCCTCTTAGTTGAAGGCTGCTCCAAGTTCTCGGTGGACGTCCTCTTCTTCGTGGTGCCGGTTGGCAGTTGTCTCAGGTCCACGTCCATTCCACCTTTTGGAGCTGATGGAACTTGCGGTGCAGCAGAAACAGCAGGAATTACTGTGCAAAAAATACCATATACATATAGAACGCAAATAACTGGCAATATATCATGAGCAGGAAGTACCGGATTTTCGAATATGAACTTGACAACTTTGAAATTTCACTGTGAACTCACCTTTAAATCAATTACCGACCTGTCAATGTCAAAACATTCAGTAAAAAAAGCATTTTCATCATGGTCAAGTACTCGAATGAACAACGCTTACAAATAATTAAAATGCAACTTTAAGAGAGTTAACGCCAATTTTTGGTCGTAATTCTCGTCCTAGTAGACAAGCAATTCCTCATTGTCTAGTAAAATAATTTGAGTTCACATGTTCGCTGCTGGATGATCCCGTGCCAGTGAGACAGCGGGTTGGTCGAAGGGCCGAGAATATTGCTGCCGTTCAAGCTTCCGTCGTAAACGAACAGAATCTCAAGAATTGAGCATTGCTCAGACCACACTATGGCGAATTTTGCGAAGAGATCTTGGCCTGCACGCTTATAAGATCAAGTTAACTCAAGAACTAAAGCCGTTCGATCATATGAACCGACGTACGTTCTCGAATTGGGCTCTAGAAATGTTGCAAGAAAATGACCAATTTCATCGCAAAATCATCTTCAGTGATGACGCGCATTTTTGGCTAAACGAACATAATATGCGTAATTGGTCAGGTAAAAACCCTGATGTGCTTCAAGAATCACCACTTTATCCACCAAAAATAACTGTATGGTGTGGTTTTCATGCCGGTGGAGTCATTGGAAAGTTTTTTTTTTCGTTGATGAGAATGACCGTCGCGTTACAGTCAACGTAGGTCGCTACAGAGACATATTGCCACGTTGTTTTTTTGGTCAATTGGATGGGGTAGACTTTAGTGATATGTGGTTTCAACAAGCCGGTGCTACAAGCCACACAGCGGGTGAAACAATCGACATGGAATCAAAATTCGGTGAACGTGTTATATCGAGAAATGGTCCTGTCGAATGGCCGCTTAGATCGTATGATTTAACACCTCTAGATTTTTTTTGTGGGGCTACATTAAATCATTGGTCTATGCCAACAAGCCTGCGTCGTTAGAGCTCAGGGCTAATATTGAACGAGAGATAGCAGCCGTTTCCGTCGAAATGTGTGGCCGAGTCATTTAAAATTGGGTTCAACGTGCCCGTGGTGGACATATGAACGAGGTGGAATTCCATACATAAATGTTTCAAGTATAGCTCAATCCAATAATAAAATTTTCGAGATATCTCAAATGGTTTGCGTTTTATTTAAAAAGAAAGTTGTCAAATCCTTAACCGAAAACCCTTTGTATTGAAACGCAACACAAAACCATGAACACATGCCCTGAAATGTCCCTTTACAAAGAAATAAGATGTAGATTTCAACATCACTGATGACACACTAATAATACAGTTTATACAATTTGCATATAAATTTTTCAAATTGAACATATTTAAGCGTTTCCGAGATGATAGATTGTCACCTTGAATATGCAAACCGATCATCAACGTTTCTATGTCCCTAGTTTAATCTGGGCTGGGAAAACTATTGAGCATGCTGCCCATACTTAAGATATCTCGCCAAAAAGCATTTAAGGTACTATATTCTACGAACATACCGCGATTTTTTTAGATTTTCCTAGATAGAAAAACTGACGAAGAAACGCTTACCTTTTTCGTTTTCCTTTTGCTGCGGTGAAGGCTGTAATGGGGATGGCTGCGAAGGGGTTTGTGCAGGCGGTTGGACGGTTGAAGGAGGTAGTTGCAGTCTTGGCTGTTTCTCAGGGGGAGCGAACCGTAAATCTTCATCTTGTGGTGCTGGGCGAGTGGGGGATTGCTGCGTTTCTAATTTGTCCAAATGGCCACGCATGCGAAGATAGCTGGAAACAGATGAATTTTATTGATACGCAATAAGTCATTTCATTTTTAGCAACACTCAACTAGCAGCATGTAGTAAAGATGAACTGCCATCCTGAAAATGCTAATAGGAGAATCATAAATATGCTGGTTCGCAGTATCAATATGAATCTAGTAAAATGTCAAAATCTATCAGGCCGTTTAGGCCGTAGCGCTTGAAATAGAGATTTAAAAGTTGCAATTTTTGATCAAAATCAGCCATTTATGTTTTATAAAATTTTAATCTACACAGTGTCACTTGTGCTGCTAAGACAAACACAATAACACCTCAACATCCATTACGCTATTTGGGTTGTAGCCCTAAAATGGAATTATCCATACATATAAAAGTACATATACACGCGCGAAAGACAACCCTCCTTCTGAGGCAGTTGAGTAAAAAGAACAGAACATTCTGCTTGTCAGAAGTAGATTTGACAAATATCTATAGCATGGACATTATACACTTGACATTAAATTATTTATTTAACTGGTTAGGGACGTCAAACAGGAAATTTTTCCAAAACAAGACATCCTCAGCTACAAAAAGAATGGTGTCAAGTAGGTTGTTTCTGCACTTCCCACGCAACGCCGTCATCAGTCGATGTTCAGCACAAAGTAGACCCTCTGAGAAAAACCAGAGGTCCATACATTTAGTCCATAGACATTCCCAGTTCTAACGGTATTCTATCTGGCAACGCCTTCTTTCCCCGCTCACCAATCACACGCGGCAGTAATACCAGAACACAAAGGTACGCGATCCGCTTGCTGCGAATAGTATGTGATCTTGACATCCAACAACAGTTAAGCTCGACATGACCTTGACTTTGAGATTAAGGTCACATTTGGACGTAAGATTTCTTGATTGCCCATTTTCAGTATAAAAATTAGAGATTTTTTGAAAATTTTGACTTAACCTTGAATGTCATTGTCAAGGTCACCTGTGGGAAATCCCCATAAACCTTACAACTCTGCCGTAGAACATTTTTGCTAGAACAAATTGTTTGCGACGTCTTGATTAGACCTTGAAGGCCCAGCTCAACGTCATGGCGAGCGTGAAGTTCTGACATAAAAAATAGCTTTTCTCTGCAATTTCGATGTAAAAACGGGGTGTTCCATTTGAAAATATTCAGTTGACCTTAAAAAGACCTTGAACATCGTAGTCAAGTCAACGTTATTGTCAAAGTCATGAACACGTAAAAAGCAGAAAATTTTACACCCAAATGTGATCGACATGACCTTGCCTTTGAGATCAAGGTCACATTTGGGCGTAACATTTTTTGCTTTCCATTTTCAGTTTAAAAATGAGATGTTTCCTTTGGAAATTTTGACTTGACCTTGAATGTCATTGTCAAGGTCACCTTTGAAAATCCCCACAAACCTTACAAATTTGCTGTCGAACTTTTTTGCTCGATCAAATTGTTTGAGACGTCTTGATTAGACCTTGAAGGCCGCGCTCAAGGCCATGGCGAAGGTGAAGTTCTGACATAAAAAATCGCTTTTCTTTTCAATTTTGATGTAAAAACGGGGTTTTCTATTTGAAAATATTCACTTGACGTTAAAACAACCTTGAACGTCGTCGTCAAAGTTATTGTCAAAGTCATCATTTCTAGATAAGCAGTTTTCGAAAGAGGTATTTATGAGCCGTGTATTATAATTAGAAATGTAGATCGAAAAAATTACACTTACTTTTTCATATAATTCCTATTCTTGATGGACCCCTTGGTGGAATGGAACGTCGCCGTCGGTTTCGTCGCGTCCTCGCCGCTAATGGTGGGTGGTTCCGGTACCATCGGCATCCTGGTCGACCTCTCTTTTTGAGATCGGTCCTTTTTCCTCCTTCCAGACGGAGAAGATGGCTGTGACGTCTTCTTTTCCTCTTTCTTCGATTTCGTGGGTGAATCTAAGCTGGATGTTGACCCCGTCGTGAGGCTCTCTGTGCTTTTAGGTACCGGGGAGTCCCGCTTGGGAGAGGACGTTTTCGGAACTGGTGATGCTGGCTTTGGACCTGACGGTAGTTTGGGGGATCTCTGCTCTCTGTTGGTGATTGTTTGGTCCTCCTTGACCTCCTAGTTTGGAATAAGTTGATTGGTTAGCAATTGAAATGTATCGGAAGGTATATTCTATACCTTTTTTTCTTCCTTCGATGCGATCCTTGGGTCTCTCCTGGACTTCCGATTCCTATGTTTATCGCTTGGCGCCCTATTGCCGGAACCAATAAGAGGTTTCTGCGAGGTTGCTTGTTCAGGCTGGACCTGAGCAGATACACGCTGCTGGATTTGCTGCTGTTGTTGCTGCTGCCTGAGCAACCTCGGGTCTCTGATTGGCCTCGCCGCCGCGGCTGCGATGAGGGCGCTACTTGCCGGGTGGATTCTGGAACCGTTGCTATTCGGTATCGCCGGTATTGCAGGCGGTGGCCGTTGGTGTTGCAACATCGTCGCAGCACCCTGGAAATTAAAATTTAATATACTGATACTGATATTACACACTGCAAATGGCAACACTATCTCTAAGTACCGCCCACCCAACGCGATTCTATCACCGTCTAGTCCAGGAAGTATCTTCGCAGCTGCTAAAAAAAATATCATGTCCCGTTTTTTTACATAATCTTATTCAAGTCATGCCCCAAATTGCGTCAAAAATTTCAAAAACAATTTCTTAAACAAATTCCAAAAATAGGTTTGTCGCTATAGACAAAGTTTTTTTTATAGATTTTTTGAGTCATTCTGAACCAAAAAATTTTGCATGAGCTTCGCTAAAGTTAATTTTTCGAGATATAAGCGATTTAATATTTGGAAAGGTGCGTAATGTACCATATTTTACCGCGAAAAACAATTCGAAAAAACGAAAAATTATAGTTTCCAAAGTTCCTAAATATGGTTATTTTAAACATTAACAGACTCGCGAAGCATTTTAGGTGATATCGTTAATATAAACCTTTGTTTAAAAAAAATGTATTTTCCGCGTGAGTACGAGAGATATGCAGGTGGCAGTCTTGACGCAATTTTGGGCCTGACAATAACGTTCAGTAATGGACAAACGTATATAGACAAATATGAATATTTACCTAAGAAAACGAATTCTTACTTCATTGCTCCATAAACAAATGCGTTATTATTAGAAAAACTAAATTCCTTGTTTTTACATTATCTGTAATGAACACAAGTCTGAACATAATCACTTTTTTATGAGGGACAAAAATATGTAGACAAATTGTTTTCAACGTTAGTTTAGTACAGTTTCGTGTCAGAAGAGGATTAGTTTATGTTCATCAAGTATTGTGGAATAAGTTGAGTGATTTTAAGACCATGCCGCGTAGTCCAGAAATTTCTTTCGATGTGAAAACTAAGATCATTGAGTTATACAAAGATGGTCAACGTCAAGTCGACATTGCCAAAAATTTGAAGCTGAAGCCTAAAGCAGTTTGGGCAATATTGAACAAATATAATCAAAAAGGTATCTTGGAAGCCTCTAAGAGAAGTGGTCGGCCTAGAACACCATGTTAAATCAGTTAGATTAATAAAAGTAATTTCGTCCAAAGATCCGTTTACAACCCCAAGACAAATAAAAGCCGAAATCGAGATAAAGGGAATTGTGAGTGTTTCTACGAAAACTATAAGTAGAAGATTAAATGATTTGAAGTTATTTGCACGTCGCCCGAGTAAGAAGCCGCTAATCTCGAGGAAAACCGTAAGGACCGATTACAATTTGCACGGTTGCATCTTGATTGGAGACATACTAAAGCATGTCATGTTACCCTATATGGAAGACAATATGCCCTCAAGATCAATCTTCCAGCAAGATAATGAGCCGAAGAACACTTCAAATCTCGCAAAGAAATTCTTTCTGGATGAAAAAATACCAGTTCTCAAATGGCCTTCACAGTCTCCCGATATAAACCCCATTGAAAATCTATGGGAATACTTAGAGAAGCAAATACGAGATAAAAGTTATTCAAACAAGGATGAACGCTTTGCCGCTTTAGTGCAAAAGTGGAGACAGATTGATGAATCTTAAATCAAGAAACTTCTACAATCTATGCCAGGCGGTGATTGATAATAATAGCTATGCTACAAAATATTAACACAAAAATGGTTGGTTTTCTATAATTCAATGAACTTTGCTTGTTATTTCTATAATTGTTTTGCTTTGTCTATATATTTTTGTCCTTCATAGTTCCAGTTTTTTCAATTAATTTTTTATTGAAGGGAGTCTAGTGAATTTATTTATGTATAAGTGAGTATTATGCTATAATGAATTATGTATACAGGTTGGTGTATTAAAAACAAGTTAAAAAAGAAATACTGCACAATATTAATTTGTCTATATACTTTTGTCCATTACTGTATGTCCTAAAAGTTTTAGCATAAAATTCATTGGCTTTAATTTTAACAAACACAAAATATCAAGTTGCCTTTGGAAACAAAAGTTTGTTTACTTACTTTACTGTCGGTTGAAATTTGTTCATTTTGAAGTTTTCGCTTTGAGATGCTTTAAGATTAAAAATTGCATTTGTAATGACTGAGATTGCTTAAATCCATTTTTCCTCGCTTTTTCGCCCGTCTTCAAGAAAAAAACATATGAAATTAGTGCATTGAAAGAAAGTCCATTAAACTCTTCAAATCTTCATCAGAAGGAATTAGATTTGAGTTTTATTCGAGATACTGATAGCAGCCAAAACTGTCAACTCTCATGGAATATTTAAAGTCGCATTCTAAGGACAGAACGTGAAAAAGAAATATTAAGTTTCGCAAGAACTTATTAACTTAGACCTTTTTTGCGAAAATTCCTTTGAACTTTGGGGATCAAGTTTTGGTACTTCCCGTTGTGGCTTGAAAAAGTCACATTAATTCATTAACATTACTATTCATTAGGTTTATTGTCATTTTTCTTTTGGCAATATTTTTCAGTGTTCCCTCTGTAACTAGACGCGCAACAGTTATGTAATGAATAGTAAATAGTAAACAGGCGTGTCAAGTTAACTATTCATAAGAAAGCAGGACGTCAACCTCTTTTATATTGCATAGTATCGTATATTGATTTCCTAGATAATCAATGAGAAACACTTATCAATAATGCAAAGTCTAAATAAACCACTTATTTCTCGATTTCTTCTTGCCCGACACGTACTTTATCAATTTATAATATTCTCAAGATCATCTAAATTGCTAATGATAATTTATTTCAGGTTCTTTATGAATTCAAAATATGATGAAAATAAAAAAGAACTGTAAACGCTACTCACGATTCCAGCAGGTTTATGTTTACTCAGACCAGGAACAAGTTGCTTTGCTACTTCTGGCTTCAATAAAATATTCTGAAACAACAGAAAATCCCTTAAGGTGAACCTGAGCTTCTAGCAAAAATAACGAGAAACCAACAGTTAAATATTTTAACAGCATCTTGATTAAAAAAGTGGATGGATTATTCATTTGGTCTGTTTACATTTTTTGATTATGCATTTTTGCTTTTAGTAATACCAAATGACTAATAAAAAATCAGGAATCATACCTGCGGTCTGACAGGTAACACACCGCTTTTGATTTGTTCCTGTAGCTTCACCTTGGTCTGAAGCACCTCCAGCTCGAGCTTTTTTTGTTGCAATTCCAACAATTCCTTCTGTTTCTGTATAAGTTTTTCCTGCATCAACAGAGTCTCTTTGTCTATTGTACTTGGTGGGTTAGCAGATACTGTAGGAGGCGTCTCTTCTTTCATCTTCCCCTGAGGCGGATTCTATAAAAATGGGATTAATTTTAAATGGCAACACCATCAGAAAAAAATGTACTACGCATAAAAAACAAATCAGAAATGTCTATAATCTAGGTACTATAAACATTTCTTCAAAATCCGACGATACTTTTCCAATTACCAAGCGCCCAAATATACCAAATCTCTATGTCGAAATTTACGTCAAATTTTAATTAAATCATATAAATGTAATTTCATATATGCTCTCGTTAACATAAAATGCATTTTTCCATTTTAAAAAATAGGATATCGCCATATCGTACAACTAAATTTTATATAAAACTTGGACTGAAAAAATTACACTTTATTTGTCAAAGTAATAAACTACTTTGACAAAACTGCAAGAGTGGTTTAAATATTAGTAAACTCTTTAAATGAATTTGGTTTGAACTATTACATACGAACCGTAACGAAACTGAAAGCTCTAATAATACTTCTAGAACGATATTCCCTATATTCCATGGTCGTAAAAATACATCAAAAAAATGGGAATATTTATATACTGTATATCTTACCACAGGGTACAGGTAGCACGAAAGCGTTCCTATTGCTAACAATATCGGACAATCGGTAATTTTATATCACGATGCGTACACAACAAACTCAAGTTTGTCGAATGACTGATCTTCAGTTCTTTCATGAATTTATACCCAGGTTTCCCAAATTGTCCTAATTGTAATATTATTTGCTGGGCTTCTTTTCCATTAGAATTAATTCCTAAGGTATTTTAATCCTCAGATGCTTAACCATAACCTTACAAGCACAGCACCCTCAGGTAATTATTTGAGGGTCACTTCAAGGAATTTTAGCTACAAATCTGTACATAGCATCATTATGCTAATCTTTAATCCAATTGTTATTCCATAGTTCTTACTATGGTCAATAAATTAATAAAACCAGAAGCAGATCTAGAAAATATGGATTCATTTGAAATTTTCGGCTGTTTGAAATTTGATGACAATGTGGATGATTGATTGAGATGTCTGGTTTCTCGGACTTCCATTGCCTATAAAGATTAGATGCAAAACATTTCGATTCACTTGATCTTCTATCGTCAACAGGTGAATTTTGAAACTATCAGCTCAAAAAGGTGCTGGGGGGCTCTGGATTCATTTCGCTTCGGAGGGAGGGGGGAATCAGAAAAATGAATAATATGCTGTAATTAGGCATGGTTAATAGTATCAGGTAACCAAATACGTTCGTGCGGTTGCTGTATATCGCACATTGCCATGGATGTTGTTGATCGATAGCGATTGTTTACCTGTTGTCACTTTAGTATGAATACTTCTTTCCTTACACACATAAAAAGTTGCTGAAAATTGTTACATACCTAGTTTTAATAATTGAAAATGGCGACGAATAAAACAGTAATTCGAAGTTGTTTACTGTATGAGTACAAACTGGGTACAAAAGCCGCAGCGGCAGCGTGAAAAATATATAACGCATTCGGAGATGATGACGTTAGTGATCGATCAGCACAGAAGTGAAGAAATTTTTTTCGGGAGATCTCAGTTTGAGCGATGAACCGCGCTCAGGGAGACTAAAAATCATGAACAACGAGGATCTTCGCCAGGTTGTGGACGCAAATTCCAGGACGACGTGCCAAGAACTTGCAGAAATGTTCTGAGTGAGTCCTGAAACTATTCGTTTGCATCTTCATCAGCTAGGAAAGACGTGGAAGTTAAGCAAACGGATCCCACAGGAACTGACAAATGATAACAAATTAAGTCGTCTTACCATTTGTTCAGCAAACATTTCACGCAACGCTAATGAACCATTTCTTAATCAGTTATTAACCTGCGACGAAAAATGAATCTTGTATTCGAATTCTAAGCGTTCGTATCATTGGTTGTCGCAAGGTTTTGTTGTGTGTTTGATGGACAGCAACTCTAATTGTCCATTATGAGTTTTTGGAAAAGGGTCAAACCAACACTGAAACCTTGTATTGTGAGCAGCTTCAACTAGTACAAGCAGCACTCATCCAGAAACAGCCTTCTTTGATCAATCGGAAGAAAGTGATATTCTTGCAGGATAACGCCAAGCCTCATACCGCAAAAGTGACACGAGAAAAAATTTCTGAACTCGCTGGGAAACGTTACTGCACCCGCCATATGATCTCGACAATTCGCCCAGTGATTATCAACTTTTTTTGTCCCTTGACAACTGTATGAGCCACCGACAGTTCACAACTCGAGACGGTGTAATAAATGCTGAAGTCCGCCAATTTTTTTACTCCAAATCCAGGGGGAGTTCTACAATACCGGCATACAAAAATTTGTTCCAAGTTGGCAAAATGTCATTGAATGTGTTGGTAATTACTTCGACGAATCAATAGTGTTTTATTGTTTCTCAATACAAATTTATATTTTTCTACTAAAAACCGCACGAGCTTATCTGGTTACCTGATATTAGGAACCAAAATTTATCATCACTCCAGCTCCAATTGATGTAAAAATATTAACGTTTAAAGTGTAAACATATTGTTTTCATTATATCTCGGAGAAAATGACAATTTTCAGAAATCTGTGTGGATAGAATGAAAGCAAAGGATTTGTACTCTAGAAATAGTATTTCACAATATTTGTATCATTTTGTCAAACAGATGTAAGAGTGATGAAAAGGAAGATGTCTGGGTGTGGTGTAACAGTTCTGTTATTTATATAAATAGGTACGGGTATGGGATGAGTAGTTTTGACAATAAAGTCTGGTTTACACGTTAGGTTTTCTGGAACATCCTGAACAAAAAAAAACAGCAGCCGCGGCCGGTAGATACGCGATCCGTCTGCTGCGAATATTTTTCTTTACTGTACGAAGAAATCTATGATGCGTGATATTTAGTAGGTGCTTAGAATTATCAAGTTTGGGAACGTATAAAAGTTTTTGTACATCAATTTTTTTTTCATAATTATCAGGCTTCTGTGAAACATTTTCCTCCATCGCCACTGGACCGATTTTCAAAAACTACAAAGTTTTTGTGACCTAGGGGTAGCAATAACATTGTGTAACAATTTCATCAAAATCCTACCGGTCCCTCTCCAGTTATAGGCGGTTATAAGATTTGCGAACAAATCGACGGAAATGAGTGACGTTTTTTCGTGATGCACATGTCATATAACACCCAAAAAAACATATCTCATTTTCGAAAATTTTCTCGATTACAATACTTTCCAGTAGGCGCAATGTTGCCCATTTTTCAAAAATTGTAACATTTCTATCTTGGAAACAATCAACTTTAGAGAAAAGATCTAAAACACCCTTTTCTGTTCAACACTCTGACGAGAGCGAAAAATAAATTTTTGGAATTTGTCTATAAAAAATTTTTTGGCGTAAATATGGCAACATGCAAAAAATCCGTAACAGAATGTTTTCTCCATCGGATGCGAAGATGACATGAAAACAGATTTGAGGGATTAAATCGGAATAGCAGTAAAGTTAGTAATATGATGGACGACAAAACGGGATGTTTTCGGAGCACTCAGTTTTTTCGTGTCGATATACTGATAGTGTTCTTAGCGCCCCTTCATGTATTCAAATAAACATTTCATTACTCAAAACGTGCAATCCTAACAGCTGGTCGTAAACGTATACTTACCGATTTGAGGAACTTGGGGTTGAAATGTATGCTATTTGACGGGGGTTTGGCGGTGACAGGCCAAGCGGGATCCAACAGGCTGATCTGGACATCGATGGCATACAATTTCATCTGCGGAAAAACGTCATTCCACGTCTGGCGCAGCTTGAACATCTCTGCTCTGGTCTTCTCATCCACCTGGAATATAGGGGCTGGGTTGTGGAAATCAGGGGCGCTAAATAGAGACTGTTCTTTTCCTTTTTGATGAAGCGCCCTGACCCGCTAGGTGAATTAAAGACATATTTTAGGAGGTACATTTCGAAATGGTATTCCTATGGATGTTCCTGGGAGTAACGTGGTGTTGTGGATGGATGGTGTTACCTACCTTGTTGCTCAGGTTAAAACGAAGTTATGCTCAGATACGCAATTCCAAGTCTAAGGAATGTAACGGGTAATAAATTACATGAGACATGATACATCTAAAACTGATTAAAGATTACAAAAACCTACAAATTAGGGTCTTACTTGTCAGTACTTGAAACTTTAAGAAATAGCTGTTTGTTGGAGAAGTCTAACAGAAATAATTTACGATATTTCGGTGGAATGTGTCCCGAATAAGTTTTGCTCTTTTAATAAACGTCATTAAATATGGGCACAAAAAAACACGTTTTTGTGTCGTTATTCTTGCTAATCCAAATTGAAATATACATATTTTTTTTATTCTAATTTTTTATCCGGCTTCCAATATTCCCAACTACAAATGTAGCAATACAAATTTTAAGACACGCAATTCTCGAATATTATTTTGTCTATGCCCATGTAAAAGCAAAACTGTAACGACAGAAAACAGAGTTAAACTGATAATCACCATGGTTTGCTGGCCGCCAAATGTAACCACATAGATGATGGATTGAATGTTTACTAACGTTTCGACCACCTCGGTGGCCTCTTTTCAAAGTACATGTTTTGATTTGTACTTTTGTAGCCAACATGTTGGTTTCATTTGACGGCCAGGTAATTAATGATTCTGAAAACAGCAGGATACGTTTAAGATATATTGAAACTAAACAGGATTGACAGGAATGTCGAAATTGTGAAAGGAGCTTGTTAATACGAGTTAACTGGCTAAGAACTGCAAAAGTGTAAAAGCGTCAGCTGATGAGTTAAATACTCTTGACGATCAAAAGAACAATCTACCGGCTAAGTATTTATTGATGTATACAGAAACAGAGACCATGCACTTTCACTTAGCGGGCTTCAGAAGTGTTGGTGACTTTGGGAGAATAGAGTGGTACGGGTACCTTTTATACATCGGTTCGAAAGTGCTAGGCTCAACAACCGCCCGTCGAGTGACGAAAAATATCAAAACAATAATACACCAAGCAGCGTTTCCATATGTTTACAAACATAAACATAAAATGTAAATATCTGTACTAACACAGGGAGTAGTTCAGATGTGTTCAGAAGCATATTCAACTTTACTTCACAGGTTTTAGATGACGTCTGGGTTTGCATGATTCTCAGTACATGCGGTTACTGAGATTTTTTTTTTGAGAGACGAAGATGTACGACTTTTGTCACAAGCGATTGGCAGTTGATTTTCACACTGTAAATGTGAGGATCGAATCAAAGACAAGATGGTTGTTACAAAGAAGCTGAAAAAACACAGCTAAGCAAACGATGGATTTTCCTAACCAGTAACTAACTGTAGCCAACTTGTGGAAATAGCTTTTGGATATGACGAGGAGACTCTGAAAAGGCGCTTCAAGTATATGGCTTTTTGTATCAAATAAGTACTACGATTTCCTTAAATGAATGAATGAATCGTGAAATTAAAGGCATTCCGGCCTCCATAAGGAGCCAGCGCTTAGGCCTGTTAAATGGGTCCTCATGCACCTCTACATTTCTTAGACATCAAGCCTCGCCTTTCTATCGAAGTTGAGTGACGACTTGAGCCCAAGCTCCTTGACGACCTTAGGGTCCAAAGTAATGGACCCCAGAATAGTTTGCCTGCAGTAGGTCAGAGCGACACAGAACGTGCGCCGAGGTCTCTTCCTCTACCCCGCAGCGCTTACACAAGGGATCCTCAGCAGTGCAGGTGGCGCCCTAACGTGTTATGGCCAGACAAGTCCCACCAGCAACCTTAGGTTGGCTCTATCCAAAGATAAGCAGAAACGTCCATCCTTAGCGCTGGGCCCTACAATGAGTTCCCGTGCCTGACGGAGATGTTTGGAGATACTTCTCCATTTCTGAGAGTGTTGCTTTGCAATTCTCTCCTCCATTTTCCTCCTAACTCTTTGCGCGGTCACTCCTAAAGCTGGCTCAGGACCAACAAGCCCACATTAACGATACAGGATGCCTCGCTGCGAGACAATCCAAAGCCTCCCTGTATTGCAATACAAGGCTACAAGTTATCTTACAGGAACTTGTGCCTTCATTGCAGTCTGGCTGTGGGAGAAGATTATTCTTCTCCTAGGCCATCCCAATTCCCTTAATGCTGTCAACAATGAAAGAAGAATTCTGAAAATAGCAGAAGCTGAAGTAGGTCAAGAAATATTTTCTCCACAAACTTCGTTTTTATGGATATAATATTGGTACAGATAATGTGACATTTGCTTTCTCACCTTTACTTATAACATAGAATAATTATAGACAGGAGGTAGTTGAAAAAAGGGAAAGCAGAGGAAACAAAAGCTTTACCTTCAATTATCATATCCAACAATCTTTTATTATACTGGGCTTTGAAAAAGTAGTTTCGAAAGTCTAATAAAAATACCTTGCTTAACTTTCAGTAAATATACAATTCAATTTTCCAGATTATATAAAATTACATTATCAAATAACTATCAGAAAAATTAACCTTGAAAAATAATTACATTAGTCACGAATAATAGAAGTAGTTCATAAAAGTAGATCTAACTGATAATTACGCTTGTAATAAAAAAAATTGACCAGCATATGAATATTTACGAATTGAACAAAATATATTGCAGGTCAGATAGTGATGCTAAACCAAAACGTGACTGATATAATATAAGCTATCCACTAGAACTCCGGATGTATGAAAATTTAAATGATTTAATGCAATGGTAACTCACGTCAAGTTAGCACTTCAAAATGCAGCTGATAAATGAATTATGAGTTTTAATGAAAATTTCATATTGATCTCAATGGGGTGCCACAGCTGTTCCACAATACTTTAGAAAAAAAGAATAGTTTTTGAGATATTACTCATTAAGTCACTTGGAACTCTTCAAGTAAGTCAGAACAACTATACCAATAAAGAGTATGGTATTAAGTCAACACTCTTTTTTCTGTTATCAACTTTTGCTACGGCATTGTCACTGCCCCTATTGAGCACTCTCAAAACCTGCAATAACAGCTGAGGACGGATCATACAGCTAGGTTGCTGGATTTTCGGTTGCTAACTCGAAGCATTAACAAAACTCTTAACAGTTGGAGCATAAAAGAACACGCAAATAAAATAGATTTTTCAACAATCTAGGTCTTGATATGAAATACACCCGAAAGTAGCCTCGAAAATTGCAAACGCGACTTGACTCGCCGGACACTGACACCCAACAACGTTCGACATCATGTCTTTCTTTAACCCTTTGGTCGAATGTCAATGTTGCGCAACATATTTCCGAGCATAAACGGCAGCTTAAGATTCGTGAAAGTAAAAATTCTCGATTGTTACAACTAAAAAAAAAAAACATTCGAAGAATACTCATTGAAGATAGGCACCGAAATAAACCATTCCCTGGTTTTTGTTGTTGATAGTTACAAAGTTGAAGAAATGCTATTTGTATCATAAAAAGGCGTTTATTGGGACATGTACGAGTATTATACACAAACTACTGAAATGCTTCTATACATAAACCTCCATAACTGCCTCCCAAGGAACTCCATTGGAATGGTCACTATATCACACATCACAAAGGTCAGAGCACTGAAGCATAAGAAAAATACTTACCGCTTTAAAGACATTACAGAACGTCGATACAATATTCTGACTGAAGAGTTGTGTGTAAGTACCCCCTACGTTCTTCACAATACAATCGATGAGATACAAAATAGGCAGTTTCACATCTGTAGATACCTATACATAAATACAATGCTGTTTGTTAAGAAAAAAGATATTGACTGCAAGTCGCCGGCTTATTATCTAGTATAGAGCGGGTGTTTTACCTATTTCTAGGTAGTTGAAGTCCAGGGGATTTGTTGGTCCTCCAAGAAGACACTGTACACACTCTTTTTAACTTGTCACGGATGGGATCAACACTTTCATATACCCTTTTTGTGAGTTGGCTGCTTCAGATATATACTTCATAAATACTATTTTGAATTTCCATTTTTAGAATTTTGTATGTTAAAGTGAAAGGTAATTGGGGTGGTTTAAGTAGTACTTCAATACTGCTGTGTTTAATAGAAATAATCTAACAATTTCACAACATTTTTTGATACTAATATATGAATTTTACCATTGATGTCTCACGCTTAAAAGAGATATCTGCGGTAGATATGACTTTCAAGTTAGTGACAATTGGTAGCTATAAAGCATACATTTTTAACAGACAATGTTGCAAGCAGCAAGTTCAAAAAATATGTAGTTTCTATATAGGTTTAATTGATACATTTCCACCAATTATAACATCTACAATTTATCTTGAGCTATACCCACTTTATATTGCAAAAATTATTGCATGATTTCTTTTGAGCACAGCAGAATTCTACTTAGTAGAAAAGCACCAACTCGCAAGAGAGTTATTAAAGAGCATTCTACTATTTAACGACCTTGGGAGCATCATAGAATTGATTTCAGGTTGCTCCATTTTTAGTATTGTTAACACTTGACATCTCTTTTTTTCCATTCAATCAGCCATATCATCATACCAAATGCTTCACTACAAAATTCGACTGTACTATAATGTTTCTGCTTTAAATGTGTATATTTGAAGAATTATTTTTTGCCCAAGTATTGTAGCTTTGCATGAAATTAAAAAAAAACTGTTGGATCATATACAAACTATGTAATGTAGTTTGTAAATTACGCAAATTAATTCCTTATCTCAATAAAGAATGCAAAAGTCTAATCATTCTATACTTTTTGCCGCTTCAAATTTTTGGTTGATAATAATGGTTTAATTTTTATGGTAGTAGTAGAATTTGTAGTGAAATATCTGCGATGACATTTGTTTTAATCTTCCGTTAAATAGTTGTGATGGATAAATCTCAGACACACACATGTTTGGTAAAATATTTATTTCTATCAGTGTATATTGTAAACAATATAGAAATAATTTGAATATGCATATATATACATTAGGAATATAAAATCATGTTCAACCCCCGTGCTTTAGTGTCTCCTGATTCTTGGTAGCTAAAAAACTTGTAATATCTACGGAATTTTATAAAATAAGCATTTGATAGGAAAAAAAATAATATAATCATTCAATTTCAGACCTGTGTATAATTATTACAAGCTAACAGTCATTTTGTCTTGTAATATTGGATTCTATTAAACTGAACAATACAATACAAATAAAAGTAGGACAGGTTATTAAAATAAAGTTTGTTACTCAAGAAGTTTTGATATTTTTAATAAATTTATATATGCACCAGACCTCACAAAAAGATCTTGACTAGTGACTACATAAGCTTTAAAAATGATCATAAACCCTTAAAGCAACACTGTATGTTATTGCCCCACAAAATTTAATCATAATCAGTGCAGCAGTCAGTGACTGAAATTATATGATTCTAAATGGATTTTCAACTTGCTGACAATTTAATAATAACTGGTGACTAGACAGAATGGTTGAATAAAATAATTTTATAACCATCCATCTGTTAAGAAATATGTGCAGTTACAGGTAACCACAAATGTAGATTATTACTATACTACAACTATTTAAAACTGTAATGACTCATACGCGTGATCAGAGCTCGATCCCGGCTTCCTTCCAGTAGACATATGTCGTTTCTGAGGCTTTGCGGTGGTCAACAGCACATTGTTCTTCGCCGGTTGAACCAATGAAATCAAAGACGCGCCTCGACCGGCAGACTCATAGGCGTCGGCAACGCATTGGAACGTGTTTCGTTGAGCGATCGCATATTGTGTGTTTTTATAAGAATTGTTGTGTGATTGTTATTGTTGTGGTTTCTGTGGTTACTGTTTTGGTTATACTTAACCATGGAGAGTACAAATGGCACGAGTGGAAGTACTGAAAGCCAGGGAACAAGTAGACGGCTTCGTAAAGCACTGAAGAGGGACGCGAAAGAAATCGTGCTCAACGTGTTCAATTGTCTGAACAGAACTATGTCGCAGGGAGATGCACTCGCGCGTTGTGAAAGTATGACAGGCGTTCCAGAGTGGACCATTCGCAGGGTGGTGTATGAAAAGAAGAAAACTGGAGCTACTACTGATCCAAAGTTTAATTTGAAGGGACGAAAGGCCGTTAAATTGGATGACGATAGCAAATGGCGTTAAGGCGAACCGTACATTCATTCTTCTTTAGGAATGAGATACCAACCCTCAAGGCTGTACATGCAGCGATCAAGGAAAATGAAATTATACCCCAAATGAGCGTCGAGGTAATGAGGAAATCCCTGCACGAAATTAATTTTCGTTACGAAACGCGTAATCGGAAGTCAGTATTGATAGAGAGACCTGAAATAGTCGCCTGGCGTCGAAAATACCTACGCGAAATGATTGAATATAGGCGACAAAGCAGAAAAATCTATTATTTGGACGAGACATGGGTAAATGCAGGTCACACAGTTAAAAAAACCTGTATAGACAAAAACGTAGTGAGTAACCGACAAGCAAGCATTGAAGGTTTGTCAACAGGTCTTCGTGCACCGTCAGGGAAAGGTCAAAGATTGATCGTAACTCATATTGGTAGCGATAGTGGCTTTTTAGAAGAGTGTGACTTGAATTTCGTCTCTAAGAGCGGAGGTGATTACCATGACGAAATGAATGCCAGCTGCTTCGAGAGCTGGTTTCAAGGAGTGCTTCAGCGAGTTGAACCCAACTCTGTGATCGTCATGGATAATGCTTCCTACCATAGTCGTCGAGCCGAACGTGTACCGACTATGGGATCTCGAAAAAGTGACATGCAGCAATGGTTGCGCGAAAAAGGAATCCCGTTTGACGATTTATGTGTGAAAGCAGAATTGTATGAAAAAATTAAACAGCACAAACCTGCGAACATTAGTTACGTGACTGATGAGATGGCCCGTCAATGTGGTGTCACTGTGCTGCGGTTACCGCCCTACCACTGTGAACTGAACCCAATAGAGCTCATCTGGGCTCAAGTGAAGGGTTATATTGCGCGCCATAACACAACCTTCAAATTACCAGACGTTAAGGTTTTACTTGAGACTTCCATACAGCTAGTAACGCCCGAAGCTTGGCAGAATGCTATCCGTCATGTTGTAAAGGAAGAAACAAAAATGTGGCAGCTTGACCACCACATCGACACCATCATAGAGCCAGTTATAGTCAATTTCAACGAGGAAAGCGATAGCGACAGTTTATTACTGTCAGATGTAAGTGGAAGCGACGATGAATAAAGGTAATTCCCAAATGTTTGACTTACAATATGTTTCAAACCACTCTTTATTAAGCATGTGACAAATCTAGTTCACCCATGTTAAACATTCATACCCCGCCTATGAACAGCCGACTACTGGTAGTTAAGTGATGTTCACGTGAACATCGATGAGTCATTACAGTTTTAGATAGTTATAGTATAGTTTAAATCTTCAGTACTAAAAAGCTCAAGGATACTAAGCGGGTTAATTCTATGTACATTTAAGGAATAAAAAATGATGATTACTATTTACACACCTCCTTAAGACTGAGGAATGTTTCTCCAAAATATAATATTTAACTGCTGCCCCCCTCTCCCCTCCTCATAGCAATCCTGCACTCACAAAAGTTCCTCTACAACACCATCCTCAACTCATTATTTTGTTGTAAAGCATTGGGATATTTCACAGCAATCACTAAATGACTATGTGACATTTTGATCATGATGTCCACATGGGATGTATTAAAGCACAAGCATTTAATTTGAGTCATATTGTAACTAATTAATTTGCTCTTAAGTCATCCATTACATATGAAATTTTTATGTATTTGTTATATAGAAATGTTCCCACAATATCTACTCTTTTGCTTTATTCATTCTATACACAGGTCTATACTCAGTCATTTTTCATTGTACTGAAAAAGGTACATAAAAACATATGTACATACAGAATATTTTATCATTATCATGTTTCCCGATTACTAAATTTTCTATCTAGAATGGTGATATCTGTGTGGAAGCTTTAAACACAGACAACAATGAGGAATGCACAATTAATGAAAACAAAAGAAGGTTAACCAACCATAATAAACAAAATCATGCTGGTCATTTACTTAACCATGGTACTACGTATGATCTGTAAGTAAATAGTGCAATTTTCATATTGTTTCATTAAAAAAGCTTTTCTTTATATACAGATGCTGAACTAATGGAATATGAACTTTATATTATAATTATGAGTAGCAGAGACCTCAGGATAATGAAAATACGTTTTCAACTGAATATCTGTAACTCTACACATTTAATGTAATTAAATTTAATAAATGACCCAGATTGCAATAGTCCACAGACCATAATCTAGAAGAACTGTTAGTAAATTTTCTAGATAAATTATAATAAAACAAAATTCATTATTCCCCTTATTGAACAGGTATGCCTGATTCATTTTCTAATAACAGATAGTATGTCAAACCATAGTATAATTTAATATTTGTATAGTCAATTCAAGTTTGAAATTTTTCGACTATTCATCTAGATTTTAGTTTTTGCCAAATGATAAACTTCCACAGAATACACAAAACTTTGAGGGCTGTATTGTCAGACATTCCTACAATTGTAGGATGCCTTTATGGCCTTCTTGAATTTCATAGTTTTCTACTGTTCCGTGTCAGCGCTCGATTTTGAGGTTATGTCACAAATACCTATTTGTATCAGTGTTCATGCATTACATCCTTTATTTTATCAGCCTGAAATTTCCTGCAATTCAAAAAGAAAACAACTTCATAATAAAAGAGCACCGATATGGAACAGTAGAAATCTAGAAATACCACAGCCTTTCTGAAGGAGAGAAAATACTTTGAAAATTAAGGGTCACAAGGGCATCCTACAACTGTAGGAATAACTAAGTAATACTTCTGAGAGAGAAGATGCCTTATAAAAGAGAATAAGAGTAGTTATACCAGATAAACTTACTGATTTTGAAGTACCTAGTTTGACGTCAGGGTTCTAGAGAAATCAATACAAACATTAAAGAATTTGTCAAATAAGTGGAAAGAGAATTTAATCAGAACAAAATTTGGTGCTGGTCAACATGATGACTCAAGGTAATATATATTTGGTATTGTATACATACAGTAATGGACAAAAGTATATAGACAAATATGAATATTTACCTAAATACCTTTAGAAAACGAATTCATACTTCATTGCTCCATAAACAAATGCGTTATTAGTAGAAAAACTAAATTCCTTGTTTTTACATTATCTGCAATGAACACAATACAAGTCTGACTATAAGCACTTTTTTATGAGGGTCAAAAATATGTAGACAAATTCTTTTCAACATCGGTTTAGTACAGTTTCGTGTCAGAAGAGGATTAGTTTGTGTTCATCAACTATTGTGGAATAAGTTGAGTGATTTTAAGACCATGCTGCGTGGTCCAGAAATTTCTTTCGATGTGAAAACTTGAGTTATACAAACATGGTCAACGTCAAGTCGACATTGCCAAAAATTTGAAGCTGAAGCGTAAAGCAGTTTGGACAATATTGAACAAATATAAACATAAATGTATCTTGGAAGCCTTTAAGAGAACTGGTTGGCCTAGAAAACTAAATGCTAGATCAGTTAGATTAATAAAAGTAATTTTGTCCAAAGATCCATTTAAAACCCCAAGACAAATAAAAGCTGAAATCGAGACAAAAGGAATTGTCAGTGTTTCTACGAAAACTATAAGTATTAGATTAAATGATTTGAAGTTATTTGCACGTCGCCCGAGTATGAAGCCGCTAATCTCGAGGAAAAACCATAAGGACCCATTACAATTTGCAAGGTTGCATCTTGATTGGAGCATCTGTGACGAAGAGGGTATGTTTCAGTGAC